ATTATATTTGCCTAAATAAAGAGAGAGAGAGAGAGCGAGGGTGAGAAAGATGAGAGTGGGGGGAAGAACTGCATAAAAATTGATGAAGTACATGTATGGATACTTGGTTTGATCGATCATTTAGCAAGGGGCAAGTTCTGTCTATGTTGAATAAAACATGGTGATAATATATACTCTCACATGAACCCTCAATTTAGAGTTCACTTCATCTTCTTGTAACTTTAGCAGTAGGGACAAACTTCCTGAAGGTAAATCTCTACCCCATATCCCCACTGGACATGGCTCACAATACCAAGATTTATTTCATTCATAGACCCCCCAAAAGTCTCCAAGAATAAGACAAAATGGGATGAAGTATTGAATGAGAAAGGGTCAAATTTGAGATTGTATGAAAACAAAGATGTTTTTCCTAATAAACGTGATTCCTGCAAGCGTTGCCTCAAAGAACTGCTTTGTATGAATTTGGGATTTAGTTTGGTATGTTAAGGTTGTTCATGGAGATATTTATCCCTGCTTTGTCCCAGCGGTCTGTGACATTCTAAACGATGTTATAGGGATTACATAGTGGGCAGTCCTTCAAAATATTTGTCATGTTTTTTGTTGTATAATTAAAAGAAAATGTTTTGAGTTGAATAGTTCAGAAATTCAGTTAGTTCTTGAACAATAATAAGTTTTGTTTAAAAAGTGATCATTTGAATTAACCAGAATATATTACAGTTTCGTTTAACACAAGATTGAAGTACTTCACACTATGAACATCGGACAAAGAAAGCGGACAAAATATACAGTTCCTCAGGTAGACAAAAGAACATCCCTTCACTGCTATTATGTAAAAAGTGAATATGCATGTGACACTTGTTCTACACATTTTAACATAATAGCAGTGAAGGGATGTTCCTTTGTCTACCTGAGGAACTGTATATTTTGTCCGCTTTCTTTGTCAGTCATATTCATAATGTCAGCAAAATCAATGAATATTTGCAGTCCTCTATTTTAAAATGATAACATTTTCAAAAGACCTACCAGGAAATATCTCCATGTTGCCTTCTTAACAGATGTAGGGTTCTCCTAAAGATTTATTCTTAAAAATGAATTGTTTGCATTTGCATTTGAAAGAACATAGAGGGTGCCTATATGATTTACATTCTACAACACCCCTTGATATGAAAGGAAAGGAAAAGAAAATAATTGAACTTATTCCAATTAAGTGCCAGACGAGGGAGAAAATGAAAATCAGTTAACCGCCTCATTGTGTGGCAGTAAACCGTCCCAGTCCAAGTGTAACCGATAATCTTTGTTTGCCGACACCCCGTCCCCTGACCTCATTGCCTGCATGTGGGACTAACAAACAAGGGGCTAATCTGTGCCTGGAGTATGGGGGAGGAAGGCAGGCAGGTGATAGAGCATGTGGAATAATAGATGGAGCATTAGGGATAGGGTTTCTTTAACTTGAGTTGATGACGGGGTGAGAACGGATGTGAGGGGAGAGGAGAGGAGGGAGTAGGGATGATGATGGGTGTGTGAAGAAAAAGAAGGAGAGTAAAGGAGAAATAATAGAAGGAAGGATATAATAGGAAGTTTGAAAGAGTTGAAACCTTTTCCATCCCGGGTAGCGGCTTCTGAAGTCCATTTGTCAGGATTGCTGGGCAGGGCTAAAAAACAATCTTTCACAGTACATTTGTAGAAGTAGTATTTGCTTAATAATTGCCCCATCGACCATGGAGCTATTACAGGCTAGCTCCATGCTTAGACTAATGGGAAGGCATTTAGTTATTCCCTTTGATAGTAAATACACACCATAAACCTTTGTGATATAAACATTAATGTCTTCTGATTGAGGAAGTGATTTTTATGTCTACTTTTACAGGCCTGCGTGTAACTAACATAAAGGGGTTGAATAATTGTTAGGTACCGGTAGTCTTACATGCAATGGGGTAAATGATAGGATGTCCATCTTTGTTATCAATGCTGCTATGTTTGTATTAAGAATATAGTAAGGCCGAATTCAAGCTTGCTATTTAGTTTGATTTCTTTTTAACAGATGAATGAAATTTATGTTCCGTAGAAGCTTACAGCCATCTGTAAAGGCTTTCAATAGCATGCCATCACTGCGGATTAAGAATTTATGTCAGATAGGCTATATTGTGTGTTAAGAGCCAGAAAGGCATTAACTGTTACTTTTATCTGGATTGCTATAAGTTCTACATTGTAGCTCCCAACCAATGTTCCAACCAATGTTCCAACCAATGATATGATGTAACCTAATCTGGCAAAATGTGTGAAAATATTCAATCATCCTCTGTCCCGACATCATGGAATACAAGTTGGTAGCCTTGTCACAGAACCCCAGCCTGTTTGCATACGTCATTTATCTCTCTTTAAGAAGCTTTCCGAGGATTATTTGATGCTACATGTATGGTGATAATGTCTCCTCCGTTTAACTGAACGCTTGGGCACATTCCGAGCCTTTGTTTGCGTAAGAGCGATGATTTTCCATGACTTCGTGTGAAGGATTAAGATAATACAGCTATGTAGACTCGACAGACAAGAATTCTTTAAAACCCTTTTTATGCTTATTAAAAAATGATAGATAGGCTTGTTTAGGCCTACCTTTTCACAAGATGTGAGATATTTGAGGGAATAAACAGATTCTGATAAAAATGATAGATAGGCTTGTTTAGGCCTACCTTTTCACAAGATGTGAGATATTTGAGGGAATAAACAGATTCTGATAAAAGGCAATCTTATTTTTAATAATGATATCAAAAGAAGAACTCATCTATTGAGAGCCAGAAGGACGTTCTGTTTCAATTCCTATAAGTTACATGTAACAACCCTCTGGTTCTATGCAGATGTTATGACGGCTGTATTGACAGATGACATCATTTTCACATCAAAATGCAATTTGATGATTCAAATCCTTGATTTTACCCCTGAGTATAAGCACTGAACTTTAAGCTCTCAGTCATCGTGATTAGTAATGTTATTTCCAAGTTTTTGAACCGTTCCTGTTTAAATCATCAGGAGATACCGGTTCGTGCTGGTGCATAGCACTGCTAAAAACACAAGGTTTGTGGCAGTTTTGCCTGGGATGCTACTGAAATAGCCCCCTATAGGCTCGTTCAGATATGACGTGGCAAAACCATGGCATTTTATCCCTCATAATAATCTAGAGTGTAACGCTTCACTTTTCTGAACATATCTATACCACAGAGCTCAATGAATATGCGCAAGGCCTTTGTTGTGCTCTGTTGTTATTCAATTACAGTATGTAAAAATACATGTGGCAGCTCTTGTGCAGCGGTTTACCCGCCAATATCTAAACATACCCTTTTTCTAAGCCTTCAATGTAGTCGATCAGTTTTCCACTTTTTAGAGCCATATTCGTTACAAGGGCCTTTATCAACAAAAAATAAAGTTCCCCCCAAATAGATACAAAAATAACATTCAAAGTTATTTCCATTTTAATGACAAAATAACAGGCCTATGTGTTGTCTTAGCTACAGGCACAGACGCTAGTCTGACACTTGTTTTAATTTTGTCAGTGCATGGCTGGGGTATCTGGGACAAGGCCCCCTGCCCCCCCCCCCCCCACCCCCATTTTCTGAGTCATGGTCGTTGTAGTCTGGTTTCCAGTTTTCAACCCTTGGATTTCCAAGCTGTTATCACCATTGCAAGGTTTCTGAGGGTGACACTTGATGAACTGTAGGCCACCAACCTGCGACAGTTTCAGCAGAATTCCAGATGAAAATCTTCCTAAAGTGATTACATCCCATCGCTGTGTTATAGATCAAACAGTTGCCTCCTGTTGTGTACTATTTTGTTCCAATGAAAAGGTATGACTGTCTTTTTGGAGCTAGAAGGGAGTTAACTCTGTGTGAAAATGATATGCGTTAATGCCCTTCTGGATCCAAACTTACACTATGATCTATGAGGCTGTTCACACTGGCAGAGATAGCGCGCGCTAGACCGCGCTATCTCTACGGTTTGGAAGGTACAACGTCGTTTCGGTCCGCCCAACAGCGAGCCACGGTGAGCCAAAACGGCGTGCCACTGGAGCACCTCTTGGGGGTGGTCCACGAGAGAGAGCGCGGTCTAGCCCGCGCTAGAAAAGAAGGGGGTGCTACGATAGACCGCGCTATCTCATTGCGGTGTGAACAGCCTCTATGATGTCTGAATGAAGCCTTCTGGGTGGCCTTCCACAAATACAAGCTGATGCTGCAATTGTATAAATTTGAGAGATGTATGGAAAATATATAGAATCAATGGTACCAATCTTACACCATACAAGTAGACAGAAAAACTGAATTTGAGAGAATTAATCACTTTATAGAGCACTGATATTAATTCAAAGTACATGCAGCATTGTAATTGAAAAGGTAGCTTGTCGATTTCATCATGGTTTTATCACTGATGCCTGAAAACAGTTGCCTTGTATCTAGAAAAAGACAGGCCTACTAGTGTCAGTTGTGTGAACTATGGTTGATATTTTGCTGCTAATTTTCATTTTCTCTTCTCTGAATAGATTGTTAAATCAAACTTTTCTAAAGAAAGAAAATGATTTCAATAAATTAAAAATTCCTTCTCAACCTGTGCTTGCACACCTGTTCCGCAAGGCAAGGTTCAAAGTAGGTGCATTATTCTGTACATTATGTTCAAAATAATTCATCTTCGTCATGTTTTCAGCTCCGTGAGGGTGAGGCCAAACATTTTTATGACCCTGTTCCACTATATGAAATTGACACATTCTCAAGTCTTTAACTGAAGTGCGTTCACATTGCTTCACCTGCTAAATGAACCCAGGCAGTGTGAACATGGCTTATTGAAAAATTGAAGATAAAGTTATTGTAAGTTTTTGGCGTTTGATTGCAATACGTAAGAAACTGTTGAGAAAGGTAGATGATTGAAATCATGTCTTTTTTTTTTTTTTGAGGTTTAAAAACATAAGAATGAGAAGTCTTTGTGAAAATATTTTGTAGAGAACAGCACCGCACATAGAAATGGGTATGTGGAACAACACACATGTGGGGCGTAAAAGTATAATCCAAACTTTCAAGCTTCTTTTAGTCATATTTCAGATAAAAAATCCTTTTCAGAGCATATTTCTACCATGATGTAATATTCTACATATTATTATACTGACATAAAAAAGGAAGACAGTGCTCACAAACTATTAATATTTTTTTCCATTAAAAAAACACTCAATCTTCTCTTGAAAAAAAAGATAAAATAAATCATATAAGTCATGATGAGGTTGAATGAAAGTGTGCTGAAAAAAGAGTTGTGTGATGGTTGTTATGAGGAGGGGAAAAATATTTGGCTCCCTTGGAGTGATGGACGTGATCTTTGAGCATTGTGATCACTAATTTATGATCTGCGTGTACATGTCTATAAACTTTAAAATATCTGCATGCATAAGTGATTTGCTTTTGATTGTATATTTATATCCTAATGTATCGTAGACAACGCCGTCTCCCTAATGTCTTGTTTAAAAATCTTTTTAAAGGTCACAAATTTATGGTCCGTACAATTAGAATTAAGAAACACGTTTTAATGTTCTTGTTGTCTGGCTTTATACTTCTCTTTCTGATTTTCACAGTGTCATAAAAATAGTAAGTCATTAATGTTATCTCAGAGATGGCGCCAGTAACTTTGACAATGCAGTGTTTGTTTAAAGGAATATAGATAGTTCCATAAGGTGTTATTCAAAATGTTTACATGTCTTGCACTTTTGACACGTATGATAATGCATCATATGATTAGGAAAACATTGATTTTAAATTTCTTTTTGCGCTTTTGCCTGAACTAAAATGTCAGTTCCTGCAAAATGGGGTACATGTGAAATTACTTCATAACTCAATACATGTAACATGTGTGAAGAATGTAAGCAATACTATTCCTGGCTGTGTGAGGATGTAAGTTTTGTGTATATCACTTTTTATCTGAAAAACATACCAAAGCAACAGGAACTTTCCATAAATAAGGATTTTTCTCATAGATACACGTATCAACAGTGTCGCTGTGTATTCTACTTACCGGTATCTACAACCTTTCTCTACTTCTAAATCTATTTTGACTTATTTTTGTTTACGCACACGTAATTTGCATTGTTTGATTTTTACGACCTGTAGATCGATTTAAATTGCTGTTTGAAGGCCATATGCTCGTGCATATCACATTAAGATATACTTTGAAAATAAGTTACTTACTGCACCAAATTATCTGTGAAATTAAAATGTGTTAGTCCAGGATTGTAATAAAAATGCATTGTATCTCAGGATGTGGTCGTGAAGAATTCTACACAGAAGTGGTAATGATACATGACTCTCAATAACAACATACATGTACTTGTTCTTGATACACGCTATTTCAACCTGTGAATTACTGTACGTACCGTTTCCTGTTTATCAAACTTTAAAAATCAACATTGAAATATATCTACCGGTACTTGTGGAGTGGGATGAAAGTATTTTAATGTGGTGGTCATTATTAAGTGCATGGATGGATAACAAATTCAATGCTAACCAAAATTCTTTTCTGCGATCACTTTTAATTCTTTGCGTAAGTTTTGGTGTGTGAGGAGCTGTAGAAGACAATGCTTTGGGACTCCCTGTGGGCTGGCACTTGGGTAATGATGTGCAGAGGGAAATAATCACATCAATAGGAGATGGCTAACATGTTAGGAATCATTAGGTGACTTATGAAGTGTCAGATTCCTTTTTTTTATATAAATAAATCCTGCTATTTTTGTTCACCTGTGTCCCCCATCTAATCTATCCCTTTTTCTCATTCCTTTCCCCATCTTCATTTATATCTCTGTTTATATTATCCTATTTATAAGTTATTGTGATAAATATTTTTTTCAAATTTAAAAACAATAGCACAATGTATCATCACTCATTCATCAGAGTAATAACTGGTGCCTGTCAGAATTTTATGTTGCACTATGTTTAACATCAATCTATCAACACCCTGTCAGAAAAGTAAAAATATATTTCCTCAAGTAGCTATTTATGTGCTAAAAATAGCAACATATGATCTATAAAAGTAACAAATCAAGTGTACAATATTCTTTATCGAATTGAGTGTTTCTTCCACTTGTTTTAACCACATTTTAACCCATTTAAGTGGAAGATGCAATACCGTTGGCTGCCAGAAGGTCATTGCTGACATAGACAATACACAGCTACATGTATTACGACCTTCTTGTGGGCAGCCTATGATATGTAATCCAATAGCGTATAATAGTACTCATTTTTTCAGTATAAAAGCTATAAAAAAATAATTCACCTTAGAAGGATGGACATAACTGACTTTCTTCTTACATATGTCAGAATATTCTTACTTCCTACTTATTACTTACATTGTACAGTCAATGAGTGTTTGATGCATAGCTCTGTACTGCTCATGATAATGCGGAGTGGATATTGACACTGCTGACTAAAGAGGGATAGAGTTACCCCCTCGGAGGACTGAAAATGGCACCCCTAGTCTACAATCTGTCGCAAAATATGTGAATTATCGAACATATTTGGACGTCAATGGCACTTACTGGGATCAAAATGTGCTTGTTGAATACTCATTTTTTGAAGATTTATCCGGTACCTGGAAGATTTTTCAGCTCGGGGTGAAGTCAGATATTATAGCACTTACAGAAATATTAAATGAAAAAGGTTTTATTATAATCCCAGCTTTGGATTTATTAAATAGTTTCACCTACTGCACTTACATGTATATATATGTGAGGTCTTCATGTATTTATAATTTCTATATTTAGATTTTCCAAACAAAGTTTAGCTCCAATTTGTATGTTTTTACGGTACCTGTTTTTCTGTTTGTTTATCTGGAGGCCATTTGAAAAAGAAACAAACAAAATTTTCATCTCCTGACTCATAACAAGTACCTGGTAGTTGCAATTGTAAATTCATGGTTGGCTATGCTTTTAAGTGCCTGAGCCTTCATTGGAGACTATGCACTCATCGCGCTATACACCCAAACGATTCATGCAAACCCATACGCCAAGCGTCTTTGCATGCATAATGCCCCTCATTATCGGATCAATCTTGATGTTGTTTTCAAAACAAATACTTGTTTTGGTATTTTGCAAATTACATTTAACAAGTATGTGTACAAGTGTGCCCATATCCACACTATTAACCTATTGTACTATTGTAACTCTGTTGATATACCCATAAATTTACACTTATAAAGTAAATTGGCACAAATGTTTACCTCTATTTTCAATCAAACCCTGTTTTTTCTTCTCCTTTTCATATATTGTAAGATGTGGGAATATTGTATAATCGCTTAATTAATAATTATAGGCATTTCTTTAACGTTGTCTATCTAGAAATTCTATTCCGAGGCACATTAATTATTACCCCGGCTTTACCCTAGCTGCCATTACAGCTTAGACAACTTTCATGAATTATCTGTTGAGAGACAGAACGGTATTTAATACCAAATACAAGATATGTTTACATGGAGTGAATGCCCTTCTTGCTCTCGGCTGCCAATTAAAGGGGTTCAAATGCAATCTCCGTCTCCAGAGCAAGACCAAGTCAGCATTGTTCTTGACTGAGTTGAATCAATGCACTCAAATGCATACCGATTCATTCAAATACTACATCGCATGCGCTACCCAATGAAGGATCTTGATCTGCACTGTATTGTAGTGGACTCTGTGAGTGGTCAGTGTGAGTAGTGGACGTTCTATTGTTCTCTGCTGGACCAAAGGTAGCTGGGGGTAACACCCATTGACCAGTGCGGACAATGGCCACTGTGCCCCCTAGAGAGACGAGGAGAATACATTTACACAAGCCCAATACAAATATGTGAGGGCTCTGTGGAGTAGGTGACACAGTGCACATAGTGGGGTGTAGATATTTTTATCTCAAAGATTTCAAAAAAGGATGAGCAGTGCGTGCTCTAAATATAGGTGACAAAGAGAGAGAGAGAGAGATAGAGAAGGAAGTAGAGAACCAGGGAGAGGGAAAGGAGAGGAGAGGGGGAGAAAGAGAAAGAGAAAGAAAGATATGAACCCACCCTTATATTTTATTTAATATCAACTCGTTTAATTATTTTCACATGATTTTACGATTCATTTAGTGATATCATGAATTCTTATTTAACATTTTTTTCTTCTTGAAATATGCTAATTTCAGTAGGACAGTGATAAGTACTATGAAAGTACAATCTGTGACTCAGTATTTTAACCACCGTTGGGGTTAGCTGCATGAATAATGCATCATCATGCAGATGGCATAGTGAGATGGGTCAACAAAACTATCCCAGTTCATTCATTCATCCAATGGAAAATTGTAACACCCCTGTAGCGGACTATTCAAAATGATATAAAAAACATTACCTATCCAGCTGCTTCAGTACTTGCAAAAAGGGCGTTCTGCTATCGGTAACCAAGCTGAATCAAGTCATGAGCTATGGACTGGAAAATGATCCTTTCAGACACCTCAGTAGGGAAGGTTTTGTGAGAAAATCACCCTGAATCGGATAATCCCGCTAATCTGAGAAAGATATTTGTGAGAATGTCTGCTTTTTTTCCTTCTATTTTAGGGCGGGCAATTGTTCCCCATTCTTGCCCGGTCTTTGTTAATCCTGTGTTGATAGACTCACAGTAGAATTAACTCCTTTCTCTCTATAGAAACTTATCTTATAATCGTTCGGATCGGAGTGTAGGAATTAAAAGGTAGTTGTACTCTATTTGTAGGTACTTCAACATTATTCCCCTAATCTTATCATCCACATTCCTTATTGTGAATTTGGTAGAATACTTTCTTTTTTATTTTGAAACTGATGCTATTTCCCTTTTCAGATATTTTTGTATAGATTCGATCTTAATTTAGCATCAGATAAATGCCAATCAATCATTTTGGTTAGATAGTTTCGTTGATGAAGCATTGGATAAGATATCACCTACAGAAAGCCAGAAGTATGTTAACTCTTGTATTGTTATGAAGGATTTGATTTAAAGGTAAAGACCAGTTATGGTCATGCGATTGCATTGTCAAAGAAACGTTGTGGAATCGATCAGAAAAGGTTGATCATCTAGCATCTAGCATCTGCAAGGTTCTGGAATCATCAAAATGATAAGAAATTTGGCCCATTCTTCGTAAAGTTACAAGCACTATACACAGAAAGATGTATATGGGACTACCCTATATCTCTCACAGACCATGAGAGAAACAAATTTACCAAATATATGAATTAGTAGGCGGTTTCCCGGCAAATTTTTTATCATCATGTATTAGTCAAAACATATTCTTTCACATGATTGGTTTCATTTTTTGAAATTGGGGCGTTTCCAATACTGGTCTTTACCTTTAATGCCTTTCTAGATCTCAGCAAATGATATGGTATTAGTTGATTTTGTTGAGGTCTCACTTGTTAAGGTACAGAAGGGCATTAGGTCTGTTTTCAATGATATGAGACTTTATGAGCTAATATCCTGCTGGCTGTCATCTGATGATATATGCACAGACTATAGTCCTAATAGAGATGTTAACCAATTGCCTTTTGGATTCTTTCATTCTCATTGAATTAATACAGGGACCACCTAGTTCTAGTGGGCAATGTGTTAACAAACTGTCATATTTATTTACTTCAGATAGTCATATGGTTGTCAGTTTATATCATCTCATTTGTGTTAACATTACAAGGATTAAATTATTACACCGGAAATCAATCTATCATCCTTGCTATAAATGCAGCTTCTAAACTCTTCCACCTCTAAATCACCTTGTAGCTATTTCATAACTAACATTACTATAAATAGAAAAATGTTTATCTTTAATCTAAACATTTCAGTTTTACCCACCTATTTCTGGTCTTTGCAGAAATCAGAGTCACCCTTTGTTGTATATCATAAATGTTCCTCTGTTGGACAAGTGATGTTGAAGATAAAGTTGGGTACTTATCATGTGATCAAATTTAAAGAAGTAACGTTCTAAAAGTTATTTTTGGAAAGGTAGATTTTGTAGTACATAAGCAGAGTATAAACTTGAGGTTTTTTAATCCTTAAAATGAAAAGAGATTGATTCGGTCTTGCTAAAAAGCTCACACGAAGGAAGGCACTGCACCCAGAGATGGGTCTATAGGTCACTACACACACACACACATGTCGCTTCAAAGTTTCTTCCAAATTATTCCCAATTATTATTATACAGTAAAACCTGCTTTAGCGGCCACCTGTATAGAAAGACCACATTTTCATTTCCCTTGAATATGGTTTCTCATTGAAACCTTTATTAAAGTAACCTGTACATAAAGACCACCTGCCTATGAAGACCACTTTTCATGTTTCCCTAGATCTGTCTTTATAATTTATGTACAGGTTTCACTGTATACTTCTATCCATATGAGGTCATATGAAAAGCAATCCTATAGATGCCATTTCTACAGTAACATTCTTCTACACTGACAAAAGAATGAGAAAGTTCACAAATCATTTTCCACCTTCTACTGAAACTCAACCTGCCCCTTAATATAACATGAAACATGATTGGCTTTATGGGGATCACTCATGTATACATATTTTAGATCGGGTTCTCTGATTGGTTGAAACAACAAGGAATGTATAAGTCGAGATGAAAGTGCCATCGGGGGTCAGTATGTTTCGCTTGCCATTGATCACCTGTTCAGTGTGTCTCTCATTACAAAGTTATGAACCATATTTTTCTGTGAACATGAAATATGTAGGAATTCCGATGAAAAGCCCTAGGCTACAGCTTTAGTACTTGTACCTGTACAAGATGTTGCAATAGCCTGTAGGCCTATAATTCTCAAAATTCTTGCAGTCTGATATATTTCCAATAAATGATAATTAGCATTGAAACAGCCTGCTGAGTGCTGATCTCCTCATAAAAGTCTTATTTCTTTCTAAACTAGATTTGCAAGACAACTTGGCATTCAAGAAATGTTAATTAATTTCATTTCTGTTTTAAAAAAAAACCTGTATACTGGTAGTCAACCCCTTTTCTTGACTCTCAAAGATGACATGCTTTATTACTGAGTGCAGTTCATGTATTAAACTCCTTTTAAACTTTCACAAAGGATATTTCATTGAAATTGGGATTTATAAAATTTGTTTATTTCCAAAGATGAACATGATCATTATATTTCATCATTATTGTAATGCTTGTTATTGCTACAGATAGCCTTTTAATGCTAACGTCATTAGCCTCTATTCTTAATGCTCAAGGGATTTGATTTGCAAATCTCTTCAATCCTAATCCGCGTCCTTTGGAGAGAAAATAATGAGTAAAATAGAGATTTAAGAAGGAAGCTAGGCATTGTCCGGGCATTTTTAATCCGAAAATTGCAAGATATAGGAAAGAAGCCGTAAAGGTATGGGCATAAATCCCTCATAATAAACTCTGAATGCATTTGGGTACTTATAGAAGTGGAACAGTTTCTTTGCTGCATTTCCTGCCATCAAGATGGACTATGTTAAATTGGAAGTGATTGGTGATTGGAATTCCTCAGATAGTAATAACTATTGAGTATAAATGTTCGAAGTCATTTTATGTGGATTGTGGAGTGTGATGATCGCTGTAATTGTATAATAGCACAAATATTCCACATATGTAATTCCTTCAATTTTCAGATAATGTTTAACTTCCTAATGACAAACCATTTCAGAAAGTCCATGAAATAACGAGGAGACTCAGGCAATAGGAAGTGGGAAATAAAATGGTTCACTTACAAACATTCTTGAATTTCCGGTTAATTTAACTCTTTAATGACAAACGATTTCATAAAGACATGTTTGATGTTTGTAAGATCACTGAGACATTATGAATGATTTATTATGTACATGTATGAATGAAAGGTTTTGGGGTAAAACGGCAAAAAGGAAATGAGAAGGATGGCTCAACATTCTTGGATTTTACGGATAATTTAACTCTTAAAGAAAAAAAAATCATAAAAATTAAAGGCCTGTTTATTGTTCATGAGCTCACCTAGACATTGTCATGCAGGGAAGTATATTAAGAAAAATGTTAAAGCAGTAAAGCCAAGGGCATTAAGAGGAAAGTAAAACGATTCACTTATATTCTTCGGACTCTTCAAAATATAAATTCCATAAAGACACGTTTGAACAATGTTTGTAAATTCACCTGGAATTTGCCAAGCAAGGGAGGGAAGGGGAAAATGTGAGGGGTACCGTAAAAACTGAGAATAAGAAGAAGTGAAGGAGAAAATAAGCAGAAAGACTGAACAAAAGGAAGAAATGAAGATACTTTGCAAGTCTTTATCTCATCTCAGATGCTTTTTCTTTTCTTTTTTCCTTTCAAATTGAGGGCATTGTAAAGACTATAATCCCATAATGGAGAGTGTGGTTTTGACTTCAAAACAGGCCTCCGAACCCCTGTAATCTTGCCCTGTTATTTCTGTCAGTGAAAACATGGCTGTCACATTAGTCACTCAAACCATAAAGACTGGAATATGTCACAAATTTCAAAGTGTATTTTATTTTCTGTAATTACAGTCCAACTTTATTTCAGTAATTCAAAATTGTGAATAAAAGTTGAATAGAATAAATCAAGCGTGAGGAGATCTCAAGAAAAGAATTTGCTTCACCAATTGTACTTTCCTTTCAAAATGTAGAAAATCCTGTGCTTCACTAAGTTTTTGTTTGACTTGATAGTTCAGAATTTCCCTTTTATTGATTATGTTTGCCTAAAGCTAATGGACAGAAAAAAAGTTTGGCCAAAGTCACGATCTCTGAGGTACATACAGTACGGCGGAATGCTTCGTTTTGAAGTTTTTTTCACTCCTTTTTCAAGTCATAGAGGAGAGGAATTTTATTTGTCTGACCTGGTTAATGATTCAATAGCCTTTGAGGCAAAAAGCCAACAGGACTATAGAATTGTGCAACAAAATGCGTGTGATATGTCAGAAATTCTTCACGTTTCGTCCTCGAGGCTCTGATTTGTGTGTTATTCTCTTCAAATATAGTTTGAGGACATGGATAAGATAAATAAACAGGGTAACTGAGGATAGGATTTGGAATGCTATTAGAAAGCAGTTTTTGAAATAGAGACGTAATGCAGATGAAGTGTGTGGGAACTGGGAAGGTGGGATGCAGCCGAAAGAAGATCGAGATCTTCATATTGTACTGCAAAGTCCCTTTTTACATGCAGGAAGGGGGCTAGATTCAGATATTTTCTAGATGAGCCCGTGTATAATTTGTATTCTTTGGAATAATGACTTGCATGTGATTTTTTGTAAACAACTGGTGTCTTTACATTGTACATGCATGCCTAATCTGCAGAAATTTTGCTTTGAATTAATTAAAAAAACAAAACATGTACATGTGAGTAACACAGGAACCAGGAGTCATTATCCTTTGTTTACGTTTCATTTTTTAATTATAAGATCATATTACTAATTAAATAAAAGTAGATCAATACCAAAAAGCATTGATGATAGAAAAAACACCCAGCCTTGCTATTGTTGTTAGAACAAAGCAGACGGAAGCTCTTATAATGAACCGACAACTAGATTCTGTTATACCGATCAAAGCTTATTGTCTATCGTGATACAATTAAAAACACCCAAGTTCGTCGCCATCTTGCGTAAAAGGTCTCCGGCTAGCTTGCAACATTGATGCAGCTTTAATTGAGTCTCACGTCATTATTTCCAAATCATTTCAGCTTCACTACTTTTCAATAGGGCTTTCTCCCATATCCTGTCAATATCCATAACCTCGATCTGCCACCACGGAGGGGGTATTAATCTACCAAACTGACATGCAGCCAAATTGTTATTTAGGTGCATATATTTCTTTTTGCTGCTCCCACACCCCTATATTGTACATCCGTTGAAGCATGCACCGGAGCAAAGATATTGGAAAGGTGGTCATTAGTTGTATACATCAACTATTTAGGTCTACATTATTTCTGATAAGAAGTGTAATGATAGGAGAAAAGTGGCCAAAAGTAAAATTTCAGAAGCTTACTTTTAATTTATTATTTTGTTAAACAGAAAAGTAAGGTTCATCTAAGATCATACTCATAGTGCTCTTACCTGATGAGCACCGAAACGATGTTAACTGTATGTTGAATATGGTTTGATTTATCTTCTGTGGAGGCTACTCACCATAGCCCCAAATATCTTTAGTGTCATCATTAACATTGTTAATAAATAGTTAGACATGATTTATAGCACCTTTGCTTCTTAGAAGTTGAAAAGTGTCTGCCAGTCTTCTTCCTGAGTATGTTTTGTAATTACTGAAATAAATTCTCGAGAAACGGACCTAGACAGGCTTAAAATTGTCGACTAGTACTGTAATCAGATTTAACAAATCTTTCAAAAACACAAATACTGAAAAACTGCCATCTTTAGTGGGCTTTGGAATACATTGATTAATCCTATCTGCAAATTCAGGCCATTTCCTCCCTCTGTTTCTAAGTTGTCTCTTTATTGTCTGGAAATATCCGAGCATGTTTTACCTGTTGAATGCCTCATAGCAAGACATTTTCAGCATGCTTTAAATAATCCAATCTCCGCACAAAAGAGGAAACGGTTTAGGGAGAAAACCTGCAAGTGAGAGGGAATGTGGTGGTGCAGAAATGTCTTGGCAGGCCTTTGATTTAGCTGTGTTTAGAAGACAAGCAAGCGACAAACTGTTCTATTGAGGGTTCCTGACTCCCAGAGGCGTTTTTTGATCGCCTTTACAGACTAGTTGAGGGCACACCACTTGCCCCTTGTTATTCTGCACCCCTGCTGCAGGCTTAGAGAAATTCCTACCGAAGTAGGGAGAAATACCTGACCCAGTCACAATACGAAATCACTGCTCCACACCTTATCAAACTGCCGGTCTTTAAATTCTCCCAACTTCCAATACTAAATTTTGGATTTCATGGAGCTTATCATTGTCTCCTTTTTCACCCTTCCTCACTACAGTTGATGTCGCATCCCTTCTTTGTTTTTTAATGGACTTGCATGGATGGGCATAGACATGCAATAAACTCTTTCAGTTGAATAAAAACACCTTTTGTGTAAGGCTATTTACCCTATGACATAACACTCCTTTGTGTTGTAGAATTCGTTATCCGTGAATGGGGCTTTCAATAGTAGCAGTTACATAGATTCAATGGATGATTATTCAGTGTACACTCATACATATATCTCATGAGTGAATTTTGTAGGGTGTTAGCGGGCCGTCATCCATTAAAAGTTTTCAAGGATAAAACACGATAAGAATGGAATGGGATCCTTGAATGAGTCTGTGCAGCGCCCATAGGTGCTTCTCCCTGTTCACCCCCATAGCCAGATGCGGGGAGAGTCTAGAGAGAGCGCAAACACAGGCGGCAGGACTGAATTACAGTTGACTGCCATCTCGTGTTACATAGCCATCTCAGGCACCCATTATTCTCACGATCTTGTTCTACAACATAGCTAATAATTGGGACAAATCCTGGAGATGTTTTTCCTGTGAATTGGGCAAAATCCCCCCCCCCCTACTTTTCTTTCTACCAGTTGTCGTCAAAAGACTACTTTCCCTTTTTCGGGCAAATTGACTATTGGGTATGATTACCTGGACCATTTTTCTAAGGTGACTGTTGAAGGTTTCCCATCATTATGAGGAATGTGACACATAACGTTCATTTCTTGTGAGCACTCTTTTGGTACCTTGTTGCCAATCAATTCTAAGCTACACGGTTTTAAACTCCATTGAAATTTAACATGATAACATGAAAACAGCACAAATCTGTTATTTCTGCACCCTGGTAGATCTGATGAGGTTTCTTGTTTCCTCATTCAGTCTTGTTTCCAATTGAAAGAATGTAAAGAAAGCAAGCAAACATACTCAAGAAAGAGTTTACCGTACTTGTAAGAAACGCTTCACTGTAGTTCTCCAATCGTGTAAACCAATATTTGTGATGTTAAACAGCAATTTGAAAAAGGATTATGCAAATTGTGTACATCTGAAATGTATTCTTCTCCGCCAACAATTATTGGATGGTGCATTCCTTGATGTAGCAGCAAATAAGTAAATTTGTTAAGTATTTTGATCCTGAGGCACCCAACCAACCCAACTCAAACCCCATGGCTGTGTTTCACTCATGTGCAACACAAAAAATAAACTGGATTTAGGATGGTTACATTCATGGAATTAATGAAGTTGCCCCAGTGGGCCTCCAGATACATTTGTGTAGCCCCCAATTTTTGTAGAAGCATTTGAAAAGAACTCGGGGGAGGAAAAGTTATTTTGATGGTCATAAGATAATAAAACCTCTAATAAATAATAACGGGATATTTCTCACGACCATGTTGGATTAACTCTCTCGATTTACATTGCATTTGATACTTTCTATAGAGAAAATATAGCAACTTTCTATTGTGAAATGAAAAAGTAAGTTATTTATAATCATTCCAATTCTATTGTATAGTTCTTTCAAACCGATCTAACCAATCCTTTCCTTTCCATCATCTTATCACCTCCAGGTGAACGCTACTGATCCTGATGAAGGAAGCGCCGGACAGGTCACCTACTCGCCCTCCACCGACCTGGTCCCGACCCCTTCCCAGTTCTCTATCAACCCCCTCACCGGCGACCTGTGCGTCATCAGCAGACTGGATAGGGACGCCGGCCAGGAGGAGTACAACTTTGCCGTGAAGGCGACGGACGGAGGAGGGCTCATGTCACATGCATTCGTCAGAGTGATCCTAGAAGACATCAATGATAATGTTCCTGTTTTTACGTCCCTCAACTACAGAGGTACAGTTTTATCAATTTATATTATCCTCTTTAAGACTTTTCTCGCTATTGCTCAAAACCCAGACTGCCACATTGTTTGGAGTGTGTGTTGCAAAGGTCAACTGTGGCAATCCATCGTTTGTTCCATTAGTTGACCAAGCCTGTAATGAGTTACATATATTCATATTCATATTCATATTTATTATATAATACTAAGCCTGAGATAACTTGAGGCTACGGAAAATGTGACTTACCGGTACATCAATATGTGTCAAAAGGTTCAAAATTGTGACCTACTGCTTTTATCATTTCATCAGTTTAGAGCCAAAAGGGCATTAACTCTGTATATAATGCTATGAGTTAACGTCCTTCTGGCTCCGAACAGGCAATTTAAATCCAGCTTAGACGTGATGTGGACACCTGACTTTAACCAAAATTTGGATCAAAAACAAAATGGCTGCCGGCAACAATAGCTCTTATGCATACAAAGTTACTATCCCAAATGAATGTGAAGTGCGCTATACTTACCTCATTTTATTTTGCTGCATCAGTTATGGCATTTATTTCAAGTTTTAATGAGGTTCTTTTGTTCCATGACCCAAGCAGTATACATTCTTGAGTCAGGGAGATGACCCCCAGAACAGAAACTGAAAAACAGTTGCATCAAACATAACTAGATTTGTTTTATTTATTACCCCTTCATTACGCTCCAGAAGAACCCCAAACAGCCCCCAAAGGGGTCGTTCCTGAACAAAGTTCTTTCAGGACAGCCTTAATTTATGTTGCCAAGAAATCGTTCTGTAAAGGAAAGTGTTTTTTTTTCAGTTGGGTGATTTGCACAGTTCTGATTTACTTTCATTTCTGCACCCTTATGTTGTGAGTAATCTCCAAAGCTGAAATGTAATGTCTTGAAATTACCATCTTTATAGGATACCAAAGCAGTTTAGCAAATTACTGTTTACCTTCGTTTAGAAAAACATGAACAGCGAGTGTTATAACAACCATGTAAGTTTTCTTTATGGCTATACTAGTAAAAACCAAACTGTCTTGTAATTTTTGAAAGGGTGAATTGAAAGCAGGTAAATGGTGAATTCCAGAATATCTTCTTGACAAAAATAAATTTGTTATATCCTTCTCATGCTTTTTTCCTCCAAAATGCTTATTTGAAGGATTATTTGTTGTATCAGCAGTTCAGCACTCTGGTAAAGTAATATTTATTAGAGTGCCTAATAAGAATAATAGAATTTATAGAGTGCAGAAACTATCCAACATCAAGTATATATTCCACTGCACTACAAGAGCTCCTGATATACTTAAATTTACAGTTAATTGAAAAGATGTGCTTTCAGTTTTGATTTAAGGATATTCACAGATGGTAATTTCCTGACTTCAAAATTCAAATGGTAAGTTATTCCAGAGTTTTGGGGCTGCACAAGCTAATGCTCGATCACCTAGCGTTATTTTGATTTGATAGATGGGATCTGCAGCAACAAAGTATCTCGGGAGCTGCGCAAGTTGCGATTGTGTTGATTAAGTTTGAAATTCAACAGTTCTTTGATAGAAGTGGGAGCTTGACCAAGAAGTGCTTTATATACAATCAGCAAGATTTTGAATGTTATTCTCAATTAATGGCCTATTAATTATGACATGTTCATTATCATTTCTCTCTCCTCACAGGTCACATTGAATACGATGCTGCCCTCGGTACGGATGTCAAGCTTGTGGTCGCTGAAGATAGGGATGCCAGAGAATTTGGCCGTGTGACCTATACCATCGACTCCAGCACCAACGATGGGACATTTGCTATCAACCAAACTACAGGTCAGTATTCAGTAAATATGAAATGTGTTAAATCTCATAAACAGGCTCCCAATACTTTACTTTTTCTGTCTGCCTCCTTGTTTCAGAACACTACTACATCATGCATGTCACATGTATATCATCCGCAATCGAAGGCTCTAAAAATATAATAATAGATGCCTCAAGTGATTATGTCAAAAGTTATGTATATAACTGTAGGAATGCATTATTTGAGTTTTCAACCGCCCTCTTTTACCTCCTGTTAACGTCCAAATTGTTATTTTCACGAATTGGAAAGAAAAGTCCTTAGAAGCACAGTAAAGATCTGAATATATTATTTAGGGGGAATTTACCCTAAATCAGGGCTTTCTAACATAAACATACAACTACCCATTCTCTCTCTTCTACAATAAAAATAGCTTTATCTCTACATGACTTTTAACCAATTTCTAATCCAATCTTTCCCCTCCTTTCCACCCTCCCCACCCCAGGTCTTATCACCCTGGTTGGTTCCTTAGACTGGGTCCAGCATCCAGTCTACACCCTGGAAGTCATTGCTACCGACGGGGGCGGTCGTACCTCCGCCAACCACGCCCAGGTCACCATCACGGTGGCCGGGCCAGACACGTCGCCCCCGGAGTTTGAATCCTCGTCCTATGCATTTTCCGTTCAGGAGAACGCGGCTCAGGACCTTGTCGGTGCAGTCAAAGCAGGGCATATTGATCCAGGTAAGTCCTTGGCCCCGTTTCACAAAGTTCTTTTTTCAATGACAAATGACAAAAAGCAGTGACAAATCTGCTGATAACCAACCAGAAGCAAGGATTTCAGTAGCGTATAACAAAAACTGTCTCTTGTCGCTGATGACAAGTTTTGTGAAACGCCCCCTTGTCTCAAACATTGATTAGTTTATATGTGCCATTGAAATCCAATTGCATTTATTTTCACACTTAAGACTATTTATTTAAAAAAAATGTTTACAGATTATTATGAGTAGAGTTCAAAAGCATGGCTTAATGATGTATAGGAGAAGGCTTAATAAAGCAAGTAGCTTGTGATGGCAATTCCTGAAAATAGAAAAGCCTTGTAGTACATTGTTTTCCTGAAGTGGTAGTTTTAACAAAGATTGTTGAAAGAAATCTTCTATAATGCTTCTAGTCTACATAGAAAATAATGGTCTTGCAGCGAGTGATGGCGTGCAGTTAAAAATAAGTGTTTTCATTTTTTTTTCTTCCCGTGATGCAGGTATCACCTTTCCAATAACCTACACGCTGACATCTGGTGATCCTAATGACTTCTTCCGGATCAACACTACCAGTGGGGAGATATTTACAAGAGGTTCTGGGCCTGATCATGAGCAGCAAGCTTTTGTCCTCATCACCATCCAGGCAGCCAGTGGAATGCCTCCTACCTACGACGATGTCCAGGTGAACATCACCGTCATTGATGTCAACGACAACGTCCCACAGTTCATGGCGCAGACTGCGCGTACAAGCATTCCAGAGAGCACGGGAATCGGAAGTTCTATCTATGTCGCTACAGCAATGGATCTGGACAGTGGTGATAACGGATTGGTGAGGTATCGTCTGACGTCGAATCCAGGGAACACGTTCAGGATAGTTGAGGCAACTGGTGAGATCATCTTAAATAAGGAGGTGAGCTACAACGATCAGCTAAGCTTTGAGGTGGACATCCAGGCATATGACGCTGGTGAGCCATCGCTCGAAGGTAGCCTGACCCTCACCGTCATCATCCTCGATGTGAACGATAATGGTCCCGTCTTCACCATGGGTTTCTACCCGGTATCTATTCTTGAAAACCTACCAATCAGCACCCCTGTCGTTCAGGTCGAAGCAACTGACAATGACCGCGGCGCAAACGCCCTCATCACCTATACCCTCACTCCAAACAACGACTCGCCCTACTTCGCTGTCTTTCCTCGCGAGGGATGGCTGTACACGCGGCAGGTGCTGGATCGGGAGCTCAAGTCCACCTTCACCTTGACCATCATGGCTTCCGACAGTGGTAGCCCTCCGCAGAACTCCTCGGCCACTGTACAGGTTACCGTGGTGGATGCCAACGACAACGCTCCACACTTTACGAAGAAGAGCTATCACTTCCACATCAATGAGAACCTACCGGCAGGCACTGAAGTGGACCGAGTGGAGGCTGTAGATCCAGACCTGGGTCCCAATGGACAGGTCACCTACACTCTCTCTCCTTCAGGGGATTTTACCATTGATGAAGAAGGTACTTGCTTCACTTGATACAGACTAGTTGACATTGATCAAAATGAAACACTTTATTCCAATACTTATGAATGGATGAATAGACATGAATTGTGTTATAATTTAAACTGTTTTAAAACAAAATTATGGAAACAAAAGGCAATTTCAAAGTTGGAATGAATGGTTTGATCTATTTTTCTTTGTTATTGGTCTATTTTTGTGATTTAAATGCTCTAAAATATGCTTGATATATTTCAATATTCTTTTGAAAGTAAAATTGGATTTAACAAAGTGGGATTTGATTGTATTCAGATAAATGTATTTTAACAAAGCTACACAAAATTTGGCTGATAATGTGAACAACTCCTGACTGTTGAGGGTTTAAATTGTGTTGATTATTCCATCTCTATTTCTTTTCTGATTTCGTGATTGGGCATGTGCATGATGGCTTAAATGTTGCACTTGCGCCAGATCTCACAAATCTGAATAAGCACAATATTACGATAACCATCTACCGGTAATGCTCCTTCTTTGTCAATTTTCCACCAGGTGTCATAAGAACAACCCACCCTCTTGACCGAGAGGCTGCCTATAGCTACAGACTGATCATCAGGGCCGTTGACGGGGGAAACCCTGCCCTGAGCTCCTCAGCTACCGTCTACATCAATGTCAACGACCTCAACGACAACGCTCCTGTATTCTCCCAAGATCGTACCTACCAAGCGTCGGTGAGGGAGGAGCAACCTGCTGGGGAGTTTGTGGCATGGATCATCGCTACAGACACAGACAGTGGAGTGCTTGGAAATATCTCCTACTCGCTGATTGACAGTAAGTGGTCTACTTTGCCTATGTTCTCCACTTCACATGGAAAGGATCATTCCTTTCCTTGTGAAGGACATTTTGGATTTTAGAAATTAGGAGATAATAATAATAATAATGATATTTGAGATTTATATAGCGCTGGTATACAAATACAGTTTCTTAGGGCTTTACAAAACAAATGAAATGAAAAGTATGGTTAAACTAAATGTGTAATAAGGATCAACAAGAAACGTGAAATGAACATTGCGCTTAATTTGGATGAATTACTTAACTAACAATGTATAACAATAACATGATAATAAAAAATGAAAATGTCTCCTTCTTTGTCAATATCATATCTTTTAGTCATGGGTACCATCAGACTTTGATATTTCTATTCTAAAGTTTGGGTTATATATGCTGCACCCAGCTCATGATGTCAGCTTACTTGTTGATTTGCTTATGTTGAATAATAAAACCTTGGTTGTTATTGTTCACAGGTTCTCCCAAGTTTATAATTGACTCCTCCGGTGTTATCAGCACTGCTGCAGCAATTGACAGAGAGGACGAAAGCTACTACACTTTGACTGTCCTAGCACAGGACGGCGGTAATCCACCCATGCAAGCAACCGCAAGTGTCAGGGTTCGCATCCTAGACCTCAATGACAACGTGCCTATTGCTGCCATGTCTGCGTACATTTTCACAGCTGATGAGAACATCCAGCCGCCTACAGTAGTCGGGGTTGTATCAGCCTCGGACATGGACGTAGGTGACAACGGCAAGATTTATTACTACATCACGGAGGGCAACGACTTTGACGTGTGGGATGTGAACCACAGCTCCGGTGAAGTCTACAACGTGAGAGTCGTGGATTATGAGATGGCAGCTCACTATACCTTGACGATCATCGCCCAGGATAACAATGTTCCTCAGACGCACTCCACCTCGATCAGCGTCACCATCAACATCCTCGACCAGAACGACAACACGCCTGATTTCGATCAGGACCTGATCTACCTGACCCTGCAGGAGAATGTCGGCATCAACCACGTCCTCTGGACAGTCTCTGCAACAGATGCAGACTCTGGCGCCAACGGCCTCATCCGCTACACCATCCTCACAGAGCAAGACTTCTTCGCAGTCGATGAGTACACGGGCACCCTTCGCACCATCCAGAACGTGGACCATGAAATCAACCATGTTTTCCTCCTCGTCATACAGGCGCAGGACCAGGCCATCAACGTCAGCGCACGGAGGGCGGCGACCAGCACGGTGGAGGTCCGGATCTACGACAGCAACGACAACAATCCTGTGTTTGTGTCCAGGAGTTCAACCGATGTGATGGAGGATGAGCCTGTCGGGTTCAATGTGATTCACATCATAGCGACGGATGAAGACAGCGGGGAGAATGGCAGAGTTGGTTACACGATAACCTCTGGAAACGAGGATGGCAAGTTCAGCCTGGATGCAGTTACTGGTAAGTTTATTTAGATATTGCATGAGCAATACATCTTTGTAATCAATACTGTCACTGTAAAAGTATCATTAACCTAAATTCTTATTGCCAGAAAATATTTTTTTAATGTACACTTCATATTCTCCAATTATGTTAGTCATATCGATTATCAAAAAAGGAGATCAGTTTGAGACCAACACAAAATGTTAAACATGTTTGGTGTCATGCTCATTACTCTTGTTTTCACTCATCCAGTTTTATCCATAAGTTTATTTAATTATTTTTGCTGATACTATTAACAGCCTTAGAGAATATTTCAGATTTCTTTTAAAGCGATGACTCTATCGTGTTTTGCTTGTGTTCCATGGTGTTTGATAAACGTATTTAATAAAAATCTGTCTTTTGAACTTTCAGGTTTGCTGACCATTGCCCACTCTCTTGACCACGAGCACAAACGAGACTATGAGCTGGTCATCCTGGCCACTGACCATGGCACCGTCCAGCGCATGGCCACCCAGACTCTCACCATCAGGGTGATTGATGTCAATGACCAGCCGCCGCGCTTTGAGCAGTCCATCTACGTGATGAACGTCTCGGAGAGCCAGGCACCTGGGACGTATGTCGGAATGGTGGTTGCTATTGACGGTGATTCAGGTAGGTAGTCAGTTAGCCCATTGCCTACCACAACTGGGTAGTCCTGTGTATTGAACCAAGGGGACTGAGAGAATTCTGTTTTCATTAGCTTAAGATATATGCTCTGTCAGTGTAACTTGTCACATACACTAGTGTTTGCAATTGAGTTGGCATGAATTTTGCTTATTCTTTAGGACCCAAGTGCACGTAATTTACAGTTTGTTGCAATTATTTAGATCAAACATATGTAAAATCAATTACCAATTTAAATCAAGTTTACTTTTTAGTCACTTTGTACTGTAAGCGATGATGTCTGAGAAAAGTGATGTCTATGTTTACAAACTATTGGTTCATAGGTAATATTACTGGGTTTATCAAAGAAAGAGTTTGAAAGAGACTGAACAAATTCAGCCATTTTGTTGCATATTTGTGCTAAGATTTGTTTTTGATGAGCTCCATGCTTGTTAATGGACAGCTGTTATCAATCTCTTTCTCTAGGATTATGAAAACTAGTACTATCTATGTATCTATGTATTTTTTTTTACCTTGTAGTTATTCATATAATTTTTTATTGAACTTTATACTAATAAGATCTGTAATGTGTTTCTTTGACAGGTGTCAACGGCAGGATAACCTATGAGCTTCCAGAGGAGATAGCCAGAGGGATGTTCCGGATCAACGCTACAACGGGAGAGATTAGAACCAAAGCCATCCTAGATAGAGAGCAAAGGGATTCGTATGTAGTTACAGGTAAAGAGATCATACTATTTCTATCAAAGATAGACTTAACAACCAGAATGTTGCAGATATCTCAGAAAATATGAGATGGACATTGCATTTTGACCACATATGTCAAAATTATGGTTCGTTAAACTCTGTAAACTCTTAACTACAAGGACATTTAAAAGAACTTACTGTTATTGTTCAGGGTGGTAAAGATAAATTGATGATGAACTTTCAGTTTTCAGTTTAAGCACATCTAAAAGGATATATGCTGTGCTATATTCATTTAAAGATAACAATGATTATTAGTTTTCAGCACATAGATTGGTTCATTACATATATGATATAGTTAAATAATTCAAATTCAGCAGAAAGAAGACATTTCTTTGAGATATTTATTATCAGTCATTAGTCAAATTATTATTGAACCTTTGGTTATGTGTTAATTTTAGAATCATGTGTGCTCTAAAAATACACTGACGGGAGTCATCTCTTGCTAAGTTTTCATCGAGCTAATGAATCTGGTCTTTTGTTTTGTCTTCACTCTATAGTCTATGCTATGGATGGTGCTTTCCCTGCCCGCTACGACATGGCCACCGTTCTCGTCTACGTGATGGACGTCAACGACAACAACCCGACCTTTGCCCCTCCGACCTTTGACATCACCCTCCCCGAGAACCAGAGTCCCGGTGTCATCCATAACGCAATAGCAACGGATGCGGATGAGGGCCCAAACGGAGATCTTATCTACTCTATTACAGGTAAGCATGATTGATGGCATTTCATGAATAATCATAATTGTAGTTGCTAAAAGGTCATGTTGAGTAAAATTTACCAATACCAAAGAATTATATTAGTGATGATTTAAACTACTTTTTAGTTTAAAGGTAAAGACCAGTATTGGAAACGTCCCCAAGTTCAAAAAATGAAATGGAAGCTCTTATTACCAATCATGTGAAAGAATATGTTTTGACTCGTACATGATGATAACAATTTTGCCGGGAAACCGCCTACTAATTGATATATTTGGTAAATTAGTTTTTCTATCGGTGTGCGAGAGATTAACTCACGTGTCGTGCACGTGTGCGTAGTCCCATATACATCTCTCTGTGTACAGTGCTTGTAACTTTACGAAGACTGGGCCAAATTACTTATCATTTTGATGATTCAAGAACCTTGCAGTACACACCAATACTTATATGCTAGATGATCAACCTTTTCTGATTGATTCCACAACGTTTCTTTCACAATGCAATCGCATGACCATAACTAGTTTTTACCTTTAATATAACAATCAAGTTAAAGAAATGCTATTGACTTTTTAATTGAATTACCAGATTCAAGAAATACAACAATTCTTCATGAAGTTTACCATACATCAAAACAATATATCCTTTTAGTATTTTTTTAGTAGCATCATATATTTGATGAATCTTAAGATAAGATGTACATCTATACTGTTTCTGTTGGGAAAGCACTTAAAAGTGAAAGGTTATTTCGTATTTTAACAGCATAAACTTAATCTGACTAAACAGAATTAAAACATTATTGATAATGTTTCATACAAATACAAAATATATAAAATTGTTTCCTTTCAGGTGGTGATCCAAAGAACGCCTTCTCTATCAATCAATCTACCGGTGCAATCTTCACTGTGGGGGCGCTTGACAGGGAGGACGAGGCCACGTACACGCTGACCATCACTGCAACCGACCAGGGCACCTCGCCCAGAAGCGGGACCACAACCATCCGTGTGACGGTGACCGACCTCAACGACAACGACCCCGTGTTTGGATCCATGTCGTACTATAAGAGCATCCCGGAGAGCACCGCCATCAACGCCACCATTCTGACGGTGGTTGCTACTGATGATGATGAAGGGTTGAATGGAGATGTGTACTATACCCTTGATAATACCACCATTGGGTTGTTTAGCATTGATCCAGAGCATGGCGAGATCACGACTACTGGGTGAGTGTACTTATTTAAATGAATCCATGTCCACAATCTTGTATTTTGTGATAATTGTGTCTTTGATTTGATATTCTGATTAAGTCATGCAGAGTTCTGAAGACATCTTTTTTTATACCAATCTAATTTATTTTAATTTGATTTATTTGCCATTCCCTGTTTAATGTAAGTATGTCTGTCAGACAACTTGTACAGCCAATCCTGTTTTAGCAACCATCTACATATAAGGATATTGTTTTTCATACACCTGAACATTGTTTCTCATTTATTGCTGCATAAATGGAACCTTTACACAAAGCAATTTGGTGAAGAAAGAAATTTATTTACTCTTCATGAAAAGTCGACCACATGTGCAGCAAGAGATTACACAGATGAGACTAAGCTATTCGTATGAACAGGAATCAAACCGTGTTTATTGAATTTTATCAGCACCAGACTCTAATTATGAATCTAATCAATATCATCTTTTGTCAATCATGGTCTAAAACTCCCCCTTCACCATTTTCCCCATCCAGTAAATTTGACTACGAGAAGGAGACCCGCTACACGTTCCAAGTGACGGCCACCGACAGTGGCGTCTTCGGTCCTCGCAGCGAGCGAGTCCAGGTGATCATCGACATCAGTGACGTGAATGACAACGCGCCAGTGTTCAAGACGATCCCTATCAGAGCTAACGTTACCCAGGACGCCTCCTCCAACACCTTTGTTGCTAACGTCGAGGCAGATGACAAGGATTCAGGGGTTAATGGAGAAGTTAACTACAGGTAAGGGGAACCTCTGTTTGTTGTATATTTTTATTCTTTTTAAAGCTTATCTGCCATAGTTTACAGGAGGGATTAGACCGCCCTGCAAGGTCACTGGACAGGTGGTTATCTCATCAACTCAGCTCTCAGTTAACATAAGAAAAAGAGGATCATGGGGGACCAATGGTCACCGATTAGGCATTGTTTGTTATATAGAGGGCGCAAGTAGCTACAAGTAGTGCAGTGGGCCTTTAAAGTGAAATGGTAAAACCGGTCACTCGTTGTTTGTTCTCTTTGCCAAATTTTGAAGATGAATGAATTAAATAAAGGGCATATGTCAGTAGTATTGATGTGATGAAGATGATGATTATGGTCGTGATGATGATGATGATGATAATGGTGGTGGTGATGGTATTGGTGGAAATGACTATGGTGGTCGTGGTGGTGATGACTATAGTGGTAGTGGTGATGGTTATGGTTGTGGTGCTGAAGGTGTTGGTGGTGGTGATCTTGTTTATGATGACTATTATCTCATTTTATTCATGCCTGCACATTATGTAACACAATTATGTTAGGATTTGTCTTCTGTTCTGCTTATCATGATACTGATGACATAATACCAGCAAGAGACGCATAAAATATAATCGTAATTTTGTAATTTTCTCCATCATTGTGCAGATTCACCCAGCAGTCCTCGTCCTTTGCTATTGACACCGTCACTGGCGTTATCACAACAAAGTCCCTCAACCCTGGCACGCTATTTTATCATCTGGAGGTCATGGCCTTTGACCTCGGGTCACCATCGTTGAGCAGCAATGGTAGGACATTGTTTCCCTCATGCAAAATGGCATGATTACGATAGATAATATTTTTATTAAATTCAGTTCTATTTGTTTACTTTGGTACAACTATAAATTGAAATGAATGGCAATAGCTTATACAATATAATATAGAATAATACATGAAACATCATATTGTTATAATTAACAAGAAGAGGAAAAGAGGTCACTTATAAAAGGTAGTTCTGGGGGCATGGTGGATTAGGTTGTCAAAACTATTTGAATATATAACACTACACAATTTTTTGTACATGTATGCATTAATTGTACTTTTCTTCACCCATTTTTATCTAATTCAAAATTATCTAATTGGATTTGAGTAGGTATGATTTTTATATGAGGTTAATGTCTGAAATGTATTACTATTAAGGTATCCCTTTACTTGCAAAAACATTCTAGGTCTATTCTTAATTATTGAAAGAGAAAAATGACCCTTTTTTGGCCGTTCGCTGTGGACAAATTTGTGATTGATACCACTGTAAAGAAAATAAGAATTTGTTTATTACCCATATGGAAGGAAAGTACAAAAGGTTGCATCACATGACTTTACTCTTGAAGAACCTCTTGAATGAATGTATTCTTGCTTGTTATCTCAGGTATCGTTGAGGTGTGGGTAGGAACATCGGGATCCGGTGGCCTCCAGTTTGGCCAGCAAACTTACTTGGTGCAGCCATCGGAGGCAGCGGACAATGGGGACGTGGTCCTTTCGCTTTCAGCCTTCCTGCCCGACGGATCGAGCTCCAATGACATCGTGTACAGTCTGGTCAGCGGGAACGAGAACGGAGCTTTCGGGATCCAAGTACAAGCAGGTATGGTTATGTTTGATTCAGAATGTTAATTTAGCAAATTTCTCTTAAAGCAGGACTGCACTTCTTGCAGCTACTTGCGCCCTCTATATAGCCAACAATGCCTAAGTGGTACTCGTCGATCCCCCATGGTTCCCTTCTTCTTATGTTAATTGAGAGCTGATTTGATGAGATAAACACCTGCCAGTGACCACGCATGGAGGTCTAATCCCTCCTGGCCAAACTAGTGCATATAGGCTTTAAACATCTTCCTCATCATCATCATCATCATCATCATCATCATCGTGTAATGGCTGCGGCATGGTCAACACCAGTAGCATAACCTTTGTTATATATCTGTGCTGATTACTCACCTACTAGCACCCATCTATAGTCATTTGTTGTCTTGAATATTTAGTGCGAATGTCATTTGAATCTGTGAGAATTGATTTTCAATCATCTTCAATTTAGATTACATTACTACAGATATCACAGCCATCACTTCATATAACCCCAATCTTTAATTCATCTTGCAGGTGGAAGTGCAATCCTGGTGGTAGCCGACACCACCAAGCTAGACTACGAGACCCAACCCAACATCAGGTTGGTAGCGGAAGCAATGCGGACCCCCGAGAACTCCAGCCCCATGTACGGCTACGCCACCGTCCAGGTGGAGCTGACGGACGCCAACGACAACGCCCCGCAGTTTGTCCAGGATCGTTATCAGAGCAGGGTGTGGGAGGTGCCCAATTCGGATATCTATGTTACTCAGGTAGGTTGTATTTACACTTGAAAACAATTAACGTTTCAGTCTGCTGTTTTACGATGGATGTGGTTGATCTGGTTGAGCAGTTGCAGAAGCTGAGAGTTGTACCAATGTTGGTTGAGCCAGAATATATAAGGTCCATAAGTGAGTAAACGTGTGTCCCTGTGGGTATTTGTTACCTTGAAATGTGGTCCTTTTAACAGAATCATCAACATGTATAATACTGCATTTTCATGTCCAAATGATTTGTTTAGCTGGACAGATTTATTTTAATCATCGTGATACATATAAGCCTGTCGAAAATTGTGGTCTCAATCTCAAAAAATTGGTTATCATCATATCCATATACCATAGAAGTTTACAAAAACAAGGCTCATTTTAATAAATCCATGGCATTGATAAACATTATGCATTTTTTAACATTGGAACCCATTCCATTAGATTGCCAATTTACACATTTCTTAACCTTTGAACTATTCTCAATCCTCCACAGGTATCTGCAACCGATGCTGACGAAGGCACCAACGGAGCTATCTACTACGAGGTCACCAGCGGCAACACCGACAATGCCTTTGCCATTGACCACGTGACCGGTATAGTGACCACTGCCAAGAGCTTGGACTATGAGATTGAAGATTCATACGTGCTGACCGTCGTCGCCAGGGACGGAGGGTCACCCCAGCTGACCGGTACGGCCACCATGAGGATCGGCATTGTGGACGTCAACGACAACCAACCCGTCTTCGTGCAGATGGATCCTGTCAGTGTTAGTGAAGGTGGGTAGAAAACAGGAATTTCCATCTTTTTTTTTTTTTACTTCTCAAAGGTTATAATTTTTCGAAGAAGTTATATTGGGATATTCTATCTGACATCTGACTTCTCTTCTGACTTGTTTTCTGAGAGTCAGAAAGACCTTAATTCTGTGTCAAGAGGAATTATTGCCCTTTTGGTTCTCAGCAGTTGTTACATCAGGAAAGGATGGATCAAATATGCTAAAACATCTATGTAGTTTTTTAACTTTTAGAGGGTAAATGTACTGAAATTCTGATATCGTAGATAGAGCTTTCATAAACTATGTAGATTTCTATGATCTATTTGTATTACAGGTTACAAGGAACCTGATACTGAACCACAATGTTATATAACATTTAATCTCTCAAAGTCAAAAAGTTGTAGGCATGGGACTATAAGTTACCATGGCTGTGTGATCCATTTATATCTCAGTATGCTTACGTTAAACTTCAATCTAGCTCAACTTTTGATAATTCATTTCTCTCCTTTTTTAAACAGACCTCGGTGTGGGACTATCCGTCACCACCGTTACAGCCACAGATTCGGACACCAACCCCAACATCCAGTACAGCTTCACATCGACCGGCAACCCTGGAGGGTACTTTGCCATCGACCAGTACAGCGGGATCATCACCCTGGCCCGCAGTCTGGACCGCGAGACGCAGGACGGATACACGCTGGAGCTGGAGGCTACGGACACCGAGTACACGACCACCATGACCCTGGAGGTCATTGTCACGGACGAGAATGACAACGCGCCCGTGTTCCGTCAGGAGTCGTACCAGGTAGGAAGCTATCTTGTCATCAGTGACAAATGACAGTTGTGGTTATAAGCTACTGAAATCCTTGCTTCTGATTGGTTATCAGCAGATTTGTCACTGATATTTGTCATTTGTCAATGAAAAAAGGCTTTGTGAAAGGGGTCCCAGATCTTGTGCAGTTATTCAGAGTATGGTTATTTCCTAATGTTTTATTCTATCAGTGTTTGAAAGAGTAATTGGTGGATTATATTGGGTGCAATGACAACCGAACTTTCGTAACACAGCATTTGCTTTTATTCATGTTGTGTAAAGTAAGTAAAGTGTAGCAGACTTCTGTGGAATTAATTGGATTGGATTGCATTAAATTAGATATTATTATATCATAATTTGAATTCAGACTTTCAACAGCAAGTATACTTACTAATTTCCTTTTTTTAAAGATTATCTAGTATGAGTTAAGATGGTTTTGTTCACATGTTTTACACAAAATGTGCATCGTTTAATCCATTCATATCACCAATGGGGCTATAGATGTACACTTATGTGAAACAAACATGAAGACGATACAAAGATTTGGAAAATCGATGACTTTGCTGTTGTGAACTAATGTATGTATATCTCTTATCTTCTGCTCATCCTGCAATAGGTCACTCTCCCTGAATTAACTCAGCCTAACGTGGCTGTCGTAGCGGTGAATGCTTCAGACAAAGACATTGGACTCAATGCTGAGCTGACCTACAGCTTTGTAGACTCTCATCCATCTTTCTACATCGACCCGATTACTGGTAAGTTATCAACATGATTGATTTATGTCTGATATGACATTGTATATTATCTTTCTATCAAATCCTATCTCTTTTCGTGCAATCTAGATGGAATTTAAACTTATATTTTTATATTTGTCAGGCATCACAACTGTTACGTTGCTTTTGCTATTGCTGTTGATTTTAATACAAAAAGCCTCACAGTCAACAATTAATTCACCTACAAGAAAATGTGCTCTAATGTAAATGGTGTACTGTTATGTTTACTTTCTGCAATAGGCAAGCTATGCATTGGATGAATAGCCACTGTGATAATTCATAGATTTATTTGGTCTGTTATCGGTGCTCCCAACTTTGTGTGTTTCATGCTAATCTCAGGGTACGTCTCATGGATAATATTTGTCTGAGTGATCAGTTCTTTCATTTTCTCTTTTGGCAACCTAATACTAGATTTCAAATATGACAGTGTTTTCAATAATTTCATTATTTCTAGGTACGAAGTGGCAACCATTGATGTGAAATTGTTTCTTTTGCTTATTCTTGCAGGTGTCATCTTCACCAATCAAGTCATTGAGTTCAATGACGTAGAGACCACCATCCAGCTGTACGTCACTGCCACGGATAGCGGAGCACCGGCCCTCTCAGAGTTTGTCACCGTCAGAATAGAGATCACCGACGTCAACAACCAGTCCCCAGTGTTTGTGGAGGACATCTACAGCGCCAGCGTGTCTGAGAACGTATCCCTCGGCCATCATGTCATCACCGTCGTCGCGGAGGACATGGATCTGTCACCCGAGAACAGCAAGATCAATTACTTCATAGAGAGTGGCAATGATCAGGGGAAGTTTAAGATCGATGCGAATGATGGCAGCATCACTGTCCTTGAAAGGCTCGACAGGGAGGCGACGGATACCTACACGTTGATCATTGGCGCCGTCGATAACGGAGAACCAGTGAACAACGCAACGGCTGAAGTTGTGATAGAAGTCGAGGACATCAATGATCACTCTCCTATTTTTGACCATGTCCAGTACGAAGGAAGAATAGCTGAGAATGCAACAGCAAGTACATACATTCTGACAGTGCATGCTACAGATAGGGATATAGGATACAATGGGGAGGTAGAGTACAGCATCATATCGGGTACCTACAGTGATCTGTTTGCTATTGATGTTGTAAGCGGTGCGGTGACTGTCAGGGGAGAGCTGGATCGGGAGGAAGTTGAAAGGGTGGAGTTCACCGTCCAGGCCAGTGACCGAGGCATGGAAAACCAGCTAGCATCTGTGGTCTTGGTTACAATCACCATCACAGACTTCAACGAGTTTCCACCGTACTTCCCGCAGCTGTTCTATCACTTTTTGGTTCCGGAGAACATGCCAGTGGAGACGTACGTGTTCACCGCAGGAGCTCTTGATAATGATGCAGGGGAATACGGAGAGCTCACCTACTCCATCAGAGGTCTTGGCCCTTCAAACGGCGATGATTACTTCACCATTGATCCTGTTACAGGAGAAGTGTTCACTGCAGCGGTCTTTGACTATGAATCCGCCAACAGCTACCGCTTCGTCGTCCAAGCCCAAGACACAGGAGGTCTAAGCATATCCATCCAGACCGAGGTCAACATCACCAGTGTGGATGAATTTCCTCCTATGTTCAATGACCAGGAATACTATTTTGAGATCGGCGATGGAGCAGATGCTGGTGATTACGTGGGCCAGGTAACTGCTACGGATGCGGATGGTGGTGAAGATGGGGTGGTGATCTACAGTCTCACCCATGAGTTCTTCTACATCGAGGCCACCACAGGGATCATCAAGGTAGCTAAGCCGTTGAACTCCAGTGCGAGAAAGAGGAGAGGGTTGGAAGATCGATTCACACATAGATCCAGACGAGAAATTGATCTAAGTGCACAGAGTAACTTTGCTCTTAAGATCATTGCCAGCACCGGTAAGCCAGGTACTTTAATAGACGATACAACTGCGGCGGTGTCTGTAGTCAATGCTGCATCCTCCATCCCTGTCTGGATTATAGCTATTGTCGTTGTAGCAATACTAATCATTCTTCTGTTTGTTGTCATTGGGATTATCCTTGTATGCAGACAGCGCAGGAGGAGACGAAAGAAGGAGGCCCAGGCTGACAAACGTAGCGTGGCTGGATCCATGTCGCCACGTTCCTACGATGTGACCTTTGACCCTGTTGAAATGGGAGCGCAAGGGATGGTCAACCATGGCATGAACTCTTCAGGTCACTTCCCCCACAGGCAGCTCTACGGCATACCAGGTTCAGGGGGTGGAATGGGCCACACCAACATCTCTGAGCCATCCAACTCTGCTTCCAGCGGGAGAGGCTCAACAACCATGGAGGATGAGGAGATTAGGCGCATCAATGAGGGTGGGACGGGAGCTCCAAAGAACAACATCAGAGAGAAAGTGATCGATTCAGGTATCGCCCAGGATCATGAGGATGGAAGTGTCTCGGACGTGAACTCCCCGCGAGAGAAGCACCTCAATTACCTGAACTCTACCAGTGTGGAAAGCATGCATGTGTTTGGAGAGGAAGGGGGTGGGGAAGCTGGAGGTGGTCTCGATATTGGACATCTTATCTATCATAGGTTAGATGAAGTTGGGGCAGAGGAAGACGATGCCATCATGGATGGAACCAGGTTGTTCGGTTTCACAGAGGATGGCCATCCTTCCATGGCAGGCTCATTGAGCTCCATTGTAAATAGTGATGAAGAACTATCCGGTAGCTACAACTGGGACTATTTATTAGACTGGGGACCACAGTTTCAACCCTTAGCGCATGTTTTCGCTGAAATCGCTAAGCTGAAGGACGACACGGTGGCGAAGAGGCAAATGACAGATCCCAGGCTGCAGCAGAAAAAGAGCTTGCATGCCAACGTGAAGAACTATCCACCACCTTTACTAACAAACACTCCGCAGGGTCCTATCAAGCCCGTAGCGCAGCGAGTGATGAACAATACTTCAATGTCAAACCATTCCCAACACTTGCCAAGGTCACCTGTCGTTCAAGAGAGCGCGTTTGTACCTGCCGTGGTCTCCCCCGACCTCTCCCCATCACTCTCACCTCTTGCCCCAGGCTCCTCCTCCCTGTCGCCACTAGTCACGTCAACGGGCGTCAGCTCCCAGAGCAGTAGGGTGACATCAGGCACCACCACTCCCCAAAGGATGCACTACGGTGGGGGCATCGTCTTCACGCACCCCACGGCAAATGACGACGAGATCCAAATATAAGTACCTCGAACATTCCATTTGTCTCGTAAAGCCTATGCATTGACAACTCTGTATATGTTGCATTATGTGATGGACATTTTGACTATAGTTTGTTCTCTTTTTTTGTGTGTTTCCATTCCGATGTGTTTTCACAAACTTTAATTGTACGGTAATTGTATTGAAATCGGTTTTGTCATGGTGTTGTGAGTGACTGCTAGATGGATGTGTTGGTGCTAATATACTAGATGGTAGAAGGCTTTAACTAATGTGAATTACATATATCTGTCTGAAAAATAACTTTCAGAATTTTAAAAATGTGAAAGGTATCATAAAGCAGTTCTAACTTGTCCAATTTTACCTTGCATAAAATGTGCCTTGAGCGCTAGCTGCTGCAGTTGAATCGTTTCTTCATACTTTTTTTAGAGCATGAAATGTTCCATCACACTTTTAGGTCTTGTAAATAATATTTCCCCATATTCCATCCTATTTAATGATGTTGATCTTAATAGTGTCACAAATCCAAATGTTCACTCCAATATCGTCAGTAAATGTCAAGAAACCTTGTACTCATGTTTTATAAATGTATTCGAATACCAGTTACTCAAATGGATGCAAGCAAGTCATTTCAAGTTCGTACAGTTTGGGGAAGTATTGAAACTATGTGAATTGTTTTTACATAAAACTTGTGTTGCACTTGTATTGTAAGTAAATATCAATTAAACGTTGTTGTCTAAAGACAATGAATTTGTGTATCAGCACTGAATATACAAATTAATTTAGTTTTTGTATACTATGAATTTTTAAACATCTCATTTGAAATAACTATGGCATTGTTTATCAATGTTATTACATGTGATAATTTTGACAAAATTGAGATTTTTATCAACTGCAATTGTGCTTGGCACTTTTTTGTTTAAAGTGATAGAAATTACTGAATTTTTTGTTGAATATCAGCACTTATTTGAATTGCAAATTGGAACAATTTTCAAAGAAACTCCAATTGGCACATGTCCTGCATAAACTATCTCATTGTAAATGTTTGCACTTTCACTAAATTTTTAACATGCTGAAAAAAAGATTTTCAGTAAAACTTGATGATGTGAGTTTGTTTTTTATGTGATCACTACTGAGTTTGCACCGAAATTGCTTGCTTGCATCCATTGAGAGAAATGTATCGGTTGTGCGATCTAATGGAAGACATTCGTGACAACATATTTTAAGACAAACATTATACTCCCTGATAAGTCATAATGCAATTTTATCTTGTAAATTGCAGTACTAGTTCCTGTTATTTTTTGCAGTTGATATGTAAATGAAAAAATGATAATTAATATTTTTCATGTAAATCTCACTTTTAACAGGATTTTCAAACCGTTATAGTTTTTTTTAAAACAGCAGTCATGTCTTCTCTAAATCATGACTGGTCAGTTGTATTCTTTAAAGAAGGATCAACCAAACCTAGTAGGGTAATCTGCTATAAGAATCCCATCTACTTTTACCCTGATGATATTACTTGAATGTGAGAGTTAGTCTTCAATATTAGTGAAATATTTGAAGGGGCCATTGCCCGGAGCCTATACATGTTTGTGGTGCAAAATGCCATCCGCACCCACACTCTGATTATATTGATTCCAATAAAGTGTATTCAGTATATGAAATTGGTAATATATTCTACTTTGATATTTAAAAGTCACCGTAGCCATGCAAATCTTATGATTCAATTTATTCATCAATAAACAAGTACTAAAGATTTTGTGAGATATTCAAAATGTATTCATTCACTGTACTTCTAAACTACCGTACTTACATGCAATCTGAACACCAAGGTACTGAAAACACCAAACATTCAGACATTTCAAAAGTACTCACTTAAGTATACAGAATATGGTGTTATTAAGGTTATTATTATTATTATTATCATTTCGCTACTGAAAACGCCAAAAATTTAAACATTTCAAAAGTACTTACTAGGGTATACAGAATATGGTGTTATAAAGGTTATTAGTATTATCATTTCGCTAACAATTCACTTTTTGTCCAAATGCATTAGATGTTTAAAGATGTAAAATGTAAAATTTTTGCACATGATGTGACAGGGTTTTTAGCATTCTCTTTTTTTTTATTCCTTCTAAATAATTCTATCAATAAACTTGAGAAAATATAATCTATTTTGTTGCAGTAATGTACCAATCCATGAATCTCATGCAGTATTAATACAAGCTTTGAAAATGTCAGTCGTAATGATGTGTCTTCCAACACAATAATGTACCACCTATACTTGTACATGTACTGGAATCAAGTTCCCTTTTCTTCCTATAATGCTTGGTATTGTGCTGCTGCATACTTTTAGCGATGCTCTTTTATTCATTTCTTGCGCGAAGGAATAATTTTTCATTTCTTGCGCGAAGGAATAATTTTTCAGTCGGATACTTTAATATTTAGGGAACATTTGTCCAATGGATGGAGACAAGTTGCATTTCTTTATTGATGTGGGTTTTGTCATGAACAAATTTACAAGATGGAGACTTTTGTTTTAAGTATTTAGTCTGTTGTACCAGAAGGGCACTAACTCATATGCTTTGACCTTTCTTGCTCTCAACAGTCGATTTTGTGTTCTTAACAACAGTATTGCTATCTGTACAACAGTAACAATCCAAGATTTTTACCACCTGTAAAAATGTATTGGAAATATGACATTGCTCATTGTACTTACTTTTTAGTAGTGGAAATTAATTAAAAATTCAAATGTTTAATTCCAATGGGCCCTTTGTCTTTTTATTGATGGGGAATAAGATTTGCTGAAAAGCATATGTTGAGAGGTGGAGTTTGTTTTGAAGCAAAATGTCTCTTAAACACTTTTTGCAAGCACCTGCATAATTACGAGCATTACAATAATAAGCTCATATGTAGCAATACGAGGCATGTTAATTTGTAAGTTGTAACATGTCAACTGGACCAATCCTGTTGGTATTGTCGTTATATATGTTGATCTGTAGAAATATTTTGATGTTACCAAAGCATTGTGTTTAATTGTTTTAAAGTCTTTACATATTTATTTGCATTTTTATGGTATTCATCCATAGAAGGAAGACAATTTTTCCTTTTAAAATTGTATTCATGTGAAAAACGTATTCATAAATGATTTACTATGAGATGTATTATTATTATTACATTGGTGTAAATATTGAGAATTTGTCTTTTCCTGAAGCCAAATAAAGAAATTTATACGTATATATGACCAATTAAATAATGTAACGTGTTTCTTACTTTTTGTGTTATTTGCTGTATTTCTATATTGTACGGAAGTAACAATGGAATAGAAAAGAACCAGTGGGTTTTATGGCAAAGATTGAAACATTGATGCATCAACAGTGATGAGTTGAATGTGGACAGATTACAGATAGAATACAAAAAAGATAGAGAGAGGGTGGAGAGGGAGAGAGAGAGAGAGGGTGGAGAGGGAGAGAGAGAGTGAGAGAAGGGGAAGGGAGTAGAGAGAGAACAGAGGAAAGAGAAAGAGAGAGGGGAGAAGAGATGTAGGAAGGAGAGAGAGAGAGAGGGAGGGGTAGGAGAGAGGGGAGAAGAGATGTAGGAAGGAGAGAGAGAGGGAGGGGTAGATGCATATGAAAGGTGGAAAGAGAGAGAGAGGGGGGGGGGGGGGCGAGAAGGGGCAGGGGAGTTGGAGAGAGGAAAGAGAAAGAGAGATGGGGAATAAGAGAGGAAGGAGGGAGAGGGAAGTAGACAACGAAGAAAGATGGAAAGAGAGATATATATGTATAGAGAGAGGGGCAATAAAATTGCAAATAATATATTATGTACAATCTATGAAATACTCTCTAATCAATAAATGAAGGAAAGAGAGATAGGGGGCAGAGGCAAAATTAGAACAATTTAAGAAACAACAACTAACAAACATGAGTGAAAAACGTAACAAAACATACAATACACGAGATCATAATCATTTTGTATAAAAAGCACCAAGGTCGGCATACCGTAACCCTGTTGAGATTATGTCTAAAATAAATCTTGGCCACATGAATGTGCAGTAATTCCCCGTATAAACACAAATGCCATGCCATTTTCTACTAATGCTAATATATTTCAATTAAAAGTCATCCCCCTTATTTTTAGTGCATTTAATTTTTTTTTTAACCCAGAAAGATATTGAATATTATGTGGGAAAAAAAGAGGAAAAACTGCATCTTCAATTCAAAAAGTGAAATGATTAATAATTAAAACACTCAGAGTGAGAGGCGGTTGTATGTGTAATATAGAACACTGAGTTTATGTTATTTCCATTTCAAACCACCATTTTCCACTTCTTTTTTTTGTAATGGCTTGTTTGGTATTTTCGATTTTATGTTAATATTTTTAGTTATGCTCATGTTTGATCTATACTGATTTTTGTATGTAGAAATCTTGACAATCAAAAAAATTAATACATTTTTTTTTAAATTTAAAAATTTGGAGATCAGTACCATAAATTTACCACAATAAATCAATATATCTACCTATTATTTGCTAGTTTATCTAAACTACGCTACCATCGAGAACTCTTTAAAAACGTCACACTCGCGCATGCCCACCCCCATACATCGCCTTCCCAGGATTCACGTGCAAATCGATTCCATAACCGAGAATCGTACGTTTAGGGGGAAATCCTAGCTTGATATCAAACTATACCCTGTATATAATTATAAAGAAAGTACGCCGCCAGCAATCAGAGAAATATGGTGATAGTTTAAATGAAATCGGACAAAAACTGAAAAAGTTATGATGTTTTGAAAGTTGTAACGGCTATGTGGCTAAATAGGTAATATGTTTCTGTGATGTTGTGGTGGACAAATTTCCCACAAAATGACTAAATTTCAATTTGTCAAAATATGGCTCAGCCCTCAGCTAGGAGGGTCTATTCTCTTTAGAGGACGTATATAATAATATGCTATCCATAATATATATTTTGAGTAGCGCTCCAAGGGAACCAAGGTGCACTTGGACAAAAACAGAAATGAATGATATTTTCAGTTGTGCGACAAACACGTTGGATCGAGTTGTCCTTGTCTACGTCACAATCCACGAACAAAAATTTCGAATTGGATCGATCGAGACTCGCACTTATATTTAGCTATCGTACATTTTAAACATTCATGATTCTCTTATTATTGTTCCGATTTATTTCAAACTTTCCCCAATCTGTTAATCTTTCTCTTCTGCCTTCAAACAAATGAATATATTACAAGGGTTGAATATGCTGCCACATGATATACATGTAGCGCCCGGCCCCCCCCCCCCCCCCCCCCCACTCAGAGGTCGAAATGACCGCATGCGTGTTGCCAAAATGTCCGGTAAAGGGGTACTTTTCGTGCGACAAAGTCCGGCCCGAGAATTGTAAAAAAAAGGGGTGTATTTGACTTTTCACCCGGAGATTTCTTTAAAAAGGGGGTGTTTTTCTTTTTTTCTCTCATCTCCTTGAACTCCTGAGAAATTATTCCGAATTTAGGGGGGTACATTATGCATTTTTCCTGATTTAGGGGGGTCTCCAAGGCAGAAAAAGCCCGCGAAAAGCCCGCGAAAGGGGGGGGGGGGGGTTCGGAAATGTTGGCAGTCCTCAGATAGGGGGTGCTTTTAAAAATAGGGTACGAGCACATGCGTACCCTAAATAACACTGAGTGGGGGGGGGGGGGCCGGGATGTAGCGTAAGTGTCAACGTGATAATATTCCTGAGTCTGAAAAATATATCACATACATATAAAAAAAACAATACCACCGATAAAAAAGCACTGACATTTAATTCTGTATATTCAACCACTTTTTATTGTGGGCGACGTAGGCCTATACGACGCAATATATTCTCAACATTTTAAAGATAATATTGTATTGAGGATCACGATTCAAGTCCATTATCAGCGTTGACACTGTGTAAAAATACATATACTGTACGTTCAGGCAACTACATGTAGTATTAAAGCATTTCACAAACCATATGAGGCCGCCAAGTAAATGCGCTTACACCCGCTGTGCATAATACATTCTTGTCTTGCTTAGGAACCTAGGATATATTACTCGAGCATCATGGAAAGGAGGACAGTAAAGATATGTTTGATTGTATTAGTTTCATGTCTATCATTAACGTCAGCTGGTAATGTTCTCATATCTGTGACGCTAGGAGAAGGCAGCCATTACATGGCATCTACCGCGATAGGCGAAGCCCTTGTTCGCCGGGGACACAATGTCACCGTTCTGATCGGAAACGCTCATGAGCACCGCGCCAAACACCCCGTGCACTCGAAAATCTTCAACTTCGAGATCTACACTTATCCAGAGCCGGTGGAAAAAGTTCGCGAGAGGATGGAAAAAGTGTCCAGTCAGGCCTTCGAGAAGGAGTTCCAATTTGACATGATATGGAACTTTACCAACGTGCTGGCGCCTTATGTCAACTATTGTCGGAGTGCTTTCCGAGATCGAGAGCTTATGGGTCGTCTGGAGCGCGCCAAATTTGACGTGACGATCCTCGATGTGACATGGATGTGCAGTGTCCTGATCAGCGAGCACCTCAATACCGCCAATGTTCTCTTCAACCCGATGGCCGCCCAGTACTACGTCGCCGAAATGATGGCAGGGGCTCCCTTCTTACCAGCAGTCATCCCCGACGGAATATTATGCCCCCCTCAAAAGATGACCTTCTTCCAACGCGTCAAAAACGTCCTCCTAGTCTTCGCCCTGAGACGGTTATTTTCCATCTTTGCTAATATGGTCTATCCTATCCAAGAGGAATTTAACATATTGATGGACCGGTCTATGCAAGATTACATGAGCGAGGTCGAGCTTTTGTTGATGAGTATGGATCCGGTGATCGACTATGTTGTCCCTTTCCCGCCGGCGGTCGTCGAAGTCGGTGGACTCCTTACTCGACCAGCAAATCCTCTTGATAAGGTATGGTGTTCATGGCCTGGTATATAGGATATTGATTTTAATGGTAATGATTATGATGCTGCTGTTGCTGCTAATAATAATGATGATGATGGTGATGATGAGGATAATAATGCTGGTAATAATAATAATAATAATAATAATAATAATAATAATAATAATAATAATAATAATAATAATAATAATAACAACAATAATGATAATAATTAAAATAATGATGATGATGATGATGATGATGGTAATAATAATAACTATAATAATGATAATAAAAAGAATGATGATGATATCAGTTTAATGATTATTAAATTATTATAATCATCATAATGAGGTACATGGAATGGAATAGATAATCGTTTAGCCTAAAATAAATGACGTTATAGTACACCTATACATTATATGCGACACTATGTAAAATTAAACAAAAAGCATATACGATGGTAATATTTTTGCCTTGTCTATAGTAGGTGGGTTCATTGTCGAATGCATAAAAGAAATATATAGAAAATGATATGGTTGTATATATATATATATATATATTTAAAATTTGCTGTTAGGTAGTATCTAAAAGTTACCCCTCACTGCAATTATGTTTTGGTGAACGAAGAGAACATGAAAGTAGAAAATTTATCAATCATGCAAATTATACACATTTAGAATTCGCAATCAGAAACGTCAGGAGTTTCAAGTCTGTCAGACATGAGCGCTTTAGTTTACAAGAACCCACTATCATAACGGTATTATTATTACATGTGTACTAATATTACTCTTGTTATGATTGTTATTATTATTATTATTATTATAGTTATTGTATGAGTTCTCCATTCTCCAAATCTTACAACATGAACTGCCACTTTCTGTGAATACAATATGCTTGTTAGGCTAGTCTTATATTGCTTCCCCAAACCTATATTCCGTAAGAAATATGTGTTTGTATGAATGCTTGATAGTAATAGGAACAAAATGCCACAATCTCAATAACACTCCAACTTTCTTATACACTGATTTACAAAACGAATACGACTATTCCAAGACAGATGTCTACCAATGTAAACATTGTAAACCCCGACAATGGCAACACCAATCTCTTTAATTTCCTCGCCAGCGATTTTTAGTATACTACTTATACATATTTTTCCTCTCATGAAATTAGTTTTCATTAAATTAATTGCAATTTTGCTGGCAACGCACCAATTTTGTATTTCTTGTAAGTTGTTATTGACTAATACATCAATTTCGTCCTGGTCAGCGGAAAAAGTATTAAATAGGTTAGAATCATCGACAAACAGCTGAAAATTGAAATAAAAGTAATAATAGTAATAAATGAAGGAAAGAGAGATAGGGGGCAGAGGCAAAATTAGAACAATTTAAGAAACAACAACTAACAAACATGAGTGAAAAAAGTAACAAAACATACAATACACGAGATCATAATCATTTTGTATAAAAAGCACCAAGGTCGGCATACCGTAACCCTGTTGAGATTATGTCTAAAATAAATCTTGGCCACATGAATGTGCAGTAATTCCCCGTATAAACACAAACGCCATGCCATTTTCTACTAATGCTAATATATTTCAATTAAAAGTCATCCCCCTTATTTTTAGTGCATTTATTTATTTATTTATTTTTTAATCCACAAAGATAGTGAATATTATGTGGGAAAAAAAGAGGAAAAACTGCATCTTCAATTCAAAAAGTGAAATGATTAATAATTAGAACACTCAGAGTCAGAGGCGGTTGTATGTGTAATATAGAAACACTGCAGTGCGTTTATGTTATTTCCATTTCAAACCACCATTTTCCACTTTTTTTGTAATGGTTTGTTTGGTATTTTCGATTTTATGTTAATATTTTCAGTTATGCTCATGTTTGATCTATACTGATTTTTGTATGTAGAAATCTTGACAATCAAAAAAATTAATACATTTTTTTTTTTAATTTAAAAATTTGGAGATCAGTACCATAAATTTACCACAATAAATCAATATATCTACCTATTATTTGCTAGTTTATCTAAACTACGCTACCATCGAGAACTCTTTAAAAACGTCACACTAGCGCATGCCCCACCCCCATACATCGCCTTCCCAGGATTCACGTGCAACTCGATTCCATAACCGAGAATCGTACGTTTAGGGGGAAATCCTAGCTTGATATCAAACTATACCCTGTATATATATATAAAGAAAGTACGCCGCCAGCAATCAGAGAAATATGGTGATAGTTAAAATGAAATCGGACAAAAACTGAAAAAGTTATGATGTTTTGAAAGTTGTAACGGCTTTGTTGTGGCGGACAAATTTCCCACAAAATGACTAAATTTCAATTTGTCAAAATATAGCTCAGCCCTCAGCTAGGAGGGTCTTTTCTCTTTTAGAGGACGTATATAATAATAAGCTATCCATAATCAGTGGCGTACGCAGGATTTTTTCAAGGGGGGGGGGGGGGGGGTTTAAAATCGGGTCCAAAATTTCGCAACGACTCAGGAAAATTTGAAAATCGCGCCGGCCAAAAAGTCGCTCAGTGGGGGGGGGGGGGGGGGGGGGGGGGGGGGGGTAAGCGGACACTTTTTTTTTTTTGGTCCCAAAAAAATCGCAACGACTCAACCGACCGCTGAATAAGCGGGGGGGGGGGGGGGGGGGGGAGGGTAAGAGGACACTTTTTTTTTTTTTCGGTCTCGAAATTTGAAAAATTGACATTTTGCTCCGTTGGGGGGGGGGGTAAGGTCACCTTTCTTAGGTCACCCATGGGGGTAAATTTCTTTTTCTTTTTTTTTTTTTTTTTTTAATAATTAAAAAAAAAAAAAAAAAAAATCCAAAGGGGGGGTTTTAGGGATTTTTTAGGGGGGTTTACACACATAAAAATACCAAAGGGGGGGGGGTTTAACCCCCCAAACACCCCCCCTGCGTACGCGCCTGTCCATAATATATATTTTGAGTAGCGCCCCAAGGGAACCAAGGTGCACTTGGACAAAAACAGAAATGAATGATATTTTCAGTTGTGCGACAAACACGTTGGATCGAGTTGTCCTTGTCTACGTCACAATCCACGAACAAAAATTTCGAATTGGAGACTCGCACGTATATTTAGCTATCGTACATTTTAAACATTCATGATTCTCTTATTATTGTTCCGATTTATTTTAAACTTTCCCCAATCTGTTAATCTTTCTCTTCTGCCTTCAAACAAATGAATATATTACAAGGGTTGAAAATGCTACCACATGATATACATGTAGTGTCGACGTGATAATATTCCACCTGAGTCTGAAAAATATATCACATACATATAAAAAACAATACAACCGATAAAAAAGCACTGACATTTAATTCTGTCTATTCAACCACTTTTTATTGTGGGCGACGTAGGCCTATACGACGCAATATATTCTCAACATTTTAAAGATAATATTGTATTGAGGATCACGATTCAAGTCCATTATCAGCGTTGACACTGTGTAAAATACATGTACTGTACGTTCAGGCAACTACATGTATTACAGTAAGCATTTCTCACAAACCCGTATGAGACCGCCGAGCGAATGCGCTTACCCGCTGTGCATAATATATTCTTGTCTTGCTTAGGAACCTAGGATATATTACTCGAGCATCATGGAAAGGAGGACAGTAAAGATATGTTTGATTGTATTAGTTTCATGTCTATCATTAACGTCAGCTGGTAATGTTCTCATATCTGTGACGCTAGGAGAAGGCAGCCATTACATGGCATCTACCGCGATAGGCGAATCCCTTGTTCGCCGGGGACACAATGTCACCGTTCTGATCGGAAACGCTCATGAGCACCGCGCCAAACACCCCGTGCACTCGAAAATCTTCAACTTCGAGATCTACACTTATCCAGAGCCGGTGGAAAAAGTTCGCGAGAGGATGGAAAAAGTGTTCAGTCAGGCCTTCGAGAAGGAGTTCCAATTTGACATGATATGGAACTTTACCGACGTGCTGGCGCCTTATGTCAACTATTGTCGGAGTGCTTTCCGAGATCGGGAACTTATGGGTCGTCTGGAGCGCGCCAAATTTGACGTGACGATCCTCGATGTGACATGGCTGTGCAGTGTCCTGATCAGCGAGCACCTCAACACGACCAATGTTCTCTTCAACCCGATGGCCTCCCAGTACTATGTCGCCGAAATGATCGCAGGGGCTCCCTTTCTACCAGCAGTCATCCCCGACGGAATATTATGCCCCCCTCAAAAGATGACCTTCTTCCAACGCGTCAAAAACGTCCTCCTAGTCTTCGCCCTGAGACGGTTATTTTACATCTTTGCTAATATGATCTATCCTATCCAAGAGGAATTTAATATTTTGATGGACCGGTCTATGCAAGATTACATGAGCGAGGTCGAGCTTTTGTTGATGAGTATGGATCCGGTGATCGACTATGTTGTCCCTTTCCCGCCGGCGGTCGTCGAAGTCGGTGGACTCCTTACTCGACCAGCAAATCCTCTTGAAAAGGTAGGTGCATGTGCATGGCCTGGTATATAGGATATTGATTTTAATGGTAATGATTATGATGCTGCTGTTGCTGCTAATAATAATGATGATGATGGTGACGATGAGGATAATAATGCTGGTAATAATAATAATAATAATAATAATAATAATAACAACAATAATGATAATAATTAAAATAATGATGATGATGATGATGATGATGATGATGGTAATAATAATAACTATAATAATGATAATAAAAAGAATGATGATGATATCAGTTTATTGATTATTATAATTATCATAATGAGGTACATAGAATGCAATAGATAATCGTTTAGCAATAAATGACGTTATAGTACACCTATACATTATATGCGACACTCTGTAAAATTGAACAAACACATACGATGGTAATATTTTTGCCTTGTCTATAATTAATAATAATAATTATAATAATAATAATAATAATAGCCTAATAGTCCACTCCAAATTTTATTAAACCGAAACGGAAATTCTTTGTGCCCAATTGATCGTGAGCCCTACATAATTATGTAGGTGGGTTCATTGTCGTGTAATACATTGGGTCGAATGCATAAAAGAAATATGTAGAAAATGATATGGATATATATATATATATATATATATATATTAAAACTTTGCTGTTAGGTAGTGTCTAAAAGTTACCCCTCACTGCAATTATGTTTTGGTGAACGAAGAGAACATGAAAGTAGAAAATTTATCAATCATGCAAATTATACACATTTAGAATTCGCAATCAGAAACGCCAGGAGTTTCAAGTCTGTCAGACATGAGCGCTTTAGTTTACAAGAACCCACTATCATAACGGTTATTATTATTACATGTGTACTAATATTACTCTTGTTATGATTGTTATTATTATTATTATTATTATTATAGTTATTGTATGAGTTCTCCATTCTCTAAATCTTATAACATGAACTGCCACTATCTGTGAATACAATATATTCTGTTCATCCAAGCGTGTACGCATACCACACAAAAATGGTACTAAATGATTCGGTATAAAACACTCTTTCATAAGATGTATAATAATTTACTGTTCATAGATGATTTTTTTTTTATAATTAGCAATTTTTTAAGTGTAAACTTTTTTTTGACTCACACTGTAGACATGACCTTTCACCGAAATATATACACGCTCATGAATCACAATTCCTACAGCCGAGTCCGTATTGACAATTTCCTCAACGTTCGACGAAGCTTTTCATTTTTGAAGGACTCCTCTCTTCATTGTATTCCAAAGGTTATCAACGTTGCCATTGTCACAAATACACCCGGCACGTATATATACACTAGTACACGTAGAATGTTCGCTCGCGAAGGATCAAGCATAGCGTACTGTGTATATATTTTGAAGTACATGACCGTATAGTGGACAATAATTAAACTACCGCTTCCTGTTTCTACTTCCCGTATTTGTATGTCATCTTTGTGATTTATGCACGGCATGATATCAAAATCAAAACTGAATTATAAACATATAGTTATACTTATTATTCGGAACGTATGCTTGTGGGATTGGTTAATGGATAATCACGTTATGATGCACAACTGCATGAGTGTGTAGCATATTGGAGTATTGGAGTGACCAGGGAGCTGGAGTCCCTGGAGTGACTCAGAACATCACGGAGTGCAGCTTTCAACATGGAGTTTCGGCTAGCATGTAATGCGCGGTTACTTCAACTAGTGTTCATGACCGTGTTCGTATCTACGGCATGGAGTGCGAATATTTTCATATCGGTGACTTACGGTGAAGGAAGCCATTATCTTTCTACCACTGCCTTTGGAGCTGAGCTCGTAAAACGAGGGCACAATGTGACCTATCTCATTAGTAATGCGTACGAGCATCGCGCTCACCACCCTCAACATTCGCAGCTCTTCCACTATGAGATCTTCAACCATTCTGTTCCTGTTGAGAAAGTGTACAAACGGACAAGCGAAATCGCCGCCCTTGCCTTCAAAACCGACTTCAACACGGAATTAATGTTTTCCATCCAAAAGTGGATGAACCCCCTTGTCAAAGACTGTCGGGCTGCGCTGAGCGACCATGCGCTTCTGCAGAGATTACGTAATGCCAACTTCGATGTCACGATCCTAGACCTAACATGGAGCTGCAGTGTGCTCCTGAGCGCGTACCTAAGGACGCCCGTCATTCTCTTCAACCCGCTGGCTTCACAGTACGATGTATTTCGTGACATTGCAGGAACTCCCTTCTTACCGGCCGTGGTTCCCGGAAGTCCCTTTGGATCTCCTCAGCGAATGAACTTCAAGCAAAGGGTCGGCAGCTTCCTAGGAACCTTACTCATTGCACAAATGCAATTCAGATTCTTTGTCGAGTTGTATAGTCCCTTGCGCCATGAGTTTGGTATTCTTGAAGACCAAACCCTAAAGGACTATGTCGTGAAAAATACAGAATTGGTCCTGACAGCCAGTGACCCTGCTATTGATTTGACCATTCCATTACCTCCTTCTGTTATTGAAGTTGGTGGACTTCTCACCCGACCCGCGAAACCACTTGATAAGGTATTCTCAAGTTTAACCAATCAACATCATCGGAGTATATTGTGCTGCTCTGATGTAAAACGCGGTTATTTTTTTTCTTCTATTATATTATAATATTTATTTTAAAAAAACATTAAACGGCACACGATCGATCGTATGTATCCATATTGGCTACCACTTTAAAATGTATAACAAAATATATCCTTTAATTCATTATTCGGTATTTCATAATTTTCAGAATCCATTGTGTGGAAATTATGCCATAAAAGACCTGCCCCTTACTATATTTCGATCAATCCAACTACCAGCATAATCGTATATTCATCCGTCTAACTCACATTGTAAATTGCTATTTCTTGTTGGATGTTGGGCCTTGTATATTCCATAGATTCCATCGGTTAACGTAATTCATTATACGCCATTGTCATTTTCGCACATTTTCAAGGGGGCGGATAAAGAAATTACCTTAGTTTGATTTATCGAATGTCTTTGAGATCGTGTTCAGCTTCAGTTGTTATTCACACCAAAAATAATAATTTTCTGGTTTCGTTCCTCCTTTAGGACCTCGATGACTTCATGAACAGCTCAGGTGATGACGGGGTGATCATCCTCTCCCTCGGTACCTATGTCAAGGTGATGCCACAGCGGCTCAATGACCTCTTCGCCTCGGTATTCGCTAAGCTACCCCAGAAGGTCGTTTGGCAGCTGCCCGACAATTCGACGACGACACTGAGCCCGAACATCAGGACGATGGGGTGGCTGCCACAGAATGACCTGCTTGGTAAGTGCCTATATACTTGTGAGGACGTTTGGCGTTGTCGGGGGAGGGGGAGGCCGCGGCGGCTGAGGGCGATTATTCCCCCTTCTCCGATTACTATGTATAAATGACGTTCAATTCACGAATGCCTATCAACATAGATCCATCAAACGTTATCATCTCCGTTAATAAAGAATTTGCCAAGGGCTGTGACAGATATCATTTTGAGGAGTGCAGGGGTGAAATTCATCGGCAATTTTGCCGACATTGGCCAACAGACACAACCGTATTAATGTATCTTCATAGTTTGACATTTTGCAGATAAAGGTATAGATCGTCAGATCCTCAGATTCCAACTTCGGTGAAACTGAAGTATTTTCAAATTTGTTGATAGTGGTTTATTACAATTATCCAGCAAGCAAAATAATACAAAAAAGGGTCTCTGTAAACCCATTCCGAAACGACTTTTCTGATTTCACTCACAGAGATTAAGCATTAGCTTAGGGGTGTCCTTCTGTCACTCTCTAACAATACATCGGCTTGTTTCATTTTTTTAATGTTACCTATGTTCCATCCAAGATCAAATTCACCCCCAAAAATGTAACGGCTTTCTCAACTCTTCACCTTTATCATTCGCACCAGGTCATCCGAAGACGAAACTATTCATATACCAGGGCGGCAACAACGGTCTCTACGAAGCCCTGTACCACGGTGTCCCGACCCTTGTCCTCCCTGTCTTTGCTGACCAGTTATGTGTTGCGTCCAGGGTCTTAGAGAAAGGAATGGGGTCATACTTGGACATCCATACTCTCACTGCAGAAGGTGTATACGATGCGATAAAGATGATTTTAAGCAACAATACGTGAGTACCACTCTTTCTTCTTCAACATTCATGATCCATGTCGCATGTTGTGCTCTATATTTCTAAGTTTCTAACAAAATGAACCTCATTTGGTGTATTATATAGGTACCGTACCATGCACTTTGTCTATTAAAGGATGGGAAGAAACTTAAACTAAAACACAAAATTTATCGGCGAATTTAACAAAGAGGAATTTCTGGCTTGGTTGAACAATTTTCTGAATCTTTTCAGCACATCTGATAATCAGATTTGTTGGCCAATTTTAAACCTAAATACTCAATTTTCTTGTTGAAAATAATTCGGCGAACCGTGGTGTGTGTCGGCAAGAAAGGCTCGACAGCCTCAATAACCAGGCGCGGATCCAGGATTTCTTAGGGGGGGGGGGGCCCACTTTTTTTTTTTGGTCCGAAAAAAAATCGTAACGACTCAGCCAGCCGCTAAATAAGCGGGGGGGGGGGGGGGGGGGGGGAAGAAGAGGACACTTTTTTTTTGGTCTCGAAATTTGAAAATTTGACATTTTGTTCCGTTGGGGAGGGGGGGGGGTGAGGTCAACTTTTTTAGGTCAGCCATTGGCATATTTTTTTTTTTTTTTTTTAATTAAAAAAAAAAAAAAATAACAGAAGGGGGGGGGGGGGGTTGCTCCAAAATACACACATAAAAAACCGAAGGGGGTAGGGTCAACCCCCTAACCCCTCCCCCCCCCTTCCTTACGTGCCTACTCGTCTGAAAATAGTTTTTCCCCTCCCTTTTACGTTTCATTAAATCATTAGAAAAAGAAGACGATTCGTTGTACAGTTTTTTACTCTTAATCCTCGTCTTAATTCATCCCCCTCTCCCGCGCAAAGCTCGGAAGCTTTTACGTTTCATTAAATCATTAGAGAAAGAAGACGATTCGTTGTACCGTTCTCGACTCTTAATCCTCATCTGAATTCAGTTTTCCCCTCCTCCCTCCCGCGCGAAGCGCGGAAGCTTGTACGTTTCATTAAATCATTAGAGAAAGAAGACGATTCGTTGTACCGTTCTCGAAAATAATCCTCGTCTGAATACAGCTTTTACGTTTAATTAAATCATTAGCGAAATAAGACGATTCGTTGTACCGTTATGACTTTTAATCCTTGTCTAAATTCAGTTTCCCCCTGCCACGCGAAGCGCGGAAGCTTTTACGTTTCATTAAATCATTAAAGAAAGAAGACGATTCGTTGTACCGTTCTCGACTCTTAATCCTTGTCTAAATTCAGTTTTCCCCCCGCTTCGACGTTTCATTAAATTTTTAGAGAATGAAGACGATTCGTTGTTCTGCTCTCGAAAATAATTTAGTTTCCCCCACCCGCGCGAAGCGCGGAAGCTTTTAATTTTCATTAAAATAATCATTAGAGAAAAAGGAAGATTCGTCGTACCGTTCTCGACTCTTAATCCTTGTCTAAATCAATTCCCCCCCCCCCCCCCTTCCGCGCGAAGCGCGGAAGCTTCGACGTTTCATTAAATTATTATAGAAAGAAGACGATTCGTTGTACCGTTCCCGAAAATTATCCTCGTCTGAATTAAGTTCCCCCTGCCCTCCCCCGCGCGTAGCGCGGAAGCTTTGACGTTTCATTAATTCATTAGAGGAAGAAGACGATTCGTTGTACCGTTCTCGACTCTTAATCCTTGTCTGAATTTCAAATATGTTCTTTGTCTATTCCCTTTTCTTCCTACGTCCTCTTCCTTTACACTCCTCTCTTTTTGGCCGGCGTTTATTGGGGGACCACCCCACCGCCCCCCTGGCTACGCGCCTGCTGTCAGATGAACATAATTATGTTGATACCTTGTCCGCCCCGGAAGCTCAGGGGTTTAAGGTTTTAATTTACGGTCAGATTAGCATTCAGGGGTCCGCCTTAGCGCCTTAGACGGGGTCCAGGGGGGCAGAGCCCCGGAAGTTCAGGAGTTTAGGCATTTAATTACGGTCAGATGAGCATTATTTTGATACCTAATTGTTACAATGGCAGGTCACTAATTGGCTTGGGGTTCAGGGGGCGGAGCCCCGGAATCTCAAGGGTTTTAGGCACTCAATTACGGTCAGATGAGTATCGAGGGGCCCGCCTAAGGGCTCTTGGTTGGGTCCAGGGGGCAGATCCCCCAGAAGCTCAGGGGTTTTAGGCATTTAATTACGGTCAGATGAGCATTTTTGATACCTTATTATTTGTGACACTAGCAGGACACTATTTGGCGTGGGGTCCAGGGGGCAGAGCCCCCAGAAATCAGGGGTTTTAGGCATTAAATGACCGTCATATGAGCATCTAAGGGCCCGCCTTAGGGCCCTAGGTGGAATCCAGGGGGCAGAGCCCTTAGGATTTTAGGCATTAATTTTAATCATGGTCAGATGAGCATATTTTGATACCCCATTATAATGTGACACTGGCAGTTAACTATTTTTTCTTTCTATTTCTCTTTAATATACTTTTTCAAAGAAAGTGTGGGGGGAGGGGCTCGAGGATCCCGATCCCCGCCGTTCCGCAGGCCCTGATATGTAGGCATCTCAAGAAGCATTTTCTTGCCTGGCTGTAAATTTAGGAATTTGTCATTTTCCAACAAACGCATGAAGTGAGGAAAATTATCTCATTTCAGCATTATTTGTTAAACACCGTTATGGAATTATAAATAAACCACGTTTGAATTCTATTTCTCCAACCCCCCCTCCCCTATCAGTATGCCAGTGGCCCCCCCCCCCCCCTCCGATCTACATCTTTTTGGCGGGAAAATTGCAACTGATATCCCTTACCTTTCTTCATTCTCTTTTTTCCTTTCCCTTTCTCTCCTCTTTCACTTTCCCTTCCCTTCCTTATCTCTCTTTTAGGTTTGCTGGGGGATGGGGGAGGGGCACGGTCAATTTGGTCCCCAACCCGCTCCACACATTGTTGGCGGGATTAACCGCAACTGATCTCCGCTTCTTTTCTCCCTTTTCTTTTTTTCTTCCTCTTTTTGTTCCCTTTTAGCTCTCCTCTTTTCCTTTTCCTTCCTTCTCTCTTTTTTTAGCGGGGACGGGGGGGGGGGGGGGGGGAAGCTAGGGTCTTTTGCTTCCCCCCCCTCGATCCACAACTTGTTGGCGGGAAAATTGCAACTGATATCCCCCTTCTTTTCTTTTCTTCTTCCTATTTTGTCCTTCCCTTTATCTCCTCTTTATCTTTTTTCTTTCCCTTTCCTTCCTTCTCTTTTATTTTTTTATTGGGGGGGGGGGGAGGGGGGAGGCAAGTCCTTCCCCCCGATCTCCTTCTTCCCTCTTTTCTTTTCTTCTTCCTCTTCTTTTTTTCCCTTTCTCTCCTCTTTCCCTTCTTTTCCTTCTCTCTCCCTCCTTTTTTTTTTTTTTTTTTTTTTGCCGGGGGGGGGGGGGCCAAGGCACGCTCGGCCCCCCCCCCCTGGATCCGCGCCTGTCAATAACCCCTCATGCAAATGATCTTTTGACGCCCCTGTAATGATTATCATCATGATAGTGCTTGGAGACTCACTGTCATTTTGTTTCCTCTTCTAAAATATTGCTTCTACGACTCTGATCAAATATTGTGTTCTCCTTTTTCAACAGGTATGCCGAAACTGCGAAGCGACTATCGGCGATATACCGTGATCGTCCGGAAACGCCTGCTGAACGTGCTGCATACTGGGTCGAACACGTCATGAAATTTGGCGGGAAATACATGGAATCGCCTGCCAAACATCTCAGCTTTATTCAGCTTTCTCTTCTTGATGTTTATGCATTTTTAATCTTCTGCTTAATAGTAGTTGTAGCTGTCATTTTCTTATCTTGTCGTTGCGTGTTCCGTTGCTGTGGTGCCATGTGCAAAGGAGGCAGTAAAAAGAAGAAAGATTAATAATTGTTTTAATTTAAAAATATGTATTTCTTCGCTAATGTAATTATGACTAAACGTGAGAAAGATGAACGATTCTGTAATTTTAAAAATATATGTTTTATAGAAATCTTAGTTGATCTAAGTGAAAAGAAGAATGATTTATGATTATTTTACTTCACGTTTTATATTTGTTTTAGTTGATTTAAGCAAGAATGTATACATTCTGAAATAGTTTGTAAATTTTTATCTAGCTGTAGGCCTTCATAATTATTACGTAGGCCTAATTATTGTTCTGTTCTGACAAAAATAATATTGTAGCATGTTTTAGTATATAATGGTGTGACCACAGTTCGCTTTGACCTAAATTCGCGCACAGATCTATATCTTGAAAATCGACCAATCAAAAGAGGAACATAACATTTCCTAGTGACGGAATTTTCTTTGGAAATTATGAAAATATTGACAAAAGATCGGCAAATTGCGCAAAAGATTCCGAAAAAGAATATGAACTTACCGACAAGTGTCTGGGAATCTTCTTTGGAAAGGAGAATCCATAAGTTATACCAACTGATCGTATGATAATTATAATTCCTTTTTTTCAAGTTAAATTGTCTTACCTTTGATAGGTCGCTTTTCGGACAAAATTCTGTAAACTCTCGTGCGCGAATTAAGTCCTCTTTGTTTTCATGACCTTTGCTACTACTGTCTTGTAACGAATGATATCGACTTGCAAAATGACGCAAATGTACCTCAGAAATGTATTGGTGTAAATATGGAATAATGGTTTTCAGATTACAAAGTTTGTCACAATAAATGAAAAACAAAGGCGGCAACTGAGAATGGGGTTGGATTACAGGTGTTTACGAGGTGAGAGCTGCGGGGTCTGGAGCCCCTCCACGTCCCCCGAGAAATCTTGAAGTGAATATTACTCGGGCGACTAAAACCTCATTTTCAGAGGGCTATAATGGTCTACCTACTCATCTTTGGATAGCATATAGATCTATCTACGTATTTTTTCTACCTTATTTTGTATATTTTGGTGACGAAAGTATTTTCGTGTCTATATATATATATATATATATATATATAATGTTTTTTTCTTGCTCGTTCGTTCGCTCGATCGCTCGATCGCAAAATATGCAAATGCGAATACTAACATTAACATTGTGAAGCAAGACAGTATTAATTTGATTTGTTTCTTAATTCGCAATAAATTGAGATTAAATTACATACCATCCGCAAGTATTATTTTTGTGTGCATTGTTGAATTAGATGACAACAAATGAAAGGCAAAAGAATGGAAGAAAATATATATATATATATATATATATATAGGTAGGAGGAGGTCGAGAAGGAGGAGAGAGAGATAGAGATAGAGAAAGAGAGAGAGAGAGTGAGAGAGAGAGAGATAAAGGAGGAGAGGCCGAGGAGGAGGTTAGAGAGGGTTATTAAAAAAGAACTTCCTTCTCCCTATTATTTTGCCTAGGTTATGTTGGACCCCCCCCCCCCCCCCCCATGACCTGACCCACACTACGCTACTGCCAGAATCGAATAACAATGGATTCTTCCTGTCGAAAATATTAACGTTCTTAAAAAAAAAAAAATTATATAACAAATCTTATTTGTAACAAATCTTATTTATAACAAAACTAAAACAACAAAAACAAAACAAATAAAACAAAACAAATAAAAAACGAAAAAAACAAATTGAAAAAAAAAATGAAATGAAATAACCAACCAACTAATTAGCTTACGAAAGGGGCTTATTTCTTCCTGTTTGAATACATGTTCCAGTAATTCAGGCAACGTGTCGTCACCCACGCAGTTATTTTTTATCTCGATTACAACATTTTGCATTACAAAACTCGTTGCGATACAACCCCCCCCCCCTCTTTCAGTGTTATTTAGGTTTGGGATACGCGTAATGTTCCCTCCCTTTGAAAACAACCCCCCCCCCCTATCTCCAGTGTGAAAGTCAATACGGGCCGGACTTTACCCTTTACCGGAGATTTCGGGAACACGCATGCGATCCCTCCGACCCCAATTTTTTTTCTTTGGGGGGGGGGCACACAAAGGTTGACTTGTGAGGTGAGTACATTTGCGTTTGAATGCCTATACTAATACGCAGAGGCGGCGGAGCGACTTTCAAGGTGGGAGAGCATCAACAAAAAAGGGCACTTTCTGGAGAAAAAAAAGGGGGCACCTTCAAAGGGAAATCTCAAAGCGAAAATATACAATTGTTTAGACATTGGTATATACCCTATATATTGTGATTACATTATCGGGGATGATTTCAATATGTGTTTCTGTTTATACATCATATAAGATATTGCTTAAGCATCATACTTTGCATTTGGGTGTGATGGTCTGAAAATTCATTTGCGAGCGAGCAAAGCTAGCGAGGAAAATTTTTATGATTTGAGAGGTCGCAGTGCGAAAAATTACATCTTATTAAGAGGAAAACCCCAATCTTGATGGGGTTATAAGCACATTCTCATAATGGAAGACTGAAAAGACCTTTGTTAAGTTACATGATTATAACATATATAACTACGAGCGAGCGTAGCGAGCGAGTTTTGGGGAAAATCGTTCTTATTCGCTTGAAATTAGGGGCACATTTAATGGTGAGAGAAAAAGTGGACACTTATCGAAAGGGTTATAACACTTATTAGCAAAGAAAAGGAGCACGTGACAAAGTATAAAGGCTAATTATCAGAGGTGAAAATGGGGCACTTCTTACACCTAAAAAAGAGGCATGCACTAGGGATTAAAAGGAAATGGGCATTTGTCGACGGAAAAGAGGCACCCATCAGATTTTGATAAGGGCATTTATAAGTAAGTCAAAAGGGGCATTTATGAAAAAGGGAAAGGTTCCTTATAAAAAAGGAAAACGGGGCACATATCATTGTTAAAAGGGTAATTTTCAGAGGTGAAAAGGGGCACTTATCGCATCTGAAAAGGGGCACTGACCATACATGAAAAGAGGCACTTATGAGAATGAAAAAGGGACATTAATGATAAAGGGAAATGTGCATTTGTTGAAAGAAAAGGGGCACCGATCAAATTATAATAGGGGCAATTATCAAAGATGAAAAGGGGGTTATTATGAGAAGGGGAAGGGGCACTTTTAAAAAGGAAAAAGAGCATTAATTAGGAAGGGAAAGGGGGACCTGTCAAAATAAAGGGGCATTCATAAGAGATGAAAAGAGCACTTCTCAGGAGGGGAATGGGCACTTGTCAAAGTAAAACGAGTATCTCTTAGAATTGAATAGGGTCATTTACAAGAGATGAAAAGGGGCACTAACGAGAATGAAAAGGGGCATTTATGAGAAGGGAAAGGGGCTCTTTTTTTAAATGGGGGCACTAATCATAAGGAAAGGGGGCACATGTGAAAATATAAGGTGCGTTAATCCAAGTTAAACAGAGGTAGTTATTAAAAAGGGAAGGGGCACTTTTTACAAAGGAAAAGGGGAACCTCTCAGATTTGAATAGGGCAATATTTAGAGGTGAAGAGGGCGCTTATCAAAAGAGAAAAGGGGCGCTTCTCGTACCTGAAAAGGGGAACTTACTAGAGATTAAAAAGGCACTTATGAGAATGAAAAATGGCAAACTTATTGCAAACGAAAATGGACACTTGTCAAAGGAAAAGGGGTACGTGTCAAAATAAATGAGGCACTTATCAGAGGTGGAAAGGGGAAAGGACACTTTAAAAAATTAATAGGGGCACTTTTCAAAGTAAAAGGGGCACTTGTCCCAGGTAAAAAGGGGCACGTCTTACAAAGTTAAAGGGGCACTTTTCCTATGCAAAAGGGAGCACTTTTAGGGTAGAGCACTGTGCCCTCCTGCCCCCCCCCCCCCCCGGGAGCGCCGCCTCTGCTAATACGTCGTGTGTCCGGACAGGTATACTGTCTTATCCGGCAGATGATTTCAAACAGTAATTTGAAGAAGTTTATACTAAGCAATATGTCGGTTAGTGCAATTTGATACTTTGTGACCACTATTTTTGTTTTCCCCTGAAAATTTGAAAATCGCATTCCCCCCTCCACCCTTGAGCACAGGGGAGGGGGCCCGTCTTCTTAAAAAAAAAAAAAAAATAGAAAAAAAAAAAAAAAAGGCCTAGTGTTTTTTGGCCAGAGGAGCGGGCCCGAGCCCGGGCCCCCTGGATCCCCTGGCCCCCGCCACTGCTCCAAAACTCAACCTAGTCAGAAAGTCCGCGAAATATTACCAGGAAATATAAAAGTACGAGGTTTAATATTATCACTTATAATTATTGTTTTACATTCATAATCTTGGCAAATTGGCGCAGGGGCGCTGGTGGGGTACATGTAGAAGTGGACTATTGTCTTCTATTCCTTAAACTGTAACAATTATTATTATTATCCCTATAATGTACATTAGCTATTTCTATATTATCTGCATGTATTTCAATATTCCATCTGTTTCTTGTAAATTATAATCTCATGTTTATTTCATGTTTAGGTGCATTCCCTACTATACAGTGCGTCCCAGAAAACAACGAATGCCGAGAATTATCGATATTTGGTACCCCTCTACAAATTGTTTTCAATCACTCATGTTTAAACTATGCATAACTTCCATCCAATGAAAGAGGAGGATCCAAGCTTTACAAATTATGTGTCATTTATTAATTATAATTGTGATTAAGTTATCATAAAGCATCGACAATTCTTGGTTTCGTTTTCTCTGGGACGCACTGTATTGTAAGGCTTTTGAACAGAAAATAATTCTTATACCACTCATTAAAATATTCTACATTGTTCAATAGCATTGTTATTTCTTCATTATATATATTTTCCTTGTTTCGCCAATATATACATATATATATATTCTGTATTTTTTCTTCTTCTTGCCGTATTCCTTGATATATGCCGGTGAAATTTTAAACGACAACATTCTTTACTGCGTGACAATACTTCTTGATGAATTGTTGCTTCTTCTTTTTTCCCCATTTTATCATACCACTTAGGTAATGTTATGTCAATCTTTGTGGAGTGCATAATCTGTTCAGTACTCTGTCTTTGTCAACTTTCTAATTCTGTGAAGTAGCTTTTGCTGATAATATGAGGTGTCGTGGTAGAGCTTATTATGTCACCGGCCTGTGGAGCACAAGGTCCGTGGTTCTAGTCCTGCCGCGGCACTAATTAATGTCCTTTGACTCCGTTTGCAAGATATTCAACTACATTTTACCACACTCGACCCATGTGAGGTTAATGGGTACCTGGTAGGATTATTCCTTGAAATGCACTACGCTGATAACGGCTGCCGAGCTAGAGCTAGGCCGGGTAGTCTAATAATTCCCAAAGCTCTTTGGAAGAACCGAATATTATTATTATTATTATTGATACTTTAAATAATTCAAATTCTACTGTGCAATATTATATAATTGAAACAGAGCATGTTTGACTTTATTCAATATATACATACTCAATGATGAAAATAATTCGTAGTCATGATTGAATTGGTCTTTATATTAGAAAATGTCCTAATTCGTCGATTTTATTTTTTCAAAGTCATTTTCAACTGGTTTCAATTTTAAGGAACTTCCCATGGCTTCCCATTTCTAGATTGATTTCTATTGTCATGTTAAATTTACTTTTTTTCTGTCATTGTGGATCTGTTTTGGAGCAGCTTTGGTGTGGGAGGGGGCATAGAGGTTTTTGCATTAATTATGCAAAATTGATTTACAATCAGGATGAAATTGGGGGGGGGGGGGGAGGGGTGGCGGGAAAAAAAACTCCAGGAACGCCTGTCTTGGGCCGCCTATATAAGCGCTTCTGAAGTAAATCGACGACTCGTTTATATGTTTGTAGGAAGACAAAATAACATGGGTCATCTTGAAAATTGATTGCATAACCGCGAGGCCTTATTTTTTTTCGCAAAAAGGCTAGCTGTTTTCGATAAAAAAAAATCGACCAAACGGGGCAATTTCAATACCGCATTGTACATCCTACGAGAAATCTTGTTCGGATCGATTTACGTAATACTTCATTGTCATGTTTGCTATAGGTGGATTTTTCGAAAGTAGTCGCAATCGTGTCAAACGTATGCCCCCCCCCTTATAAAAGGGCCTCGAATTTTAAACAATTTACATGCAGAGTTCTCTAAAACGTTCTCGTTTTGGGGATGGTTGTCAAAGTGAAGGTACAGTTCTAATGAGTTCCCTCGGTATCCATCCACCCACGTAATCTGAAATACACGATATACAACATAATTAACACTGAAGACACATCCTTCAAAAGAAATATTCCATATTGATTGTATAGGCCTCTGTTCTAGATCCTTTGTTGACATGAAATTTGTTTATAGTCTTAGTTTCAAGCAAAATTATTATTTGTTATAAGGACGTCTATAAGTTTTATATCATTAACTTTTAATATTACGAAGTAAAAGTTCAATGACATAAATTGGATATTGAAGTCATTTTGTTGGGTTCACTTTCATTCATTTTTATTTAATCTTTATACCTTTGTACCCTGACAAAAATGTTAATATATGCAAGGAACAATTACTTCCGGGTTAGTTGAGGTCAGCTAGCTAGTTGTGCATGGAAAGAACATGGAAGCGGGAGAGGAGCCGTGTCACAGAATTACATGACTCGGGAAAATTAAAGATTTTCCCGTTTTCTGGCCGAATCCATTCTTTTTAACTGATCATATATCATAGCTGATTTTAATGGTGACTGTTGATCTTTATTTGAAAGGTAAATATGACCTTATTTGCGTATTTGAAAGAGAAATTTACAATTTTATAGGTTGTTGTATCCGTTTTTGTGAGTTTGAGAAAGAGACTATAAATCCCGCGCGCTGATTATGCGTTTGTACTTTGTACTGTGTGTATGAATTGAATGGCAGCGCAGCCGGTGTAAAAGCTATTCGACGCCAGAACTGACGCGTGACGGGCCGGGAGATCGGAGAACGATGGGATTTCTGCAGCGCGAATGAATGAAACCAATGCCATGCCATGGCAAAAGAATGGTAATTTGATGTAGGCCTAGGCCTATACTATAGGTCTGTATGAAATTTAGATGGATTAGTCTGATGACTCTTAAGTCTTTTATGGAATTAAAGCATCTGAAAATGTAAAATAACTCAACTTTTTGGGGATGCTGAAAAAAATTGTACATTTTCAAGGTTTTACTGGAATATCATGAGTTTGGTATCACTATCGGATTAATCGGAAAATCTCAAGCTTTTTCCTCGCGCTAATATGTTAGCCAATCAGAAGGGCCCTTCTGTAAAATTATTGTCTGTACATGTACATGTAATTGCTAGTGAAAGCTATTGCTTATTCTGTCCTATTTTGTTTCAGAGAGGCTTCACGCATTTTGTGAGTGAAACTGCCCAGCTGGGCAGGACACCATCCGATCTTGCATCATCTAGGAAAGCTTTGTAACTCAGTTCATCAGCCAGTTGCAGGAGCCATCACCGCCTCCTCTGTACAGAGCATCTTCACATTTCTCTTTTGGTTTGGTATCGCAATGGTTCATCAAAAGTAAACTCGTCTTTGGAAGGAGATGGTCTTGACAATCAAGATGCGGGTAAGTTTGTGACCATGAAATCTACTTAATAATTCAGAAATTGATTTTGATTCTAGGATATATTACTCCCCCTACCCCCTGAAAGTGTACCCTTTTATGACAACGGGACAACTACTTCCACTATAACTAGCATTTCTAGGACAATACACCAGTTTACGGTTAGGGGCGCCACTTTAATTGGTGAGTAAAAAAAGCCAATGACCTAGAGGTCATGGATTTATGCGTAAATTAAGATCGCGCCCATGCAAATTATGATGACATCACTGCCTGCGTGCTGCGTTGTGCATGCACATCATCATTTGCATGGGCGCAATCTTAATTTACGCATAAATACCACTGACCTGAGGTCAGCCTGTCTGCGCATGTGCACTGATGTAACCGTAAACTGGTGTATTCTCCCCATGAAAATCCCATAAATTTTTATCTCTTTGGTACCGTATAAGAGGCAATGTTCTAAAGTGTACCAATAATAATAATAATAATAAAGTCATTTTTATATAGCGCATTATAACTTGTGTATAGCAACTATTTATAAAAACAACTCAACTTTGCCGGGCATTCTAGAAGTAAAGGGATATGAGGAAAATAGTAGGCTTCTGTCGGTCAGAATAGACCATGGATACAGCACCCTAATAAAGTGTAGATGGCATGCTGTTGCAGGTACAGCAGCTCCTGCTGTGGCTGGTGAGTCCAATGCTAGAATGGCTATTTCTTTCACACCGGCCTATTGGTGTTTCTTCTGACTTTTTCTTGCCAGCCAGGTCTAGGAGATGATTTTGTAAATTCTCAATGGACTAATGTTGTTTTAAATTTCTCTTTTACAGCCGCATGAGGGAGCTAGAAGGTAAGATTTCTTTCATTCTATCAATTTTTATGGCACAATTGTTATTTTAGAAAAAATGAAAGAGTGCCATTTTTGCTTATTTTAAGATGAAAAAATTAATTAAGTTAAGATTACCGGTATATAAATTAACCAAGACTTTAAAAAAATTATTATTTATATCATGTTCATCACATTATTATATTAAATCATTGCTTGGTCATTGTTTCACTATTGATAATACAAATACAATGTAATTACTTGAGCCTTTATATGAATGTGAGCAAAACATGATTTATGATTGGAAATCAAAATCAAATTTTGTGTTTTCCTAACGGTTTTCATAACACTACAGTCTATTGGGGAAAACAAGTGTGGTAAAACCAGTCACTCAAAATTTTTACTTTTTGAGGCACTTCTTGATCATTTTGAAGCACAATTTTTTTTAGGGCTTCAATATTATACCATATCACAGATACTGATAACACGTAGGGCCGTGCATCTCAGAATTAACATTGTTAAACGATGCCTTTAAGCTGTAGTGACCCTCTTCAAATTGTATCATGTGGGACAAAGCTGTTTAAAAAAATACTAAAACAAGAGTTCTCTTTATTGCATGAATGTTCACACCCAGGAGAAAACCTGCCATAAGTTCTAAACTGATAAAACTGATCATTTGGAATTTTTTTTAAATTAAATTTTTTCTGCAGGAGGAAGCAAAACGTCGCCCGGCGCATTGTTTCTTCTGACAGCGATTCATCAGAGTCCGTACCAGACTTCTTCATCAACCAACCCTCCAATACCCGTACCCCCATCGACAAACCTAAGAACGAGAAGACCAGGATAGGCCCAACCCCAAACGGCGACTCCAAAAAGAAGAACTTTGTGCGCCCCAACAGTATTGGGTCGTCAGAATCTGCTGGTTTTGGTAGCAAGAGGGCGATCAATGCTCTGTCAGGGGTCAATAACGGCTTTGTTTATCAGCTAAAGAAGAGGGAGCCAAATGTAGATGAGGAGGTTGAAAGCGATAGCTCAAAGGATGTGAAGGATGCAAAGAAGTGCAATGGATCTTTGGTTGACAGTTCACTCAATGAAGAAATACCAGAAGGTAAAAAACAAAATTTGTATGAATTACTTCATCAAGAACACAGTTGCAAACCTTTAAACAAGAAATTTTATTTGTTGGAACTTTTGCAACATTCAATGTTTTCTAAGCCTCCGGCCACCAAAGGTGGTGCCGGAGGCATTGTGTTTTCGGATTGTCCCGTCTTTCCGTTCATCTGTCTCTGCCCGTCATGCTTTTTCGTTATCACTATATCTCAAGAAATGCTTGAGGAACTTAAATTCTACAAGCTATATGCTTTTTATTAAGTTCTTTTTTCACATGTAATTTCAAAATTATTTAGAGTAAATGTCATACAAACCTGTGTAGATATCTTTATTGTTCGTGAATATCAATTTTGTAAATATGCTATGTTTTGTTAATGTATTGTATTTTTTCATGTGAAATAAAAGAAACTAAACTGAAACTTACCTGAAACTGAAACTTGATATGTATCACCATAGCAAGACAATTTGATTAGATTTTGGAGTGAATAGGGAAAAAAATCTAAAGTCATAGTGGTTAGATTATGAAATAACAGATATTAGCCTCTTTATGGTGATATCTCAAGCTCCACTCAAGGTACAAGCTTCAAATATTATGATAGTGTGTATAACTATAGAGAAGCGATCTGATTCGATTTCAGGGTAAGAAGGTCAAAGGTCATGGAGGTAAATTTTCATGAAATTTCAGGGATTTAGCCACATTATCACAGTGTCTCAAGAATGATTTGAGCCATGAACTTCAAATGTGGTATTGGTATGTATCGCCATAGTGAGACAAATTGATTAGATTTTGGGTTAAGAAGGTCAAAGGTCAAAAGTCATGAAGTCAATATTCATAAAAGTAGAGGGTTTATAACGTATCACCATATCATTAACTATGTTTTACCATTGCATGTTTATGCTGTTCACATTTTTTGGGGTGTAAATGTATTATGTATACAAATATGCATTATATTTCCACCTTGTACCGTTATGTGTATTCAGGCAGTAACCTAGGCTTGAATGTTTCTTTTTTCATGCTTTCTCTTGTTATTCAAGTATGTGATTTAAATAAAATTATTGTTATTAATCATTGAAGTTAAAAAAAAAATTCTCCTCTGATCTCAGGTACAGTCATCGTCCAGCCAGAGGCAGCATCGGATGGAGAGGAAGATTGGTCCAAGAGCAAGGAGTTTGGAAAACTGTTTCCCCGTGAGCGGAAAGAAAGAAAAGATGCTAACAATCAAAGTAAGAAACCACTCCTTTCCCTCCTATTCAAATACGTAGGCAAGGCCAAGGACCATCATGGTTGTCTGGTGTCCCGTATATGACCAATAATTTTGGGATAGAGAAGTTGATGTAAAATTTGAAAGTATCATTTCTTTGATGTTTAGTCTGATCCAAGCTTTTGGTAGACTTATAAACAACCATCGGGTTTACTGAAACCTGTAACGTGGTCAGTATCATGTGGAAAAAAGTAACTTGACTTGCCCATTTACTGATCAGGCTTTTTCTCCTTCTTGTAATTCATCTGTTAATTGAGAGTTTACATCACTGATTACTATTGAGAAAATATGAGAAAAAGTGGACATTACTCAACCATGGATTTTATGTCTTCAAATATTCATTATAGCTTTTTGAATACTTGCATATATACGGTACACAATAAATCCCTTAACCCTAAAAAGGCCAGGCTATTTGAGGTCTAAATACGGCCGGGGGGGGGGGGGGGGCATTATAGCCCCCCTTAAGATCTCCTTGCCTTGAAAATTTGCACGGATGTCAAGTGAAGTGTATAGAATAATATGATAATTTCAAGTTTTTGAAAAATTCACTCATTTGCATATTTATGGTAATTTATGCAAATAAAGTCATAAAAATCACATTTTTACCCATAAATCATATATTATTCATATTTAAGCATTCTTTTTCACTACATATATTCATTAGACCATTCTGAATAATAATACGACAACAAAAATTGGAAGAGCCAGCTTATTCCTTATGTTATCACTTGTTTTGATAATTTCTTATGTATTTCATTGTTTTTTTAACTTATGTATTTCATTGTTTTTGTTTTATTTCATTTCTTACCACAATTCAACTATTTTGACTCCCAAAACAACCATCTAATCTTTAAACAAGACCCAATAACCCATGCTTGATCTGTTTTTAGGAAAACTGACTTTTCCATATGTTTTGTACACAAATCACGAAAATGAGCGATTTTCGGGCTGAAATGCAAAGACAAAATGTCACGTGACCTTGTAACCGTAGGTCCGATTTTCAAAAAAATTCTTTTAAAAGTTGCGCAAGACTCGAAAGAAAAAAAGTCAGCGAGCCGCGGGGCGCCATCCATATGCGTTCCCGAGCAATCAGAAAAATCAAGGAGGAGGGGGGGGGGCGCCATAATGGCCCCCCTGCCTTATTAGGGTTAACCCTAAATTGTTTCTCTCAACTTATTAATGGATTCCATTATTTGCAGATGCACCCCCAACCGAAGAATCTGTGTTCTGTACGGCATGCAACACCCAAGTCAACCCGTTCGACAGAAAAACCTTCTTCTGCCATACAGTTCTGAGTGTGGTCATCTGTAAGGTATGATGTCTAATTAGTTAATCATTTTGTAAAATCAAATGAAATCATCTGCTTATTTGAAGAAGGGGGAGGGGGGCGGGGGCATGGAGTGGGGTGAAGTGAATCATGCAAAGAAATATTTCCTCCAACTTAGATCAGATCCCAGAATTTACACAAATGTTCACACTTCTTTCTTTTTTTCTTGCCAGTAGGAAAGTTCGTACTATCAGGGCTGAAGTTTTTGTGATTGTTAAGAGTGTTCATGTATATTGGAGGTCATCATGAGTGCCATGCTAGAGCTTCTTGTACGAAGTGTAGAGTATATAATTTAAAAAAAAAATCAGACTCGAAGAATGAGCATATTTACTGGTTGAGGTCACGTTGAATTTCAGATGTAAAATAACTTTGTAATTCAATAAAATGAAAGAATTGAAATCACTTGTGTGTAATAGAGGAAACCAATATCTGATTGCAATTCTGTACAAATCTTTTTTTGGTGTGGTTTACAGTGTGGTAGGATATATTTTTTCCTTCAAACTTCCCCATTGGAACTGGATTTCAAATTCGGTAAAATGGGGAAAACCAATCAAGATGATTGAAAAGTTTGACAGATGGTGAAAAAGTATGTAAAGGGAGGCCAATAGAAATCTTCAGAATTTCTGATGTCTGTAATATGATTATTTTGGTAATGTTTAAATGTGAGTAAGCGTTTGCCCATTGATTGTCAGCAATTATTATGGATGAACTCCTTTCAATCAGTTACAGTTGTAAATTTGTTTATAAATTTTTGTGTCTTTTCAGGGATGTTTGGATTTCTACAACAGTGGCCCCTGGAAGCAGGATAGAGACGGCATCGAGGAGGAGTGTCGTTGGTGTGGGCAAGGCGGTTCCCTATCCTGCTGTGACTACTGCTGCAAGACATTCTGCAAGCGTTGCATCATGCGCAACCTGGGAAGAGCCGAATGGAATCGTACATTATCAAAGAAGAAGTGGAAGTGCTACGTGTGTGATCCTGCACCCCTCAAAGAACTGGTTGCCAAGTGCAATGCTCTCCTTGCACGGTCTGTTAAAACAGAGAAGAAGGAGAAAGAGAAGGCAAATGTTTATGTACAGAAGAAGGTAGTGAAGGCACCTAAGAAGGAGAAGATGCAGGATGCAGCTATCGCTGAGGAATTCCTTCAGTATCTTGTAGGGAACATCAGCAATAGGGCTCTGTTCATGAGGAGCTTGGTGCGACTCAAGAATGAGGTGCCTGACATGCAGAAGCTCCAGATGAACCTGTCCCTGAAGCATATCGGCGAGGTCAAGACCGTCCTGGGAGAGTTTGAGGCCTGTGTGAAGAAGCATCTCTACGGCGATGCACACAAGAGCGATTCTGCCCTTGATGGAACCGATCCAGAGGACCTTGATAGCCCTGAAAGGAGGTCCAAGTCCCAGATGGAAGAGAGAAGTTTTAAGACTGAGAAGAAGGAGGAAACAGCAGGGGAAGACCAGGTGATAAAGGAGGAGGAGAGTGCAATGGATACAGCAGAGGGTGATGTTCTTGAAGATGCTGACATCTCACAAAAGGAATCTAGTGATGACACAAAGGGAAGTGGACATAAAGAGAAGAATGTAAAGATCAGTGAAAATACCCCCATTGCTGATGTTGACATGGAAAGCAATGATGTTGATGTTGAGGCTAATGGAGACAAAGCAACCAGTGGAACAAAGGGAAAAGAACTGAAAGAAAAGGAGCAGATAGAAACATGTCCCGAAAAGGGAAGTATACCTGATGACACCGATGATGCGATCATGAACGCTCAAGAAGATACTGGTGATGGTGACAGTAAGGACACAGATTGTCCTTCAAGCCCACCTAGTGCAAGGAAAATGAAAATCACTCCTAGATCTCCCAGATCAAGGAGAGAATTGCAAGAAGCAAACCTCAGAGGATCACAAGACGGTAAGAGTCAAGAGGACGAAGAAGCTAAATTGATGTCTATGCTTAGTGAATCTGATGATGATTCTTGTGACGAGAGTGAAGGATCGGAGTATAGTCCTAATAAATCAACAAGGTCTCTTAAGAAATCGACTCCAAACGCAAGGAAGGAACTGTCCAAGAAATTCTCCAAGTCTGTGGAGAAAGAATCTGTGTCCAGTTCTGACTCTGATCATGAGTCAGAGGGTAGTCCTAAAAGATTAACAAGGTCTCATAAGAAATCTTCTCCAAATGCAAAGAAGGAACTGTCCAGGAAATTCTCCAAGGCTGTGGAGAAAGAATCTGTGTCCAGTGCTGACTCTGATCATGACGAGACGGCCGAAAGGAGAGAAGGACCAGGAGAGGACTCGAGTAATCCTGAAGAAGAGTCTGGTTTTGATGGAATTCCTGGAGATTCTTCTACAGGAGCCTCTCAGGACGAAGAAGGGGAGAAGGAAGATGAAGTTGAGAAAAAGAAGGACTTGTCTGCAGTGACGGTCACAAGAAAAAGCAGACATAGCTCTGCAGCAAGTGAAAGTGAATCTTCTGAGAAAATATCTGAGAGTAAATCTGAGAATAGTGATGATAGTACCAAGCCCCAGAGAAGAAGATCAAGCAGGAGAAAGAAGAATTGTGAACCAGAAAAGAAGAAATGTGAACCAGAAAAGAAGAAATGTGAACCAGAAAAGATGGACTCTGCCGAGGAGGAGGAAATTGAACTGAAGAGGCTTGAGGGCATTAGAGGCTTGAAAAGAAAACGTAACCGTGAAACTGATAGCGATGATGCTTCTGAGAATGTACCTGAGAAGCCTGAAGATAGGCCTGAAGAAATCGAAGCAGAGAGTGTTGCGATGAAAGATGAGAAAAAGTCTGATGTTGAACAGGAGTCTGAATCAGAAGAAAATCTATCCAAGAAAGCAAAGAAGGTCAGAAAATCTCCTGCAAAGATAGACCCCAAGAGCAGGGAGCTTCTCAGTTCCGACTCTTCTTCAGATGACGAGTCTAATGCAGAGAGTGACGGCTGTTCTGGGTTGAGATGGCAGAGTCTCAACAAGAACAAGAAAAGCAAGAAGGGGGATAGCCGGGAAGTGGCTGAAAACCTTCTGATGGATGAGTTGGATAGTAATGACGAGGAAGATGACGACGATGATGACGACGATGATGAGGATGAAGAAATGGATGGTGCCGGATCCAAGCGGAGCAAGAAGACGGCCCAAAAGAAGGCAGAAGAAGAGGAGCCTGAAGAAGAAGATGAAGATTGGGATAATGGTGAAAACAAACAGAATGGAACAGGAGGAGGCAGTGGAAGTGGGAATGGCAAGAAAGGAGGGGATGATAAAAAGAAGAAGAAGAAAGGAAAGGACCAAGATGATGATGATGAAGAAGAGGATGAGGAGAATATGGAAGAAAATGGAGAGGAAGAAGAAAATGGAGAGGAAGAGGAAACTGAAGAGGATGAATCCGATGAAGAGGGAACCAAGAAATCACATCCTTTGTTGCGCGTCAAGATCTCATCCAGTGAGGATGAGGAAGATGAGGGCACTTCAAAGAAAAAGAAAGGCAAGAAGGCCAAGGCAGCTCCAAAGAAAAAGGGCAAATCCACAAAAAAGAGGAGGAAAGAGATCGACACTGATGAGTACTTTACATCATCGGATTCGGACGATGTCTCAGACGAGAAGCCAAAGCGAAAACGAGTGACGAGATCTCAGACTGCATCCTCAACTGAAGACTCGTCTGCGGAACTGAAGAAACCCAAGAAGAGGAGAGCCAGGAAACGGGAACCTGGCACCAGCTCAGAGGCAGACTCCAGTAAAGAAACCAAGCCAAAGAAACGAGGCAAAGGAAAGAAGAGGAGGAGGATAAAAGTAGCCTCTTCTTCAGACTCTGAATCCAAGACACAAGAAGACAGTCAGGAAGAGAAGACAGTAAGTGCTTTGTCAGTCTTTTTTTCTTCAAAGTAAGAAGCATACATCACAATTAAAAAGAAAGGTAGAGGTCTTGAGTAGGTCAAGATCAATATCGCCTTACAACAAACTCAATGGCCTGTATGCTACTAAAATTCAAATGCAACTCTGAATTAGGCTTTTCCTCAAAATTGGGTTTAACAAATGTAGTTAGTCTGAGGTATATTAATTTTTCCTTTGATTTTATACCCAGGCTCAGGTATAACTGAATGAGTAGAATACAGACCCATAAGACTATTGAAAATAACCTTGTGTTGAGCATTTGTTATATCAGGACTAAAAAGCAAAAGAAATGAAAGAAATGAGTCTAGCATAATCTTTGTTATAAAGATATTATTATATTGAAATGTAGGAAGCATAATTTTGATTTTGCAGGAAAATTATTTGAAGGGAGGAAGTCTTATATATTTGGTGAATTGACAATTAATAAAAGATCTGGAATTGACAACTAGAAGATATGAAATTCTATGTAACATAACATTTATGACTGCATGGAGGTCTGTTGTGTAGCTAGCAGCTCAAATCTTGAAATCCGATAGCCCTGCATTTGCTGAGTTTGCTTAATGTCTGGTACTCTGGTTTATCTTGATGCCACCCAATACATTCTATTTTTGTCCGACTATACATATTTTAATTTTTTTGTTGTAGGGCTCTGACGATTCCAGTGGGGATGAAAATGACACCCCCAAGAAGGGACGTAAGCAGATCCGTAGGGTGATCAAGAAGAGCAAGCTCAAAGCAGAGACTCTGGCAGCCGAGATGGAAGAACAGGAGAGACGCAGAAGAATAGAGGAGAAAAGGAAACAGGTAATACTCTCTAAAATGTATAATATTTGCAAGTCTCTGATATTATTTTGGTCAGATTCCAGCTTGCAGTTGCAGGATACCCTCAGTTGTATTTGGCTGTAAAGAAGAACACCTGGTTGATAAGATGTCAGTCATTCTTAAGCCTTTGTACAATTCATGTATTTGCAAATCTAAAAATCTTTTTGTCAAAGTCTTTTTTGTAAGTTTGGAAGGTACCACAAATTTTGTGAGCTGTAATTCTGTTCTTTGTATGATTATAATTTTGTAATGAAGTGAAAATGGCTCAGAGTGTTGGATTGATGAGAAGGTACAAGAGAGTATGGGGTTTAAATCCAATATCCTAGCAACAGGCAGTGACTAAAGTTAAGGGGATTGGTAATTCAGGGGATAATTGTTCTAAAATCTGTTACCCAATATTGCTTTTCTTTCTAAAGACTATCAATGAAGAGGACAACAATTCAGGGAACAGTGTTGTTGTCAAGTCTTGGATCCTATAGATAGGCAGTGAGCAGAGTTAGGGTATGGTCATGAAAGGAATACTTATCTTAGAGTCTTGCCTGACATCGCTTTTCTGTCACAGATCATCGTTGAAGACAACAAGAAAGCTGAGAAGTTTTGTATCCTGAAGACAGCCAGTGATAAGGATTAGGGGTTGGTCATGATGGGAATAATTTCTTAGAGTCTAAACCGATTCTACTTTTCTGTAATTGCAGATCATCAATGCGGAAGAAGAGAAGGCCAAAAAGAGCGCTGTTGTTAAGACGTGCATCCTGGAGAAAGCCAAGGACTCTGATGAGGTCGTGCTAGAGGTGGACGAGCGCATCGTCAAGCACCTCAAACCCCACCAGGCAGAAGGCATCCGCTTCATATTTGACAGTACCTTTGAGTCGGTCTCGAAAGCTGGCGCGAAAGGAGGAGGCTGCATCCTGGCTCACTGCATGGGACTGGGTAAAACCCTGCAGGTGAGTTTACTCCTCTGATCTTAGTTAACCATCAGCTGTTTACTTTTACCTTTTAATAGTGCCTTTGTGGTTCTTCATACAAGGGTTATACAAACACTTGATGCAGAAATGTCTGTATTAGATGCATTAACAAAAATATATATATTTATTGCTATGTCATATGGGTGTACTGTTGAAAAAATGTGCAGTGCATACACAATGCATGCAGTGTGTTAACAGAATTTCTTTATTGTGTTATGAATGGCACTCTTTTAACAGTTCCTGTGATTTCCTGATTTTTCAGGAGTTTTCAGGAGTTTTCAGGTTGTTTATCCCGCTTTTTCATTAGGCCTAAAAAAAAGATGTTGTATTGTAAATGTATTATCAAAATCGGTCATTTTTTATATTAAGCTGACCATAGATTTCAATATTTTTGGGTCGGTCCCAAAGGGCAATACAACATTTTTTTTTTTAGGCCTTATCGCAATATTTCAAGAACCAAATTGGTAAAAATAAACGCTCCCTGAAAAGATCAAGACTTAAATTCTTCTCTCCATTTAGGTCATCTCCTATCTGCACACTATAATGACGAATCCGGATTTAAAGGTGAAGACTTGCCTGGTGGTAGCTCCTCTCAACACCGTCCTTAACTGGGAAGATGAGTTTGAGAAGTGGATTGGGCACATGGACAGTGGCATCAATGTGAGTATTGGCATCAGAATAGGGGCTCATTCAGATATGACTCAACAAAACCATTTTTGTTGTTGTAAATGAGGTAAAGTGTAATACCTGCCACATTTCTATATCTCATAACACAGAGCTCAGTGAATACCGGACCTTTGTTGCGCCAGTTATCATTAATTTACACCAAAAACAAAATCTGCAGTAATATTTTTATGCCTCCGTTACGAAGTAGCCGGAGGCATTATGTTTTCGGGTTGTCCGTCCGTACGTACGTCCCGTTCTCGTGATCGCGTTATCTGAAGAACTGGTGGATGGATTCCTGCCAAACTTTGGTCATGTATGTATCTTGTAGAGCCGATGAACTGATTAGATTTTGGGGTTACGAGGTCAAAGGTCAAAGGTCACAGGGCTCATTATGTATGCAAAACGAGCTCGTGATCGCGTTATCTGAAGAACTGGTTGATGGATTCCTGCCAAACTTTGGTCATGTATGTATCTTGTAGAGCCAATGAACTGATTAGATTTTGGGGTCACGAGGTCAAAGGTCAAAGGTCACAGGGCTCATTATGTATGCAAAACGAGCTCGTGATCGCGTTATCTGAAGAACCGATTGATGGATTGCTGCCAAACTTAGGTCATGTATGTTACTTGCAAAGCTGAAAAACTGATTAGATTTTGAGGTCACGAGGTCAAAGGTCAAAGGCCACAGGGCTCATTATGTATGCAAAACGAGCTTGTGATCGCGTTATCTGAAGAACCGATTGATGGATTGCTGCCAAACTTAGGTCATGTATGTTACTTGCAGAGCCGATGAACTGATTAGATGTAGGGGTCACAAGGTCAAAGGTCATGGTTTCATTATGTATGCAAAAATAGCTTGTAATCACAATATTCTGAGAACCTGTTAATGGATTACAATTGAACTTGAATTCGAAAAATTTCTTCTGTTTTGGTTTGTAAAATTGCTCTATGACGGAGGCATCATTTTCGACTGCGCGCAGTCAAAGTTCCATCTAGTTTTCAGTGGTTTACCGCATCATCCCTGAACGAAAAATAGATGAAGAATAAATACAACTAGTGAAAGTCGGCAAAATCGGATGAAAAATAAGAAAGTTACAGAATTTTACAGGTTTTAATAATTTCATGAAACAGTGATATGTATCACATAGGCTGTATGCAAATAAGTGAGTTGATGATGTCATCCCCTCACTTTTCTCTATTCGTTTTGTACATAAAAGACCATTCGCATAATGTAACCAAGTATTAATGCATACGTCTTTATGAAAAAGAAGAAAAAAAAAATGATGATATCTTACAGAACATGAAGCATGAAAAAAAGTAGATATTCAACAAAAAGTGTACATACTTTTGTCTCTCTCTCCCTCTCTTACCCTTTCTACCCCTCTCTCCCTCTCTCTCTCTCTTTCTCTTCCTTCCCCCTCCCTTTCCTCTCTCTCTTTCTCTTCCTTCCCCCTCCCTTTCCCCTCTCTCCCCCTCTCCCCTTCCCCTCTCTCCCCTTCCCCTCTCTCCCCTTCCCCTCTCTCCCCTTCCCCTCTCTCCCCTTCCCCTCTCTCCCCTTCCCCTCTCTCCCCTTCCCCTCTCTCCCCTTCCCCTCTCTCCCCTTCCCCTCTCTCCCCCTCTCCCCGTCCCCTCTCTCCCACCTTCTCCTCTCTCTCTCACTCTCTCTTTCTCTCTCTATATAAACATATATATATCTTTGGTTACCCTCTAGATCTATGAGATGAGTGCAGTGAAGAACAATGCAAGCAGGGCTGATTATCTGGATCACTGGCACAAGAAGGGAGGAGTAATGATCTTGGGTTACGCTATGTACAGGAATCTCGCTCTCCTCACCCATATACGCAAGAAAAAAGAGAAAGCAATCTTCCTCAAAACTCTTGTAGAACCAGGTAAGGTCCCTTGAATATTTTCTTTTGTGTTTGAGTGTTTGTAAGGGAAATTTAAAAAAATTGCTGAGACTATTTATTGTAAAACTCGTGTTCAATTGGTCGTTTTTATGAATTTCCGGGACATTTTTTAGAAGATCAAATTTTTTAAAACAGTTTTTGCTGAGGTTAGTTCAGACTTTTGAAATATGATTATCATATTATTTTTATCCCTTGGCCCTCCAAGGGTGGTGCTGTAGGCATTAGATTTTCAGGTTGTCTGTCTGTCTATACGTATAGCGATTAAAACTTTAAAAAAGGAACAACCTTATTAATATTTGTCCGATTCCGTTTAAACTTTCACCAGTCCGCTTCCCAGATTAAAAGCTTTCTTTTAGATTAGTTTACTATTAAGGTTGGATTTTCTTTAAATGTGCCTTGTGATGTAAGAGCCAGGCTGGGATTTGAACCCTTAACGTCTTGAATGAAAGTTAGTGAGTTAACCATTACCTTATGACGCCTTTCTCTGTCTGTGTTTTCTAACAGGTCCAGACATAGTAGTATGTGATGAAGGTCACATGTTGAAGAACGAGAGCTCAGCCATCTCTAAGGCTATGAACAACATCACTACATTGAGAAGGATATGCTTGACCGGGACACCACTACAGAATAATCTGATAGAATGTAAGTTACAACACCTTGCTCGATGTGACACTTTCATGTTCACATCTTCGTGAAGTGCCGTCTTCTCAGTAGCCCCTCAAAAGAACCTTTTATTGATAACAATAATGTTAGTGATGATGACGATAATGATGATGATGATAATATAAAATTAATAATGATGATGATGATGATAATAATAATGATCCTTAGCCAGCCCAACAGAACCAACAGATCGGTGCAGTGGCTATATAAACCCTTATCCAACCTTACACACTCATCCTGAAAACAATAGGTAAAATCTAAATAAATATTGAGATAGAGCATGAGTTGGCACTTTTCAGAGCAAACTCACCCCTTTGAAAGAATATGTGGTGTAACCGCAAACCTGGCTCAAATCTATCATCACCATGAAAGCCTCCAAAGATTATAAAAGTAATAATAATAATAATGATATTAAAAATAATGATAATGATAATGGTAATGATAATGGTTATGATAATGGTAATGGTTATGGTAATGATAATGGTTATGGTAATGATAATAATAATAATGATAATTATAATGAGAAGGAGAAGGAGGAGGAGGAGAAAATTAATTAATAAAAACATTGTTTTGATTGTAGATCATTGCATGGTTCACTTTGTGAAGCCCAACCTACTTGGTACCATGAGAGAGTTCAAGAATCGCTTTGTGAATCCAATCACCAATGGACAGCACAGTGACTCCACCGCTAGAGATGTTAAGATCATGAAGAGAAGAGCCCATGTACTCCATAATCTGCTTTCGGGCTGTGTACAGGTAAGTGTTTGTCATTTGTCTCTCTCTCTTCTCTCACATTTCTCTCAGGCTCTATCGTTTGCTTAATCTTTCTATCCATCTTTCTATCCCTTGCTCGCTAATTTTTCTTGATTCTATCTCCCTTGCTCGCTCTCTCTCTCTTTTTACACTTTATGACGACAATGTTGGAATTTCTTGATGAAAACCTTAGTTATATGGTAGTGCATTATGCCTAAGTACCCATTTGAAGGAGTGCAATTGTGTCATGCAGACAGTTGTACCTTCCTGACAGGTTCTACAACAAAAACATTTCTTGGGATGTGGGAGGACCTTTGACCTTAGGTCGTTCTGTCCTGGGGAGGACATTGATCTTCGAGTTTCCTCCACTGGGTTTTGTCTTGGGATTTTGATCTAAGCTTGGGTTCCATGTTGTTTCTCTGTCTTTTAGACCATTATCTATTGTTGTTTTCTATGTAGTTATTGGTTTTCCTCCCTTTCTTTGTTCAAGCTTGTAGTTTCAAATCGAGTGCTTTTTTAGGAATTCTGTCTTGTTCCATGCGAATGACATGACCAAACCATATCAGCCATGTTTTGCCTTACTTCTTCATTCCTAGCACATTCTTACCAGGTTATTCCCAAGATTCTTATGAGGCACTTATGATAGAATGCATCAATCTTTTGCTTAACCTTAGCTTTCATTTACAATTTTAAGGGAGAGGAGGAAAATAATAAATCATTTAGTATGATTGATTGTGAAGTAGCACACATTTTCCAATAGCCCAAAACCGGGTCATTTTGTTGGCTCAGTCCCTACACTATTGTCTTATTCAGTAGAAAGAACTGAAAAGCACAAAGTTAAATCCCATTTTGAACAAAAATGTTTTTTTTAAATTCTTTCACAGAGGAAAGACTACATGGCACTGACCAAGTTCTTGCCACCCAAACACGAGTTTGTGATCAACGTGAGGTTATCTGAAGTCCAGATAAAGCTGTATGACCACTACCTGAACACCATGTCTGGACGAAAGGACGACGGCACCAAGACCCAATGCACCAGTCTCTTTTCAGATTACCAGGCTCTGATGAACGTCTGGACGCACCCAAGGCTCCTACAGCTGGCTTCAGCTAGATATGACAGAAACGTAGGTTTAGACAAGATATCCCTCTTTGCTTGGATCCACGGATATATAAATGATTAATTGATAAAAAAACAAAACATATATCACTGTGGCAAAGCCGGATTGTGATGATTTTTAAATGACACAGTGCGTACAAAAAAAAGGAATCAACATTATGAAAGAAATAAATTAGCAAGTTATAATCAACAATGACAGACTTCATACAAAAATGATAATCAGCATTTACAAATATATCACTTAGTAATCAACGGATAACATTTTTCATTATAATATATTACAATTTGTTTTGTATAAAGTATTAAGACATATGATTTGATATTCTCCATCACAATGTTTTAAAAAAAGATCTAAAAGCAATAGTGGGTATTCTTCTTTCTTTGATTTTGGAATTGGAATAGATTTAAATAATTCTATATATACAATTATTAATGATACTATTTACCGGTATTGGAGAAAAAGTTTTAATTGTGTCATATTATATTTGTCAGCAATAATGACAGGAAACAACCTTGTAATGAATTCTTTTCACATCAAATAATAAGTTCTGTCGTATAGAACAAATGCTGCATATTTTCGTCCGTTCGTTAGAGGATCTATCTGCTCTTGATAAGGCTGGTTAAGCACCTATTGTACTCAGCCTGACAGCTCCGTGCATACAGCCTCAACTCAAGTGCAGATAGATCATATAATGAACTCATTTGCATGCATCATTTATATATCGAGTGGTCATTGACACAAAGACGTAACTCCATTTTGGCCATTTTGAGAAAAAGCGGTTTATGTGTAACTGAGCACTTGGGCCTTAACAGGTTAAGTCTATTTTTCACTAGCCATTGACTTTAATGGGGTGTTGGGTGGAGTTAGGTCTTTGTGTTTCCCGGAAAGCCCACATTTTTTTGAACATTTTGATATCAAATACTCATTTTGGCAAAATATGGAGTTACGTCTTTATGCCACTGAACCCTCAATATAATGCACTCATTTGCATGCATCATTTTATATATACTATCTGAAGTTTTCTAATCTCTTTGCTATGCCCTGTGGCCTGATAGGCCGCTAAACGAGAGATGGACGATTTTGTGACCTCTGAAGAGGAGGATGATGACGATGATGACAGCGTGAAGGCGTTTGTCATCTCATCAGACAGTGACCTTGATGACCCCTGGAAGTCACATAGGAAGAAACCCGATAAGCCAAGCAGGTGAGAGGCTTAACCCATAGAAGCTCAGAGTTTTCTTATCTTCCAAATTTATAAGTTTTTCCTCCTCAGATTGGCAAGAATTAATACTGGTTTCAATATGTTTGTATTTTTTAAGTATAGACCAGTTTTGGAAACGCCCCCCTCTCAAAAAATGAAATAGAAGCTCTTATTACCAATCATGTGAAAGAATATGTTTTGACTAATACATGACGATACCAATTTTGCTGGGAAACTGCCTACTAATTTATATATTTGGTAAATTATTATATCTATACGGACTGGGTAGATATCGCGTAGTCCCATATACATCTTTCTTTGTACAGTGCTTGTAACTTTACCAAGACTGGGCCAAATTTCTTATAATTTTGATGATTCCAGAACCTTGCAGTTCACACCAATACTTATATGCTAGATGATCAACCTTTTCTGATCGATTCCACAACGTTTCTTTTAGTGCTGTAACATCACGGATATCTCTAATTCCGTTTAACCGCCTGTCAAAACCGGACGGTTTTCGGTTAAACGATTTATTAAAAAAAAAAAAAAAAAAAAAAAAAAAAAAAAAATTGTTTTTTTGTTTTTTTGTTGTTGGCCGTGTGAAAAAGCTGGAAGGTGATTTAACTGAAGGCGCCGATTTTTGCTTGTGAACTAGTCACAAATAATAGTAACAATGTCGTTTTAGAATAATGTGTAAGATCATTAAAGTAAATTAAAAACAGTAGAGGACCTAGGATAGAACCTTGTGGTACACCATGTGTTAAACTTGGATGAATATATATTGAGATCTATTTCAAAGATTACTTTCAAACCAAGATGACAGACAAATTGGAGTGTTGTTCTAGTTTCCAAGTGGTAAGTCATCACACCGATTACTGAGCTGGGAGAAATTGCCAGGCATAGTGCCAGGTGGAGGGGCATAAATCGAAACTTAAAAAAAAAAAAAAGGGAAAACGAAACCGTCCAATTGAAAACGGAATCCGCCATGGGCGGTCGGATACCGGACGGTTAAACGTTTGACTACAGCACTAGTTTCTTTCACAATGCAATCGCATGACCAGAACTGGTCAATACCTTTAAGTAATAAGCTATCACAATGAACTATTTTGATATCTGACTAATGTGTAAACATTGTCAAAGAATGATCAAAATTTTTAAAGGTGTTCTTCATGAAACGTTCATCCATTGTTCTGTACATGCATTTTGTTGTTACATGTTTTAATCTGTGAAATTAATTAATTCCTCTATCAATAGTCAAGAAGAGTTGTATTTTTGAATGATTTGATATACTAAACTTCAAAACAAGTAGAGAGTAGCTTTGGTCATAATTATTTCAGGAATTATGTTGCAGATGTTGCGCATTGTGAATTATTGTTGATAACTTGATATTTTTTATTAATTCCATATTTAATTTTTTTATGCAGCAGTTCTTCTCGACCGACAAGATCGCGGCGTGGGCAGGACAACGATAACAGTGATAGTGACGATGATCTCAGCGGCGAGGCCAAAAACGATGGGAACAACTCGGACAGCAGCGTTGAAGTGGTCAAGTCCTGGAACACCAGGAGTAGGGCCAAAGAGTCTGGACTCTCGGGTAAGATGTTTCATTGTTTTGTTAATTTTTATAGTTTATGTGAGACAAGAGCTTTGTTCAAACTTGACGCAGTAAATCACCTTTTAAGAAAATGTGGCAAAATGAATGGCTGATTAAGAAGAAGAAAGAGGAGCAGAGGAATTTGAAGAGTAGGTTAAGGGTGTGAAGAATGGTAAGGGTGTGAAAGTAATTTTGTTAAAAGCGGAAAGGATTTTAAGAGAAAAATGTGAAAAATTATGTAAGGAAATGAAGTATCAAGAAACTATTTGAAGGAGTAAAATGGTTCAGGGAGAATAAATACTCATGGATTTGCATGAGTCAAGAAGATCTGTGAATAATGCATAGCACATAATGATACAACTTTTTAATGTGCTTTCAGAGAGCTTTGCGATTTGTTACTTGACCTTTAGCTCAGGCAACCATTAGTAATACAGCACACAGGCATTCCAATGATTGATCCTACCAGGTAGCCATTTCTGCACCTGGGTCAACTGACAAATGTAGATAAATAATTCGCCAAAAGATGCTAGCAAAGTGTCGGGGACTCAAACCCCATGCCTTATGATCCATACTCTTCTGACATATTTACGATACCTCTGCATGTACTCAGTACAGGTAGTATAACATGCCGTGGCATAGTGGTTCCATTCACTTGACCCTTAATCCAAGGGTTGAGGGTTCGAATCCCCGCCTGGAACTAATGTCCTATGGCAAGACGTGAAACACTTTTGCCACTCTCCACCCAGGTAACCGTTGCACAAAGCCTTTTTTTAATGACAAATGACAAAAATCAGTGACAAATCTGCTGATAACCAATCAGAAGCAAGGATTTCAGTAGCTTATAACAAAAACTGTCATTTGTCACCGATGCCAATTTTGTGAAATGGGGCCCTAGGTGTAATAATGTTGTGGAGTGCCAGGAGTGTCCCAACATGACACACTATCTCAGAAGCCACCATTATGATTATTATTATTTTGACTGTTGACTTCCCATTTCAGAAGGAGCATCCACATCGGCAGCTGAAATCTACATCCCTCCTGAACCTGAGAAGGTTAACAGGTGGTACTCTGATTTCTTCTCCGAGGACGATTCCTTCAAGATAGAGCTTAGCGGCAAGCTGGTCCTCCTCTTTGAGATTCTTAAGATGGCGGAGAGTGTAGGAGAAAAAGTGTAAGTGTTTTCTGTAGTTCCTTCCTCTTCTCCTGGTAGTCCAGGGGCCCGTTTCATAAAACTTGTTATCTATAGCAACTGCTAAATTTCTATGACAAATTTGCTCTTAGCCAATCAGATGCCATGATTTTAGTAGCTTTTAACAGTAGCTTGTAACTTGTTATTGATATGAAGTTCCATGAAACAGGGCCTTGTATCCTTCAATCCTGAATATTATTACAGGTGTGTGCTGTGCTTGTGCTCAATGATAATCTGTGGTTCTGTTGTTCACAGATTTATTTTCCATCATTAGTCATTTTGACCTGCTTTAATGTAACAAAATCTTGAATCTTCTTGTCCATATGTCCATGATGATCATCTCTTCTTTTGTGACAGACTTGTGTTAAAGCCTGACTGCATCACTTATAGCTACTTGCGCCCTCAATATAGCAAACCATGCCTAATCGGTGCATGTTGGTCCCCCATGATCCCCTTTTTCTTATGTTAATTGACAGCTGACTTGATGAGATAACCATCTGTCTGTGACCTTGCAGGGAGGTCTAATCCCCCTGGCCACTAGTGCAGATAGGCTTTAATGTAACAAAACATTGAATCCTCTCGTCCATACGTCCATGATGATCATCTCTTCTTTTGTGACAGGCTTGTGTAAAGTCAAACCCTTATCCCTATTATTCTCCTACCATCATCGCACATGATGCTATTTTCATTCCGCTGCAGGCTTGTCTTCAGCCAGAGTCTGCTATCTCTGGACATGATCGAGGACATGTTGGCTCATCTAGACGAGAAGGCTCAGGAGGAGAGGGCCAATGGAGAACAGGACTTAGAAAATCAGGTAAGTCATTCAAAGCTAGAATAAATTGTAGGTCATTTCATTTGTCTCATTGTGGAGAAGTAAATTGTTAATCTTATACTTCGGTCACACCAACTAACCGACTCCTTTCCGACTCAAGGGTCTTCTGTTGGTTCAGTCTGGTCTTGGTCTTGTTGGTGTGATTGATGTATTACACCGGAAATTAATGTCAGTTTGCCATACCCTGAAAATGGCCAACATGGATATGTACACATGGGACAACATTGGTCTGGACATAATTCTGACACTGTCATGGAATACCTTACTTATTTTGCTTCTGTCTCAGCAATTATATAATTTCTTTCAGAAGTATTTAGTAGATATCATTTATTTCTACATGAATAAATATGTGGTGATAATTCTGTTAGATTTCTGTTGGAATGCATTTTGGAGCTACCAGGAGACAGGGTCATCTTCAAAAGTATCTTTGATATTTTGTTCCCCCTGTGTAGATCGGAGGTACTGGATCATGGATCAAAGGCGAGGATTACTTCAGAATGGACGGTTCCTCTGCAGCCCATCTCAGGAGAAGATGGTCAGAGATCTTCAACGATCTGGATAATATACGGTAAGAAAAAACACACTTTCATTAAAGCCCAACTGCACTACTTATAGCTACTTAGGCCCTCTTTTTCTTATGTTAATTTAGAGCTGATTTGATGAGATAACCACCTGTCAGTAACCACACTGGGAGGCCTAACCCCGCCTGGCCGAACTAGTGCAGACAGGGTTTAAAGTCACCTCCCCTCGTGTGTGATACGTCAGTCACATCAAAGAGACCGACATCGGACAGACAACAAATGGAACAAAACAATAGAGTTTGCACTGAATGGCCAAGAATTTGGTTTGGAATCTGGTAGAGGAGAAAAGAAAAGATTTGAATTGAGAGTGAGCCAAGAGTGACAGGATGCATACAATGTTCTTTAACTGCATGTACTGGCATGACGAGGATAATTTAATCTTTCCCCGTTTGATTTGGATGATAAAGAGAGCAAAATACAATGTCATATAGTGTACGATCAGTGCGAGAATCGGCAAAGGTTCCGAGGTAAGAGGAAAGCAAATGTCAATCAAAAGAAAAAAAGGGGAAGGTGACAGCATAGTCAGATTAAGAATGTTGAAACAGAGTTCAGTATACAGTAGGCTTGCGGGTGCACCATGTGAGAGAGAGGGAGGATGGATGAGCCCTGAAAAGGACTCGGTAATCTTTCTTGAGGGTTTGTAGTCCTGAAAAGGACTGTTTGTGTAGTCTTGAAAAAGACTGTTGGTTATCTTTCTTAGCTTATAGTTCTAAGGAGAACTATAGCGCTTGGAGAGGATGAGTGGCGGGAGTGGCTCAACGTTTTGAACAGGCTGACTATCCGTCGTCAGGATGTTGAGTATTCTTGTATAGAAATTTGTGCAACATTCTGTAGGTTCGCAATTGTTATTACAGTTATTGTGTACCAAATCTGTTCACATCCTTGTCGCTTCAGATCTCGTCTGTTCCTGATCTCAACCCGGGCCGGGTCCCTGGGGACTAACCTGATTGCAGCCAATCGTGTCATCATCTTCGATGCAAACTGGAATCCTAGCCACGACATTCAGTCCATCTTCAGAGTCTACCGCTTTGGTCAAGAGAGGGCAGTCTTCATCTACAGGTTTATCGCACAGGTGTGTTGATGGTTTTTCCCTGTTCTGTCAGTCTAATGCAAGTTCTGTTGTGTGTTTCCTTGTATTTGTGTTGAAAGAAATTTAATCATTTTTGGGGTATGAAATGTGATTGTGTGCTATTTATTTTCCTTTTATGTAAATTTCATTGCAAAAAAAATCTGTGATTGATATTTTACCTCTTGTTCCATAAGCCTTTGTGTTAGTAATTGCCCTATGCCCTTACAGTGACTATATGGTAGAAATACTCCCCAGACAGTGGAGATGGTGAACATTGTGCGTGAATGAAGCCGATGACCGGGGTAACGATATCTGTAAGCGCTTCGTGATGGTATTTTATATTAAGCACTATAAAAATCCAGATTATTATTACTATGATGTTAAATCTATTGATTGTCTCCTTTGATTCCTACAGGGTACAATGGAGGAGAAGATCTATGACAGACAGGTAAGACTGCCAGCTAGATTAACATATTTGAAGGAGAAAAAAAAGAATTAAAATGAAATAGCTGGAAATTATATATTTGTAAAAAGAAAAAAATGAGTAATAAGATTTTTTTCATTGGGGTAAATTAAAAAAAAATCTGTTCTCAAATTATTTTCAAGTTATTCTTAATATTCTGGAATATTCCACTTTGATTCTTACGTACCGTATAATGTACTTTTTTAAAATGACCCTTAATCATTAAAAAATAACAAAATGAAGTCAGTATTCGTAAGCAAATACAATTTTTCAATGCCATTTCAATAATAATAATTCAATTATTCATAGAATCTTTTGTTTGTTGAGAGCCAGTAGAGAGTAACTCAATTTTGATGAAAGATGAACCACATGCCCTTGATATGTATTGGTGATGCTATTCTTTATAATTGGCAGTTGTTTAGTACAGGGATTTCCTTTTAATGAAGTTTAGAGAAGTTTCAGGCAGTGGCAGTGGGATTAGCATGATAATATGCAATCTAGTATAGGAAGCTGCTATTTGTAAGTTCTATCAATATTTTAAAGGTCTAGACCAGTTCTGGTCATGCGATTGTATTGTGAAAGAAACGTTGTGGAATCGATCAGAAAAGGTTGATCATCTAGCATCTAAGTATCGGTGTGTACTATAAGGTTCTGGAATCATCATATTGATAAGAAATTTGGCCCAGCCTTGGTAAATTTTCAAGCACTGTACACAAAAATATGTATATGGGACTAAGCGATATCCGGATAGATATAATAATTTACCAAATATATCAATTAGTAGGCGGTTCCCGGCAAAATTTGTATCATCTCGTAGTATTCTTTCACATGATTGGTAATAAGAGCTTCCATTTCATTTTTTGAGAGTGAGCGTTTCCAAAACTGGTCTATACCTTTAACTTTGTTGTTTGTGCCCTACACGAATGCTCCATCTTACAGGTCATCAAACAGTCGCTATCACAGAGGGTGGTCGATGAGCACCAGATCGAACGTCACTTCACGTCAGCAGATCTCTCTGAGCTTTACAACTTCTTTCCAGACAGGCTAGATGACCCTGACAGACCAGAAAAACCCACCCCAGTCCTACCCAAGGTATTAGCCATTTTTTAATTTAAGCCTGAGTCGTTAAGATTTGTATGCAGATCCTGATTGTAACCTTTGAGGTACAAATACTTTTTTTCAACCCACACACTGATTTTTATATGTGGGCCATTTTGCATAGACTTGGCACATACCTAAAATAGGTCAAAAAGGTGGCTAGAATTTTACTTTCGACACTAGGTGAAATCTGCCACAATTCATTCTTTGAGGAAAGATAGTTGTGTTCTTTCATTCAGGACCATCTATTGTTGGATTCCTTTTTCTAGAGTCCATCTTGCTTTCCAAAAGGTGAAATTCTGCAAGTGTTTTCCTTCCCAAACAATGTTTGCGATCATTAAGTTGTGAGTTGGAACGTGACCATGTTTTATTTGATCAGTCCGTTACGATTTGAGACGGTACCCTCGAGAAGATTATACATTTATATCATTATTTTTGTATTTTTGCTTTGGTACCTACCTAGGACTATTTCCTGGCAGAACTACTGAAGAACCAGGCCAAGTGGATAGTGAAGTACCACGAGCACGACTCGTTATTAGAGAACCAGATGGAAGAAGAACTAACGGAGGACGAGAGGAAGGAGGCGTGGCAGGATTACGATGCAGAGAAGAACAGACAGATTAACATGCCCATTCCGAGACAGTTTGACCCTCAAGATATGGAGGTAGGCTGGAATAAGTATCAGTCAGTTCATCTACAGGGAAACCTTTATATATATATATAGGCTGCTCAACGGATACACATACCTGCCAACCCTTACGAATAATCCTGAATATTCCGTTTGTCTAAAGTTCGATTTTTGTAGCTGTTGTTGTTGTGCTAAAGCCAAATTAAGCTTGTTTCATCATGTTCCTGTATTTGTTCACGTGTTGTGTGCGTTGAATGGCTGCATGATCGAGCAGCGAATTTGTATTAGCTTTTTGGTACAGATTTACCGTGCATTGCCAGTTACACTGCCGCTGCAAGTGCGATTTCTTATTTTCGAAGGCATACTGTGCTAAAAATTCTTATTTCTTATTTTCAAATGTTGGCAGGTACATGAAAAGTGGTCTCTATGGGCGGGTGTTTTTTATGTACAGGTTTCAATGAGAAACCATATTCAAGGGAAACTAAAATTGTGGTCCTTTTAGACAGGTGGTCGTTGAAGCAGGTTCGACTGCATTTAATTTAATTTCCAAGAACATGACAATAAAGATACTTTTATTGAACACTTTTATGAGGTACTTTACCATGTCATGTCTAAATGAGGCTTGGGATTGAGGTGAAATTTTTTGAAGAAAAACACTTACTTTCAATTTATTCATTCTTCATTATTCTTCAGTATTCAGACGGTTATGATACAAATGGCATTGCACATTTCATGTAAGAAACTAGAAGAGAAAAACAAAATATGTAGAAATTAGAAAACGGGTATTAAAGTGGATGGGAATGACAAAAGCATTGATGCTAGTCATGTGTATCCTATAAATAATTATCATATGAAATACTGTATAAGCCAAAGTGCTTTTCAATAACTATCATTCTATTTCCATCGATCAGAAATAAATTAAATTAATCTATTGAAGTCCCCCATTACAATCAGTGTGTTTTCAAACTGAGCCCCATGACCTGATGACGGCTCTTACTATATTGGTCGACGATGTGTCCGATAAGCAACTGGGCTTTGTGATTGCGACATTACTTGCTGGAAATATTTTTGCGTGTTAAATTGGTGATTGATGAGTGGTTCACGAAAATAAAACCCCCTGCGAAAATAGATAGATTAGTTCATATGTTTCATCACTGATAATTCTCTTGCATTTTGATGTGTCTTCCTGCATGTGTAGAGAATCTACAAGGAGGGAGAGTCCATTCTGCGCATGGGGGAGATGATGTTGAACTACCCAGGTCAGTCAGGGTCTGGAATGGCAGGAAACAATGTTGGCCACCCCGGTCTACCAATGGGAGGACCCAGCAGTGGTATGCCTCAGGTGAGTGGTCGCAGACTCAAATTTCAGCTGAAAGGGCACACAAATATGAGAAACAAAATGGTGGAAGTTTGAAATAAATCAGACAAAAGGAACTGAGTTATAAGTGTTTGAAATATGAGATCGCTAAATCTGTGCCAATCTCAAATTCCCAATTTGGTTAGTGGATTGTGACATAGTCTAGGACAACTTTCCGGTTTGTCATGTACAAAAATATCATTAATTTTTCTTTTTGTCCTAATTGCCTACTCCCTTGGGGCCGTACTCAAATTGATTTATTGATAGCATACTATTACAGGTCCTCTAAAAAGAAAAGACCCTTCCGAGTCATACATTTTGAATAATTTACATTTACTCATTTTGTGTGTTGAAAAAAGGGGAAATTTATTCTGCACTTTGTCCCACTGTAGTTGTAGAGTAGAGTAGAGTAGTTGTCTATCGAGGTTGGATTTTTCTTTGATTTTTTTCCTTGAAATTTCTTCATTTTATACATATTCCAAGATTACAACAATCAGTAATTATTTTCAAAACTGGAGCGGTTTTCTAGTCATCCCTCCCCATTAACATTTCCTTCAGGCTTTATAGTACGGAGTTTAATTTTGAAGTCACAAATATGATTTGTGTGTGGAGCAAGCTATTGCCAGAGCATGTGTCAGACAATCTTTTCTGGATTGACTCAATCTTAATTGAGCCAAATTATATGTTTAATTGGCAAGAGAAATCACTTGCCCTAGTTTTAAATAAGCTAGAACACCTGTAAGATGGATCTTGAGAAACACAGAGAATCAATCATTTGTTTGTTTGTTGAAGGCACCTCATATGCAGCGTATGCTGGAGATGCAGAGCATGTATCGAGCGCAGATGCAGCAACAGCAGCAACAGCAACAGATGCAGCAAGAGCAGCAGCAACAGCTTCGACGTCTGATGATGCTGCAACAAGCCAGGGAAATGCCCAACACGGCCAAGATGATGCTGCAACAAGCCAGGGAAATGCCCAACACGGCCAACAGCACCAACACCGGCATGAGGGATCTGCAGAGGATTGCTCTTTTACAGCAACAGCAGCGGCAGCAGCAGCGGCAGCAGCAACTGCAGCAACAGCAAAAGTTGCTGAACCAGAGGGCATCGTCGTCCGAAGGCAAGGCCCCTTAAAGAGGGAGGCAAACAGACTGCAACAGGCCAAGTCAGACTCCTTCGCATCGCAGTCCGTCTTTTCTGAACTGAATGAATTGTAATCAAAGTTGCAAGTTGTAATGAAAGAAATGTCGATAGTAGTCTGTATAGGAACTGTGCCACATTCTTGTAACATGGTACGCTAGTAAGAAAAAGTTTGAAAAACATTTTATGAAAAATACCAATGTATTTATGTAATTCAGTCATGTCGAAACAGCTCTTGTACATAAATAGGATCGATTTTTAAAGTGTTCATGACAGGCAAATGAGAGATTGACATGTGAGGAAATAAAATTGATAGTCGGTATTCAATAAGTAAAGGAATAAATTTCTCTGAGTGGTAATTAAAGAAAGTAGGGTGTACCGCAGATACATTCAAAGTAGGCACAGTACAACATTTCAAAGATAGATTTATACATGTACTTGCACTGCCTTCCTAAAGCAAAGCACGTGGAATTATTTTAGTGTCTCGTTTTAAAATTAGTTTTAAGTGTCTCCTGTCTTTGTCGTAGCAAGACTGACAGACATTGGGCTAACAGAATTACTAGGGTGTTCAAGGATCTAAGTTTCAGTGTTATATTGTAATAGACATGACTCGAGGCTATCTAACACGGTAGATTTGCTGAAGACCATTACAGGTTGTATTCAAAATAAAGTGTGATTGATGCTTTCATATTACTTCTGTTCATCTTGGTCTCTTAGTTGAAGTCTGTTTGCATTACGTGTTGCTACGGTAGGGAAACCTCAGGCCAGCTGCTGTGTGGAAGGTTGTTTTTGAATTGGCGTACATATCTTGACTAGCCTATTTTGTGTTACAACTAGGTTGGTGCTTCTTTGAGAGGTGTTCGAATGAACACAGGCAGTTCTTCGGTGCTAATTTGAGTCACACCAAAATATATCTACATACTTACAGACATTCAATCTGATCGTTGGCGGAGCCATCAAGAGCTTGAGCCATCAAAAGCTTTAGCAGAATGGAGAAAACTTTTCTTCTCAGTTGTTTCTTTACTGGCTTCTTCGCTTTCTTGGTTTGATTTGAGTCTCTTTTTTTTTGCAGGCTCATGGTTATAGAGGGGATGAAGGGGGTTGTCTTCTTGTTCATCTAATCCCTAACACCTTGGAAATCTTCACATCTATCTTTGCATTGCCCTTATTGATCAGTTTGATGCTCTCCAACCTATGCACCACCTGCTCAGAGATCCTACTTACAAAATTAAGTGTTTAGAAAGTAACAGTAGTGAAGATCATTCGTAAATCGTAGCCTTACATGAAAGAATTGCATTCCATTCGCTACCATAGATGATTGTTTTTTCTTCTTCAGTTTTCTCTATGAGATAGAATGTCATGCTATCAGGATGAGTTCACACACATATCTACACATGTTTTATCACATTTGCACTTTTGATGTCTCATGTCATCTGCACACTTGCTTTTATTACGCAATGTGAATGATTTTGTTGTCAGTTACTTTATATGACAGTCAGAGCATCGAAATGTTATTTTATGACATGGCTCTAATAAAGGCTTTTCACATTTATCGTGGTAAAGTAAACTGGTGTTTTTAATTTTTGTTTATGTGGTAATGTTTGGCAAGTAGGAATGGAAATAGAGCTGCGTGCAATGAATGCCCTACACATGCTCACTCATGTGTGTAATACAAGATACGGAATGTGCAGCGCATTATGCTTTGTCATTAAAACAGAACTGCAGCGGTTTACAGCATATTTTAAGAAGTCTTTATTTTCCTGATTTCTTTTGTTTATAAACTCCCATTAAGACGTGAAAAGTTTCTCTTGACAGATTTTGTTATTCTGCATTCTCACAAACGCACAAATATAATATTTTTGAGCGATATTGTGGCAAAACACATGTGATAACGACATATAGGCTAAGAACTGCATATAGAAAGATAAAGTGGCTTTGTGCTTAGTTTGTCTGGATCAACCGAATTGAGTCACACATGTTGGCGTGTCATCTCAGAAGGTACATGTGGACCATCTCTTTAGTGCATTTAAGAAGGAATTTTATGTTAGAATCATTCTTCTTCAGAATTGCCATTCTGAATGGCAATTCTGAAGAAGTTAGGGACTCGATCTTAATCAGATCAACAAGGAAATCAAATTCATGTAACAAGAAACTAGAACCAGCTTTGATTACACTTACTTTTGTTTAGTTATTTCTAAATGGAACATGGATGAACTCCAAGACTAGTATTGCATAAATATTTAATGTCTTCAATTTCTAAAGAAACAATTTCTTTTTGAAAGCCATCTTGCTGGTAAGTGCAGAAGACATTTAATTTTCAAAAACTAATTCCAATCAGTGCTCCTATTTTTTGTGTTACAAAATGCACCCTCTAGTGTATTGTTTGTGCAATTTCATTGTTTTTTTGGATTATTTATTCAAACATGGCTCATGCTATTTTCCCTGTATATAACAGCACGTAGCTAAAATTTGTTTATCTTTGTATAATAAGAAAACTGGTTGGATGAAATTGAAACAAATTGTTGCTAAACTATGCTCTGCTACACATATGCTTGACAATGAAAAACGTGATTGTTTAATAAGTATTGAGATGTGACTCTTATTGAAATGTAATACCCACTTGTAGTGATGATGCTCAAGATATTTGTATTTATAACTAAGTGGCTTTTGAATGTAGACATTCCTTGAATACATGTGCAACCTGTATAGATGTTAACACCAGTTTGATCAGATGTGGACAACACAATGCATCCAAAATAGTGTTTAGAATACCTGGGACTGGTATTTCCTATGTACCATATTGAACAAGATATCAATCATAAAGTTGAGTTCTACCATACTGCATGTTCTGTTTTTGTCTAACCCACCTTTTTTATTTTTTGCAGATATACCTCTTGTTGAGGTTGGCTTGACTTTGAGTAAATCATTTTTGGCTGAACTGCAGAACACCTCGCCATGCATCAGTACAATGTATGAGAGTTAGGGTCAGGTCATGATGTGGGTCTGTGGTAGTGTTAGGGCAACCTATGTGGTTGGCTATTCAGTCGTTCTGTATTTCTTTAAAGCAAAGTATATGTTTTCATCTGTTGAGTTCATAAATGTTCTTTATCATTTCATGTATCTTTTATGAGGGTTATCAAAAGAGCTGCTGTAAGGTGTCTGGGAATGTTAACTTCCCTTTCGACGCCCCCCTCCCCCCCCCCCCCCCTTGGCCCCTCCCCTCTTCAACATTCAAAACCACTTGTTTGAAGTGATATCTGTTGGACTGCTCACCTGAAAGAATGTTACATTAGATCTGTGGCCAGTGTTATTAATTTTGTGAAAACTCTCTTTTCATAATTCCTCTAGATGATCTCGCACAATATTGTTTTTCTTTGGAATTTAGACTTCCCATATTTTTTTTTCAAGAAAGTTTTGATCCTCTTATCTTTTTCTTTCTGCTCCTCAAATTCTGTTTGATTTTGCTTCATATAAAAGTAGTCAAACTACTTGTTTCTTTTACTTTTACCAGAACTACTTGGATTTTAACTAGGGAATATTCATGTTGATGTACTGCATCATCTGAGCCAACTTGCCTCCACTTGGGCAAAGAGTTCCAATTCCATTTTCTGTTTAAAAATACTTATATTTGATGTATGTTTTGATAAAGAAGCGTATTTTTGGACTTTAACAATGGATCGGATGAATAAACAAAAGCAATTAAACATATAGCATATAACATATTCAAGTACAGAAATCAGAAGTTGTTTGTTAAAACAATTAGAAAAATATGATGTTTTACCTTGAATTTCTAATGCCATGTTGCAATTGATTGTTAAAGGTAATACAAAGTTTTGGGAAATTTTGAAAATTGGGTGGATAGTGAATCTTTACAATTTTGATATATTTTGATGCCCCTGTGGATGTATCATAAACACTAACAAAATTAGTCCCTAAAACTCATCTGTTTTCGAGAAAAATTGAATATAAAAATTTACCGGTGCTCCCTGTAAATTTTGATAAATTTCAAATAGCGCCTATGGTCGTGCAATGGTAGCTGCGATCATGAAAATCTCAGAATATGTAGTTGTGATATATAATTTCAAAACGGGATTAGCTAATCGGTCGATTTTGGTCAAGAAACATTGTTTCATAGCTAAATTAATATCTTGACCTTGAGAGGGAGCTATACAACATACAGAGTTTATTATTTATAATTTCATAACTTTAGACTCGATTTCAACCGCGACAAAGATCAATGAATATTGTAGGAACGCATATGCTTCCAATATGTTAATTTGAACCAAATTCATGACCCCATACCAAAACTTTGTAATACCTTTAATCCTTTACATGCTTTGGTATACCTATGGACCAAACAATGGTTTGCCGCAGTTGACTTTTGTAACACATAGATTGCACTGATGTCAATGTGGCAGTGTAGGGTTTTGACAGTGTTGTACGTAGTGTGATATCTTTAATAGGAACCGTAGGAAATACACAAGTTACATGTTGGCTACGGAGTATGGACTGCACAGTTTTTCATGTAGATTATAACTAAGTCACAAGATGGCGCTATAACCACTCGTCCTTCCTTTCTGTGCCGAAAGGAATATTCTGGTTATCAAATACAGCACATCCAGTGTACCATCACAGGTTTCCCATATACCAAGGTCAATGTTCAGTAATGTTTGCTGCCCTCGATGTGCGTGTACCACGAATGCTCTTAGGCATTCCAATTTTTTGTAATGGCTCCAGGCGTTATAGTCCATCGTTGTAGATAAGATGCCAGGTTTCCATTCATATGTACAGGTAAACAAGAAAGCCATATTTGTATTAGTGAAGAAAGTAACGCAGATCTCAAAGAATGTATATTACTCATATTTCACATGTAAGAATGTCTATGAAAAACTGATTTTTTAATGTGCTGTGCTCATGTAAAGAAACTTTGTAGGATTTGAATGTTTAGGTAGCCCATTTTGTCGGACATGTATTAACTGTTTACCAGTTTGTGACTTAATTTATTTTGTTGTCATGTTGCTTTTTCTTCAGTTGATCTAAAAGGCCTCATGCAGTATTTTAAGAAACAACAGTTTTATGTAAGTTATGTATGTCATTAAAAAAAGGCATTTTAAATTAAAAGCAGTCAACATTCACAAATCTTGCAACAGGAGTAATAGTTGTGCTTTGTGTCAGTGATTTGTGGTGATGTACTTACTTGGGTTTACTCCAGTGTAAAGGCATCAAGCTGTAATGTTGTTGATGTAGTCGTGTTTTGTCTGTTTTGAAGATGGTTGCCCTTACAAAGTTTGAGTATACATGTACCAGCTTAAGTCTTTTAGTGGCTTTTGGAGCTCAAGTTACCCCTTTTCATTTAAGGCTGTGAAAAATCTTTGCATGGGCTCTTTTGTCATAAGTTGAGGTGGCCTGTGCAATGTCGGTAATTTTGAGGTTATTGAAACATTTCTATCATTAACTATTTCATCTCAAAATTGTAAAAATTCACAACTTGTTTAAATTAACAACCAAAATTCCAATTTCTGATATCTCACAGAGGAAAATATAAATATACTCATTACTTAATGCAGAATAATCTATTCAGGATTTTTTTTTAAATCTTGAAGATTTAAATTAATAATTATTAAAGGAAAGTTGAAAATTTATTTTAGCCATATTGAGATTACCCTGGCGTATCTAATCAATTTACTCTTTAACAAACTATATGCACTTCACCTTATATATGACACTAAATTACTTTCACTCTCACAACACCCCTCACTGAATTCTCTTCCTCCTCTCTCTGAGGAGGTATTGGGTGCGATTACAGATAAAATTTATACATTTTAAGCGAATATAATTGACAAAATATACATACATTATTTAGCAAGTGTAAGTTATGGAGCACATCTCCAAGGCGATGTACATAATATACTTTAATGATGAACATGAGTCAGAAATAAATATCTAAGATCAGTGCTTTCTCTGAGGAGTTATTTGGGAGCGATTACAGATGAAATTTATATATGTATGAAGCAAATATAATTGAGGTCAGTGGTATATTCCCGTAGCTCAGCGCGTTGGCTGATGTCACGCTATGAATATTCATTATCGACCTGGATGAATGCAAACGACAACCAACAACAACAAAGCATAGCTATCTGTGATAGCTGACAGATAGGGTAACCGAGAGAGCCTCGGGAAATTTCCTGGCCGAATCAGTGCTTGTTGATCTTATCTGAAAGGTAAATGTCACCTTATCTTGGACTTTGAAAGAGATGTTTACAATTGTATTGGTTGTTGCATGTTGGGTCTGTTTTTGTGAGTTTGAGAAAGACTCGTCGCGACTAATCCCGCGCGCGCTAGCGCGCTGATGTGAAAGATGTTCGACGCCAGAGCTGAAGGGCCGGAGGAGCCTGGATAACGATGGGATTTCTGCAGTGCGAATGAATAAACCAATGGTGCAATGGCAATGCTTTTAGCCTAATGGTCATTTGATAGGTGCACGGTAAAAATGTCAGAGGTAAAAATGTCAAGGTTAAAGGCGCTAGTGACAAATACTAGTGTAGGTTATTTGTTTTATTATTTTGGGTTTCTAACTTCAGTTTAACCCTAACCCTAACCCTAAACCTAAATAAACCTAACCCTAACCCTAACCCTAACCCTAACCCTAACCCTACCCTAAGTTCCTAACCCTAATCCTAACCCTACCCTAACCCTAATCCTAATCCTAACCCTAACCCTAACCCTATGATATGCACATAGAGCTGTTAACTGAAGTTAGAAACCCAAAATAATAAAACACACTAAAATATCCATTTTTGGACCCGTAACTCCGGTGTGGAGAAACTAAAAAATCCCCCAAAATCAACTGAATCTTCATCAATTGTTCAAATAATGGTCATGATAAAGACGTTATATTTCTTACTCCTTTCGTGTCAATTTTCGGAAGTCTGAAAGATGAATTCATCATGCATTTTGTACAATTTGTATGTTTTTTTTTTAAAGTGGCAATTATTAATTACTAGGGGCCTACATGTACGTAGATCTGTTAGGCCTACTCGTGTAAAATGCTCCAAAAAGGCTCGTATTGCATCAGAGAGCATATAGAACCAGAGCTTTCAGGGCCCTAAGGCGGGTCCTGGACCTCGGCCGCATGGGTCGGGCGCTCTGCGCTCGAGATGTGCGCGCCATGCGCACATTATTTGGTGTCGCTCCTCCCTATTTCTGATTTCCAAAAGTTGGCATCTCTGGAGCACATGCAGTTCTGATTTCCCTGTTCTATACTGGAGCACAGTTTGATGATAAATTTAATCGTGAGGACCCCATTTTTTCGTAGGTAAATCGCACATGTATTCTTCAACTCTTTTTACGGTATATAAAAGATATATTGACTGCTTTCATATTCAAGGCTTGGTTGTTACAGGCTCTCAGGGACGTACTGTACATTACATCCTGCTATACGGTGAATCCACCATATTGAACTGAGTTGATTTATTGCTGACTTGAACCTCACTTCCACATAAATATTTTGCATTTCCATTGTTTCTTCTTTTTCTCTCTCATGTAGGAATACCTAACTCGTAGTCTTACATCATGCCCAAAGCAAGAGGAACGCATAAATGCACCCAGTGCTCCTACAGAAGCGAACGCCCACATGACCTCAAAAGACATATCTCTAGACTACATGGGGAGGGACAGAGTGATCGTGAATCAAGGCCAGAGAGGACAACTCCCATTCGTAAATGCTCGGTGCGACTAAAAGGCATTGTTACGCCAGTGCCTGGAAATAAAGGACAACAGAGAGCTCTGTAAGTAGGGTAGGAAGGATGAACATTCTTTTGTTAGCCTTAGGCTGATCCAGGGGGGGAGGCCGGGTTCCCTCCCCTTGGTGAAAAAAATGTGTAGAAACAAGTTAATTTTTACCTCTTTGGAGATGGGCTCCCTACCCTGGCGCTCAAGGGGAGGGGGGGGGGGGTGCGATTTTTAAATTTTTTTTGAGGGCCCCACAAAAATTAGTGCTCACTACCCTCCCCCCCCCCCCTCTCCCCCACCCCAACTGAGCGAATTAATAGCAACTTACACCTGTATATGTTGCTATTGTTTGTTGTATTGTAACAGGTGGTCAACTTTGGCAAAGTTACATACCACTTTTGGTTGTTTTGGTCGAGCTGTTGAACATATATTATAATTTCAAATTGTGATGTTAGTGTGTTTCATGACATTGTATAAAAAGGATTGAGGTTTTACCATTTCAGATCTGTTCTATTTCAGTAGTAAGTTCTAAACAGATAAAACTGATCAATTTTGAATTAAAAAAAATATCTGCAGGAGGAAACGAGGCGTCACTAGCTACATTGTGTCTTCTGACAGCGACTCATCAGAGTCCCTACCAGACATCTCCAGGGGTCATCTGTCAGGGGTCAATAACGGCTTTGTTTATCAGCTAAAGAAGAAGGAGCCAAATGTAGATGAGGAGGAGGTTGAAAGCAATAGCTCAAAGGATGTGAAGGATGCAAAGAAGTGCAATGGATCTTTGGCCCACAGTTCACTCAATGAAGAAATGCCAGAAGGTAAAAACAAGTTTGTAATTATTTAATTTATCAAGAATACTGTCGCAAGCCTTCATATATGTATCACCATATAATACAGTTTGATTAGATTTTGGAGTAAGTACATCAAAAGTCAAAGGTCATAGAGGTCAATTTTGGAAATTACAGATATTCAACTTCAAATATTGATTACCGGTATAGCTTCTTGTATACACAATAAATCGAGAATTGGCCCTTACTCGTAACTTTAAAATTGTTGTTCTTAACGTATGAATGGATTCCATTATTTGCAGATGCAAGCCCAACTGTAGAATCGGTGATCTGCACGGCATGCTGCAATCAAATCAACCCGTTCGAGAAAAACGCCTTCTTCGGTCACCCAGTTCTGAATGTGGTATTCTGTAAGGTATGTTTTATTGACTTGTCAATCAATTGAAATCATCTGCTAATTTGAGAAGGGGGGGGGGGGGTGGACTTTTGGTGATGTGAATTGGGCAAAGAAATATATTCCTCTAACTTAGATCAGATCTCAGAATTTACACAAATCGTCGCTGTTTTCACGAAGTGACGGTAGTGAAAAAAAATTGCATTCACTTTGCGTGACGATTTTCCTCACTGCCGTCACTTCGTGAAAACAAGGACGAAATGTTCACATACCGTATCTTTTTTTTTCTCACCAGAAGCAAAGTTCATATTATCAGGACCAAATTTTTGCGATCGTTAGGAGCATTCATTTAATATATTGGTGATCATCATGAGTGCCATTTTAGAGCTTCCTGCGTAAGAATTTATGTATGTTGGAATAATGGTATTAAGTGTAGAGGGGCAGGTCCAAGCTATTTGGATTGTGATGTACGGGACATTAAGAGACTTTAAACAAGAAATAACAACAGATGAAATTATTTATATGGCTATCTTTTGGTATGAGTCTGTGGCTATTATGGGCTAGTTCATTTGTGGAAAGTTTTAGTTCTGACCAATTTTTTAATTAATTTTTAATGTAATTAATGTGCTGCGTGACGTACGGGACGCTTGTTTAAAGTCTCTAAATGTCCCGTACGTCACAATCCAAATAGCTTGGACCTGCCCAGAGTATATCAGTTTATAGTTAAAAACATCATATTCAGACTTTATTAATGAGCTTATTTACTGGTTTAGGTCACATTGAAAGATATAAGGTAACTTTGTTATTAAATGAAATGAAGGAATTCAAATCGCCCCATAACTCTTATGTGTAATACAGGACACATATATTTGAATTTGTGTTTGTTTAATTCTATTTGGTTTAGTTTAAAATGTGGTAGGGTGTATTTTTTCAAATTTTCTTGTTGAAACTGGATTTCAAATTTGGGAAGATATCTCATGGGGATAACCATGCCGGTGATTGAAAGTCTCATGGATGGTGAGAAAGGACATAAATGGTGACAAATAAAATCTCAAATTTTCCTACGTAAAGTTTTTCTGATATCAGTAATATGGTTTTTGTGATGATGTTTAAATAAATTTGTTTATTGATTGTCGGCAATTATAATGGATGAACTCCTAATTGTCCTTTCAAACAGTTACTTTTGGAAAATTGTCTTTAAATGTTGTTTTTTCAGGGATGTTTGGAATTGTACAACAGCTGTCCCTGGAAGGAAGATGAAGATGGCATTGAGGAGGACTGTCGTTGGTGTGGGCAAGGCGGTTCCCTATCCGTGTGTGACTTCTGCTGCATGACATTCTGCAGGCGTTGCATCATGTGCAACCTGGGAATAGTCGAATTGGATCGTACGTTTTCAAAGGAGAAGTGGAAGTGCTATAGGTGTGAGCCTGCACCCCTTAAAGAACTGGTTGCCAAGTGCAATGCTCTTTATTTACGGTGTGTAGTGGAAATGGAACTGAAGAGGCATGGAACAACTAGCGATGATGTTTCTGTGAATGAACCTGATGCCCAAGATAAGCCTGAAGAAGGCGAAGGAAAGAGGATTGGGAAGAAATATGAGGAAAAGGATGATGTTGAGAAGGAGTCTGAATCAGAAGAAAATCTACACAAGAGAGCAAAGAAGGTCAGAAAATCTGCAGAGGTGGACCCCACAAGCAGGGATTGGCCTCTTAGTTTCGACTCGTCTTCCGGTGAAGAGTCTGTTGCTGACAGTGACAGCTGTTCTGGGTCAAAAAGGGAGAGTCGCAACAGGAAAAGCAAAAAGATTGACACTGATGATGACCTTGCAGCTTCGGAATCAGACGATGTCTCATATGAGAAGCCGAAGCGAAAAAGAGTGACGAGATCCAAGACTGCGTCATCAAGTGAAGAATCGTCCGTTGAACTGAAGAAACCCAAGAAGAGGGGGGCAAGGAGGGAGAAATCATGTCCTTTGTTGCTCATCGAGATCTCCACATCCAGTGAGGACGAGGAAGATGAGGACACATCAAAGAAAAAGAAAGGCAAGAAGGCCACAAAAAAGAGCCGTAAAAAGATTGACACTGATGATGACTTTGTAGCTTCGGAATCGGACGATGTCTCGTATGAGAAGCCGAAGCGAAAACGTGGGGGACGAGGCAAAGGAAAGAAGTGGAGGAGGATAAATGAAGATACGAGGAGAAGATACAACACTGCGTCCTCAAGTGAAGAATCGTCAGTGGAACTGAAAAAACCCAAGAAGAGGAGGGCCAGGAAGGAGGAACTTGGCACCAGTTCGGATGCAGACTCCGGTCAAGAAACCAAGTCAAAAAAACGTGGGGAACGAGGCAAAGGAGAGAAGTGGAGGAGGATAAATGAAGTTTCTGATTCAGAATCTGAAGAAGACATTGATGATGACTTAACATCATCGGAATCGGACAATGTATCAAATGAGACGCCGAGGCAAAAACGAGCGATGAGATCTGAGACTTCATCCTTAAAGGGCAAATCCACTCCAAAAATACCTTACTTTCCATAGAAGCAGAAAAATCAGAAAAATCATTAAAAAAAGTTTGAGCAAAATTGGATAACCAATAAGAAAGTTATGAATTTGTAATAACATGAATAACTTTGTAAATCACAAGAAAAATTGGCAACTCACCCATGAGGTTGTGATGTCATTGCCTCACTGTCCACTAATCATTTTCTTAATATTGATAATATAAATATCCAATTCTCCCCCCTAAAAATCTTATTTCCTCACACCAGCATCCAAGTTATATTGATAGTAATATGTTTTTTGTATGGGTGCAATAATACAAATCATATACCGGTAACCTGGGCAAAGGCATGGGGAAATCAAGTTTTTGGGGATAAAAAGGGGAATTAGTGGGATGAAAATATATAAAGCAATTGATAAATAGTGAGGCAATGACGTCACAAGCTTATAACCAAATTGGCAATTTGTGTAGTGATTTTCTAAGTTCCATAGTTTTTCATACTTTAATAATAATGATAATGCTTTTCATAATTGTTTTATATTTATTTTGAGGCCGCCATCCTAGTCGAGCATCCCTTATGCAGTATGATTGCAGTCTCCTGCACTTTTTCCACAAACAGTTTGAATAATACTTCAAATTTATAATAATATTGTTATATAAATATTGAGTTTTGTTATTATATGTATATATGTAAAAAACATTTTTACATGAAGTTATTATTGTTTTATATTGTAATATACCTTACATGTATAAGTTCTTTGTCATTCAGTTATACTTATTATATTTGGAAAAATGCAGACAAAAAATAAAATTAATCAAAAATAAAATAATGAGCAAAGGCAAGTAGATTATGTCAAAATTATGTATAGGAATCTGAGCGTAATACATGGTTATATTATGGTTCAGAGGCGGCGCTCCCAGGGAAGCCCGGCCCCCCATTCCGGGGTCGGAAGTACCGCATGCCTGTTCCCAAAATGTCCAGTAAAGGTGTACTTTTCACGCAATAAAGTCCGGCTCGTAGTACACAAAAATCCGGCCCGTATTGACTTTACGCACCGGACTTAGGGAGGTGTGTTCAACAGGAGAGAACACGCATATACGTACCCTAAATAACACTGAGTGGGGGGCCGGGCAGGGGAGTAGGGAGGAAAAGTGCCCAACCTTTTCAAGTACCCCAAAAGTGCCCCTTGTTACTTCAGATCAGTGCCTATTTTACTCCTCATTTCTTACCAGCTCTGATAAGTGCCCCTATTCAAATCTGACAGGTGCCCCTTTTACTTTGACAAGTGTCAAATTTCCTGTATTATAAGTTCCCTCCCTTTTTAATAAGTCTCCCCTTTCACCTCTAAACAATGCCCTGTTTATTGTAATACGTGTCCTCTTTCCTTTGTAATATTTGCCCATTTTCCCTTTTTTATAAGAGCCCCTCCGCTTCTCATAAATGCCCCTTGAAAGTGCCCGGCCTTTTCAGCTACGAGAAGTGCCCGTTTTTACGTACTCTGATTTTTGTGGTCTCTCTTCTAACCCCATCCAGGATCCTTAACCAAACCCTGAAAGGACAAGATCTCTCACTTCGAGAGGATAATAACGTCCAAAAGCATTGTGAGTAATAATAATTTTAATAAAGCCCTCTAGAACATGTTACTATGATATGTGCGCTTAATTTGACGTATCGCTATGTTGTGGCTATAACTAGAGCAATGTGTCTTGACATGTAGAATTTCAGAATGAGAAACATGAGTCCAGGCGGATCCATGGGTCAATTGGAAGTGCCCCCCCAGCCCAAAATAATGGTAAAAAAACAAGAAACCTAAAAATTACCCTTTTTAAAACATAAGAGGGGATGCCAGACCCCCCCCCCCAAAAAAAAATAAAAATTAGTGTTTCTCCTCTCCACCAACCCCCCCCCCCCCTCCCTGCTTATTCACCGGCTGGCTCAGTCGCTGCTAAATTTTTCCTCAAAAACTGGACCCCCCCCAAAAAAAAAAAAAATATGTGCCCTTACCCCCGGGGTTGGTGATTTAATTTGATTGGTCCCCCCCTCCCCTTGCAAAAAAATCAGGTAAATTTAACCTTTTTTAAAATATTTAAAAAATATGGCCCCCCCTCTCCCTGTTGCAAGGGGGGGGGGGGTGGGTGTTGATTCGGCGCAAAGAATTTTCTTTGGAGGGCAAAAATAGTGCTCCTTACACTCCCCCCCCCCCCCCTCCTCGGGGGTACTCAGATTTGGTTTGGACAGGGGTGTGCCTCGAAACTCCTACCCATTATTAGGGGTCATTTTCGAGCATTTTTCGAGCATTGTTTGCATGGCAAACCACTGAAAATTTTGCAAATTTAGGAAATTTCAAAAAAACAGACCTATTTTGAATGGTATTTTGTAAAAAGTGGGCCCCATGTTTAGGGATTTTTGTGTGAAAAAGTTATCCATTAGAGCGGCACACCCCTGTATATGTCCTAATATGTGGGTACCCCCCCCCCCTCTAATTCGCTAACTCGCCGCTTAACATTTTCTGACGGATTGGGCCCCCTATTTGGCCCCCTCCCTTGCCGCCTGCTGGATCCACCCCTGCTCAGTCATGTAGAAATACTCAGTTTTTAAGATGGGAGCCCCCCCCCCCCTGTAGCCCTTACAAAGTTTGTGTATTCCAGCTGAAATCTTGGATTTTATTTCCTTTTCATTCAAGGCTGTGAAAAATCTTGTTTATAAAATGCTTAGTTTGAAATTGGCTCTTTTGGCAAGAGTTGAGGTGGATTATGCAATATTTCAGTAATGTGGGTTCATTAAAACATTCTTACATTAACTATTGCATAAATACGATAAGGCAAAAATCATATATATTTATTAAATTACCATTTCTAAAAAAATTATCCTTACATTATGACAGACGACTTCAATTCTTCATATCTCACAAATGAAAATATAAATATATTCTTGATTTCACAGATATTCATCTGTTCATAATTCTTTCTTTTTTCTCGATGATTTAATAATTGTTAAAGGAAAGAAGAAAATATATTTTAGCCATAGAGATATTATCCTGGCTCCTCTAATTTACTCCTTAACAACCTATATGCTCTTCACCTTCATAAGACCTTCAAGAACACTAAATTACTTTCACTGTCACAATAAACCCCTCACTGAATTCTGCTTCCTCCCCATACACAGCATTTTCTCAATAAAAATCACGAGACAATTAAGACCTAGGACATCGCATGTACCAGGCTTATAATTTTTGTTTACATACACATACATGTGAAATGCTTTTTCAAGATAATATTTGCATATATGCATACAGTAGTTGAGCCTACTTTGACAATTGTAAGTCATGGTAAACAACGGGTGGAGAACTGGATAACCTGGCAACAGGACCATGGTGATGCTCGAGGAATTTGGTTTATGGCTAACATATCTCTCCATTCTCTGTTTAAAAAAATGTATTACCAAAAACATCCATGATACAAGAACTGAATTCACAATGTTTACGAATAATAAACATTAAAGGGATAGTTGAGTTCTGTTGCAGAGGGCGCTAAAAAAAAAATCATCTTTGTTTGAACAAAATCAGTTCAGAGACGGCTGAAATATCCATAAATATAACGATTTCTAATATAGTAACCTTCACAAAATATTAGCTAATTTGAAAAAGCCGTTTAAAAAACGAAATAGCGCCTTTTACGTCGTATTTCAGCCAATGCCGATGTGTTTTTTTGGCATATTGGTGTTGGTTATATTACGCACATCCAGCCGGCCCATGTATTGTTATTGTTAATTAAATAATTAACCGTCAACGTATTTTTTTGAAAAATGAGCTGAATTGGTATCATCGTATTGGCTAAATTCATAGCAAATTTAGGTTCTAAGAGGGCACTAGAAATGTCATAGATAAGAATGAGAGAAATAACCATGCACTTTGAAGGCATTTGCGGTCTGAAAACAGAACTCAACTATCCCTTTAAGAGCCAGTTTCTGTTTACAGGTTTAAAGTACTCTATATGAAATTTAAATCGTGAGTTTTGTTAATCATAATCTGTTTTGTAAGAGGTGCATTTACACAATAGTTTTATCTTTAAAGAGCAAACTATCTCCTTATATTATCTCACGTTCTTTTCTTTTCCTTCTTCTTTCCCCCCGCTCTCACTTAATTAGTTCTCCCTATTTTCCCCAGCCATTCGATTGTTGGGGCACGTGTAGTACGTATATGAACAGCTGGGAAAAATAGCGTTGGTTATTGTGTTGATATACCAAATGTTTAAAGGTTGAAATCACAGACACTGATGTATAGCCAAAGAGATACTACTATTTGTGGTGTCTCTTTGTTATATAGCTAGGAGAATAGCGTCTGGTAGTGTGTTGATAGCAAATGTGTCAAGGTTAAAAGCACAGACACGACCCCGTTCGAAAGAAAGAATAAACATAAGGAAAAACAGAAAGAGAAGATGATAAAGAATAGATAATTGAAAGATAGAAAAGAAGATGAAAGATTGAAAAACAAAGAATAACATAAAAAAAAACAGAAAAAGAAAAAGATAGAAAGATACAAAATAGCAAAATATAGCAGAAGATGAGACACTCTATTCGGTTTTAAATTCCGCGCGAAACATTTGACCCGCAGATCTTTGCTACCCATCATGATATAAAAGGGGATTCCATGACATTTGCTCCGGCGACAATTGCTCCGCTGTAAATTTCATACACTAATCGAATGGCTAACTTCAACCCTGGATTCAACACTATACCCTACCCTAAACCTAACCCTAAACCTAACATAAAACCCTATTGAAACCCTAACCCTAACCCTACATCTTAGACGAAATAAAGCCCGGAGCAATTGTCGCAGGAGCAAATGTCGTGTCACCTCCAGACATGGAAAGTGATTAGGAATGTTTTTAAGCTAACGCAAAAAGCGTCTGATGTAAGTAAATTAAACATTGATGGGAATGTAGTTGATGATCCAAGTTATTGTAGATAAATTCAATTAATATTTTTGTAATATTGGCCAGAATTTGTCGCGTGTCATCCCAGGGTCTCAAAAAACATTTCAATCTTTTTTA